CTTCTCTAATTTCAGGTAACAAGAATTTACTGGAGGTGTGCGAAATGTGGGGTTACCTTATTGAACATTACCAGAAGAAGAAATGTCTCGTTGACGGCGAGCACTGGCCTGAGACCGAGACTTAGGGGTTTAGATATGAGATGCGCCTTGTGTGGTATTTTCTTTAGTTTCATGTTGAAGATTAGGAGTTGCGTTCTCCTATCTTCCAACGCAATAAACATCAATGAGATACCATGTGAGCTTCCGCGCGAAAACATGAAAACATGATATTTTCATACGTGATATCATGTCATCTCCATACATCAAAGAGCACTGGTTACATTATAAAAAGCTCTTTTCTCAGCATGATTTTTATTAAAGTGAAATGACTTGATTAAGTATTTCATTGGTGTTTATATATATACTAAACGTAAGATTTCTTGGCCGCTTGGAGTTGGTTTGACTCTAGTGCTATTATTTCCTCGCATTAACCAGTCCGCTTAGGCTTCGTTGACAATTTAGACGTTTAAAAACAATTCGTGCGTTTTGGAGTCATTCCCTTCATAGAGGGTCGTGAAGGGGTAAAATAGGAACTGGGATTAGCCTTATTGTGGACTGGGAAAATGGGATTTACTCACTGGGACTGGGATTAAGCCACTGGGAATGGGATGAACAATTATATGGGATTTCTTTTCTTCAGCGGTCTTTGCTCCAATATTTTGAAATAGAAAAATAAAATTTCGTAGCAATAGACCTTGCACTCCTCAGTAGAGACCGTGAAATCAGTATTTTTCGCCTTCGCGCCCGCTACCAGGCTTACACGGTTGCATAGTTACGTTCTGTCAGTTTTCCTGGTCAGCGGACAAGTTCTGCAAGTTTGCATATGGCTGGAAGAGAAAGAGTGTTCACCAGCAGAATGAGAGCTTTTCTTCAGTCCAGGTGAAAGTACGTGTATCCAAATAGCGTCAATCAGTGCTTTTGATTTATTATGCGCATGATTTTGCAAATAATCATTAGTAATGGGATTTTAGGTTTGGTAACTGGGATTTTGGCAAAAATTAGCCTGGGAACTGGGATTTGGGCCAAATTTAGGCTGGGAACTGGGATTTGGTACCCCCCTTCACGACCCTCTTCATACGGAACCACCCCAACCGTAACGTGTGAACAGAGCGAAATATTGATCATTCCCAGGTGAATGAAGTGTCTGGTCAAGTTTTTCAGCCTGTGGAAATTTCGTCCAGTGCGTTGTAAACGTAGCCTCACTAACAGCCGAGGATCGATGAAATTATGCTTTGATCAATTTAAGGTACTCATTCATTTGTAGATAACTGAAATAATTCATTCATGAGAATATGTGTCAATCCCGTTGGCTTATTTCCAAAACATGTTGTTATGCATGAATATGTTTAGCTGTTAGAAATAACGAGCCACTGAACTCTCACCGTAGATTATATACTATCAACAGAAAAGAAATAAAGAGTACATAAGGCAATTAAGGATGTTTATTTTCTTTTTGTAGAGCCCCTACATTCTTACCTTTGGAAACTCTTCCCTAATGGACAAATTTCACGCTATTGGCGTGCCAGGAATGCATCAGTTGTAAAACGTCACAATGAAAGCTCTTTTGAGAGCTTAACAACAACAACAACAAACGATGACCAAACTTATTCTGGATCAAATTCAAATTTTCGATATCTGCCGCACTAACTGATGCTTCAGCAGATTTTGAGAGCGTCGGGGATAATAGCCGTCAAGGAAACTTCCATTATTTGTTGAGAGGGACGGGCTGGAGAAAGGTCATGCAAGTTTTTAGTCCTTGTTAACCAAACACCCGGGGAGGGGAGGGTACTCCTGGACATTATAGGTGGGGGTGTGCCGCCCGGTTCTCCAAATCCTGACCCTATTTCAAACTAAAACATGTCATTTTCCACATCCGTTTTCAGACCAGACCTCTAAAATCCATACTCGTTTTCAGACCTGGCCTTTAGGCAGAAATTATGTCATTATTACTTAGATTAGAGCTCAAACAAAAATTCTTAAAACGCATTTCGAATTCGCATTTTTTATTTCGTTCTTATTCATTTGGAATTGAAACGATAACTAAGTTCACACGCTCCCGTAGTTCCCTCGAAAACCATACCCGATTCCAGACCAAAATGGGCAAGATGTATACCCGTTTTCAGGCCAAAAACCATACCCTTTGGGGCGGCACATACCTATATGGCCTATATAAAGGAGTTTCTCCCTCCCCCGGAGACCAAACACCATCTTTCCAGTCAGGAAATAGAAGCATCCAGACTCATGCATTACCCGTATTTCACGACGCTTGAATCAGTGCTTTCTTTTTCGATACGCCAATGTTTAAGCTTCCTATCTAGTAAACTTCTCTCGTCAGACATTTCAATAGAAGCCTGTTTCACTCTACGTAACCCCGTTATGGCGCGTATCATGTGCAAATGAAGGGATGTATCATATTTTGTTTTTCCTCATGCTTGGACACGTTACCACTGTTGAGGTCATGTGACAGTTTCCGAGAATGCCAACCGGAAACCTTTAGCATTTTCTTAGAAAAGGAAATAAAGGTAATTTGAATACATGTATAAATAAAAGCCTTGTCATTGAAGTTGAGGGAAAAGTCTTACCACAATGTAATTTATACACTTGTCATTGAAGTTGAGGGAAAAGTCTTACCACAATGTAATTTATACACTTAGCCGGTATTTCATGTCAGGCGAATAAGAAGAAGAGGCTAGGTTTTGCATTTTAAGGTATGGATCAATTCTTTTTAAAAAATGTAAATAAATCATGACATGCAAGACCGGTGAGTGTTGTTTTACGTCGGGTTCAGACGTGTCGCCATCTTTTTATAGAAAGTCTTAGATGAATTGTGTAGTCTTGCAGTTCCAGCTCGTCAAAAGCGTCAAAATATACAACTAAAAGAAAGCCTAGAGGTGAAGCATATATTAACGAGGAAACTCTGTATGATTTCGTATGACACAGCTAATCATGGCTTTGAGTCTGTAATGAATGGAAGGATGAATTTCAAGATCGACGACTCTTTGATATTTGTCTGAAAAGGTAGCTAAAGAGGCTGCAAGCTCTTCCTTGCTAACTGAGTCATAAAGTAGGGTAACTGTCAAGTTAAAGATAGATGGTAATCTTGTTTGACAATTGCCTCGAATTTGCACTCCGAACAAGACCAAGAGGTCGACTCAGGACTCAAGAACTCAGAAGCCTCACGGGGCCGGAGCCGGCATTCAGAGTATCGCAGCTTCGACAGCAAAACCAGCTCTTTTGAAGACCTTTGAAAGTAAAAAAAAAAGGACTATCTAAAAAATGGGTAAATTTTTTGCCATCCAACCCATTTTAAAGTGCCCAGTCGCGTTAGGAGAGATTATCTGATAATAAGCGATATTAAGGCCATAGCCACAAACAACGCGAATTTTAAACTGATTGCAACCGCTGCCCTTGATGCGAAGGTGGAGCTAGACGAGCTTTAGTTGACTGGCGGGTTTACGATTCTCTGTATTTTACTGGTACTGCTATTACCTACGCCACAAAAATCACAACAAGGGGTTCGAACTTGCTACCATGCATTCACTTCCTTTATTTGCTATTCTGTTCCGCTGGCAGAACAGACGGAAATTCTGTAAAACTCACCGGCTATGAACGTCTAACGTTAGGTTTACTTTAACCTTTAGGGAAAAATTTGTAATGGCAGAGGGTGGACAATCTTCGTTGGATGAGGAGGAAAGGTAAGCATCAAGTGAATACTGCTCGAATGATCGACCTATTTGAAACACGAAACATTAAAATTATGTCTCCACTTAGGCCCAGTTTTTCATGAGCCGAACCCAATACATTAAATTTAGTACATGAAAAGTTCGGCGTCTGAATCAATTAGGAACGCTGTTTCAATTTGGAACGGTTCAGCCGTTCTTTCCGCCTAGCCCGCAACGGGAGTTTCGCCCTTGAAGCAACTTTGGAACGGCTTCAGTTTGATTCAGACGCCGAACTTTTCAAGTACCGAACCTAATGCATAAATTATTATAACGTATTTTGTAAGTAATTTGACCGAAATGAGCATTTTTCTCCTTTTGAATTTAGTTGGGCTGGAATTAAGATTGGCGTCTGAATCAATTCAGCCGGTCTAAATAATTTAGGTCGGCCTTAATTCGAATTTAATAGGTTCGGCTCGTGAAGAGTTCAGCGTCTAAACCGGGCCTTAAGCTCCGAAGCATGCTTACAGCCCAACTATGCTTAAAGTAAATCTTCATATCAAACTCTCTTTGTAAGTTTTGCTGTTTCAGTAAGCATCCTTAAGAGATTAAAAAATCAGTTTCAAGAAGCACGCAAGCGACTATGAACCAGGAGGGTCCTGCTATGAAGAATTCACACCATACGTGATAGTATTATTAAAGTATCCGATAATTACGTGGCGCAGCCCCACCCCTTTGCAGAAATCGCGCCGAAATCACTGATCGTTCTTTAATATGTGTAAACAGAAGCATTATCCAGTATGGGTATCGGGCCGGCAAAAAAAATCCGGTATAGTGTCATGAACATAGTATTTAACAATTATTCCTCGAGCCCGAATGGGCTCTGAGTCAATAGCCCATGAGGTCGACGGCCAAATGGGCTATTGTCTAAGAGGCCTTGAGGGCGAGAGGAATAATTGTTTTAATAAAATCCAACTAGTTGGTCAAAAATATCGAGACAAAACAACTTTAGCTAGCAAAACGCGATTCAGCCGCCATTATTTTGGTTTTCAAAACCGGCGCTTTTTGCTACTAGTGGGCTATAACATATAGCCTTTTACCTCAACCAATTAGAACGCAGCATCGGTTGGATTTTACTAAATTAAAGTGTGCTATGCCTGGTATTAATGGTGTGAGCAATTAGCAATTGTACTATATGACTGCATTATTCTCTGTTTTCCTGAATAACTATACCCATAGTCATCATATGAATTGTTAATGTTGTATCTTTCTTCTATTTATCTATTTTATTTTTTTTATTTTAGTGATGAGGAGATAAGGAGTTTAGTCTTTCTCGCCTGTACGGTAAGTAAGGCTCATCTTTTATTTGTTCGACTCAATGTATTTTATATGTATATATATATATATATTTTTTCAGTATCATCATTAAATGCGTTCATCCGACAATCTTCTTATCCATATTTTCAGGGTGAAATTACCTTAGAACAGCTGAAGAAGAGAGGAGATGCTAAGCTTCGTGGCAAGGAATATCAGAAAGGATTTGCTATTTATTCCATAGCTCTCAATTGCCCCATTATGGGCTCCACAGATGTCACAATCATCGCTGAACAACTCTATCGCAAGAGAGCAGAATGTTTGTTTAAAATGGTAAATCATTCTTAAACAAAATCGAATGAAACCGAATGATTGATGGTGCTCATTTTCTTTCTTCCACAGGGCAAATATTTCGAGGCTATTAAAGACTGTGAACAAGGTAGTGTACGCTCAGAGAAGATTATGGTACATTGATAAAATACGACTTGATATTACTCAAGTCCGTGTGAAACACTCATTCTATTTTTTGCGCTTTTTGCTATTGATGCCTTGAATATACAATTAACAACGAATTCACAAATAAATGTCCTTCTGAATGCTAAGGGGATGTCTTTCTTGCTCTTGAAAAGCTGTCCTAAAAAAACAGACATGCCCAAGGCTGTATAGTGGTAATCACATCGCTGTAATCAGGAAAATTTAACATTTAAAGCAAAACCTTGATGCAGTCGTCTATTTTTTTTCCAATGGTTCCGTGATGCCTAAGTTACCTAATTTATTAACAGCTTATTTAACTGTTTTCAACATAATTAAGAATATTTATTTTTTAACAGTACTTGATCCCCTGCTCTAGGTTTTCTTAACTATTAAATTCCCTTTTGTGTCAAGTTTGACACATATCGGTTTTTCTAATTACTTTCATTTCAGTCTGTTGACTATGTTAGGTTATTTATTAATAAGTAATACCACCTATTTTTATTTGGTTCAAATTACCTCTTCACGGATAACGGTTTAGCAAAGTTAACCTCCCTTTTTTGTACTAGCCATTGAAATTGCAGACGAAACCAATAGTAGCAGCCTATTGAGCAAGTCTCTTTTCATCAAGACGACCGCAATACAAAATCTTGGTGATTATGTGAATGCCCTGCCCTTTGCTGTGTGGTGCAAACATTTAAGACCAGAGGTAATTCAGTAGACAAGTACATGTAACAATGTTTTAGCTGTGTGGTAATAGTCTCCTAAATTTAGTTTAGTCTTTAGAGAAAAAAAAGGGATCAACGGCCCCATCCCTAGTTCTTAGTCTGTCAGAACATTTATGCATGAACTGGACGTTTTCAAATACCTGGTTTAATGTCGTAGTTGAACGTGCAAATCTAATTGTGATATCATGTTGATTTAGAAATCTTATACAAGACTTTGCTATGCCCTTATAAGTTACAGAGGCTTGCGAAAACATTAAACTGACCCAAGAAGAGTCTTTAAATCAGAAAGAAGAGTAACTGATGATATCTAAATCAAATTTTCAGTTAGTAACAATGTAACGTACTAACTGAAAGTGAAGAATGATCATCGCAGTAAATTTTCCAATTTAAGCAATTGGAAAGAAGAAGCCTGAAAAATATCAGGGCTTCAACGGGATTCGAACCCGTGACCTCCGCGTTACCGGTGCGTTGCTCTACCAACTGAGCTATGAAGCCACACATTGGGAGCGAGGTCAATTTGTGGAGTTCATATCTCCCGTGAGGAGTGAAATGATGTGAAGTATATATGAAATAATTCATTTTTGAACTGCGGTTGTACATGAAAGTTCTTTCCAATTGCTTAAATTGGAAAATTTACTGCGATGATCATTCTTCACTTTCATCTACAACCGCAGTTCAAAAATGAATTATTTCATATATACTTCACATCATTTCACTCCTCACGGGAGATATGAACTCAATAAATTGACCTCGCTTCCAATGTGTGGCTTCATAGCTCAGTTGGTAGAGCAACGCACCGGTAACGCGGAGGTCACGGGTTCGAATCCCGTTGAAGCCTGATTTTTTTCAGGCTTCTTCTTTCCAATTGCTTAAATTGGAAAATTTAGTGCGATGATCATTCTTCACTTTCATCTGCAACCGCAGTTCAAAAATGAATTATTTCATATATACTTCACAATGTACTAACTGTGAATGATGCACCTGTTCCTAGTGTGAGAAGATCAAGGCAACCTTATGTACTATAAAGGACAAGCTGAGCGAAATGTTTCAGGTAACTTCTTAGAGTATGTATTAGTTAAGGCCTGCAATTTAGTTTTTGATAGGGAATGCCTCCCTGATGGCCAAATTACATCAATTTTTCTATTCCCGATTTATAATTCCTGTTGACGACAGTAGTTTATTTCGGTTCTGAGGTTTGACACTCCAGATAAAGCATAGCTTCGTAGCCAGGATTTTAATCTAAGGAAGTTTGGTAAAAGCTATCGCCTACACCCACTGACACCTCAACATTTTCAAACCTATTAATGAGATTGAAGTTCACAATGAATTTGTCTTGTTGCAAAATAGGTTAGCACATTTTAAGTATATTCCTTACACCTGTTTAAACCTGTTATAAAATAGCTTTAAAAAAGTGCAAAGATGCTGTAACTCTCTAATGAAACAGTGTGTGCGAGTAATGAATAAGGAGATATGGTGTTTTAACAGGATGATTTCATCGTCCATACAGTACTGGTTACAATGCTTACATTTTCAAACGAAATGGAGATGTCACGTCAGAATCCCGAAGTAGCTGTGGAGTGTTACAGTGAGACACTAGAGATTCTATACTTCAAGTTCCTCCCTGAAGTTCTTCTTGGAAGGGCAAGGTGTTTATTAAAACTGGTAAGGAAAAGATGCTCAAAGGATCCCAGTTGTATTCATAAATAAAGATTTCAGGGATCTCTCCTGGTAGTGCTAGTTAGCCTGCTTCTCCGCGCTACATTTTCTGCCCGTATAAGCCACTATAATTTTCTCTTCAAAAATACTTGACAAGCGAGGGAAGTCTCGGACATCGTGGTTCATCCTTGCGTACAGCACAGTAGCCTCTATTTTATGACTTCTTAACTTCTTTAATGCCTTGGGCAAAAAAGTTAGGATCGAGGGTATGCCAAGGTTTAGCACAGGTGACTCTTTGTTGTTGTTGTTGTTGTTGTTGTTGTTGTTTTTCTATGCGATCTTTTCCCGAGGTTAATTATAGACAGTGTTGCATGAATTTGCTGTTCGACAACTCAGCAGCCGATAAGGAGGTCCTCTCGGAAGGGATTCTTCAATCCCGTTTTCTGGGGAACAACCTTTTTAAAGGGGCACCTTCAACCAGTGTGCACTGCGGTCGTGCACTTCACCGAAATCATTTGCTGAATGTAGAAATTACGAACGTTCTGATTGTGTTTGAAAATCGGATTGTATCTTCACAACCTAAGGCAATAGCAGGCTGTGATACCCTTCTTAAAAGAAACTGATGCAATCCTGTTATCAAATGAAATGATTTCGGTGAAGTGCACGACCGCAATACACACTGGTTGAACGTGAGCCTTTAACAAGCTTCTTGCATAGGTGTTGACTGTGTAACTTTTTGTGATCGGCCTCAAATTAATTTTTTTTAGCGGCGAATATATACCTCTTGTTACTGGAAACCACATTTCCTTAGCCTCGTATCACAAAGTCGCAACATTTCGGCGCAACCCATTCATGATGACAATACAGAATCTTATTCCCTTTTCTACTAAAATCCAATACTAAGCAAATATTAAAACGACTCCTACAAAAAATCACTTACCAGTGCCCCACACACAAGTGTGGTAATCGCTCCACTTCATCAGATCTCACGGCCATCTAGAGAGATCTAGTCTCATCAATGCTAATTTCTTGTAATTTTCAGGGAAGACACACAGATGCAAAGAACGATTGTGCAAGAGGTGTGGTTACTATCGGTTCTCTTTCAAATAACACTTAATTCAAACCAGCTTTTGCAGGTTTTCTTTAAAACTACAGCTTAATCAAGTTTCCATGATGCCTTTTTTAAATATGAAACATTGTTTATTTTTAGTACTTTGGTTTGAAAGCAATAACGAAAAGGCTTTACAAATGATGAAGCAAATTACAGAAAATATGAAGAAAACCAAAGAGGAAGAAACAGCTAAAGACAAGGTACATTCGTTGTCATTTTTCACTTTTCTTACCAAAGCTTTAACCCATCAATGGTGACTCGAACTTTGAGTTTATAACTATTTTGTTTGCTCGCTAATTAACAGAAACATTAGACCATGTTTATGGGCAAAGGGAAATACATTAAAACGCCTTATAATTGATTGGATTAGCTCCCTAATATCGCTTGAGAGGAGGCCACGAGTTCATAAAATTTTTATAAGATTTTTGAGTACCGTTTGCATGTTAGTTAGAAAATTTAATTATTAGATATACTATCAGTATTAAATATTCAAGAAAAATCTCCTAAAGGTGGAAAGCAGCGAGGTGCATTTAGCTTACCGAAAAGAGTTGAGATATCTTTAATAAACTAAATTAAATTATCCCTAATATTTAAGCAATAGAAAAGGTTTTCCATGTTTGCATAGCCTTATATAGACACGAGAGTGGTTGGGAGAATTCGAGACAGTTATGCAAACCCGAGACGAAGTCGAGGGTTTGCATAACAGTCAAGAATTCTGCCAACCCCTCGAGTGTTTATATCAGGCTATGCAAACACCGGGAAAAGTTTTCTATTGCTTTTATAAAATAACTTTCCTGTGAAAAAGCGCAAAGGGATTAAAAGGGAAATTCTTACCAGTCGCAAAGTCTTGTACACGAAGTCTTGCACGCGTAATCAGTTCTTGTTTTGCAAAAAGATGCCTCCCAGAATACGGATTTTTCTCGCTTAAAATGTCAGCTTAAGCGAAAAAAAGTAGACACAGCTTGTTCGTAAAGATTTTCAGCCGACGAAGGAATGGAGAAATAAAGTAAACTTGTCGAGTTTTGATCACTAAAACGTTTTAAAATTCGTGTTTGCGTGATTAGCGCGCGAAAAGCAAAACATCTCACGTTACAATTACCATGTTTACAGACTCTCATGCAAACACTCCTCTCACCCAATAAGAGTGCGCGTACTATCTTAGTTATTTTATAAAAGACTTTATTATATGGCTGAGTCTGCTTTCGCCATGCGATTGGTCAATTTGCGGTCCGTAACTTGCTGTACGGACCAAAATTTCAAAGAAAATGCTCATTTGGGAGCTCTAAATCTCTTTACCTCGGAAAAAAGGTTGAAATTAAGTTACATGACGTCTATCAACCTTGAGGACTTAGACTTTGACTTTGTCCTTCAACATTTTAAACTGTGTTTATTTGTGAACGAAGGCGATGAAGAAACTAACTCGTAATCTCATCGAAGAGGATTCTAGTCAGTGTTTGAAAATTTCATCGCAGTACACAGTTAAGAAGACGAAAATTAAATCGACTGGCAGAGATTCGAGACGTTTTGCCTAAGAGAAAATGAGTAATTCCTTCGACAAATATGATAACAAACATGCCTGCACCCGATCATCTTGACGAGCTTCTTTGTCATTTGCAGTGTTTTTCCAAAGACCAACGAAAGAAAGATAGAAGCGACTCCGAGCCAGACACAATGTCCAGTTTTCAAAAGACTGCAACGTCACATTGGCGAGTGAATACTTACAGTGCTCTTAGTTTTGACCGAAAATACTTAAAAATATGTCTTTAAACCCTGAGGACTGGGATGTTGACTTTGCCTTTCCAGATTTTAAGCTAGCTTTGTTTGAATGAGAACGAAGCTGATGTAGAAACTGAATCGTAACCTTTCCGTGGAAGAAAATATGGTCCGTGTTTGAAAATTTTAACACGGATCACGCTTGAAGAAGAGAATGAACTGGCAGAAATTCGAGGGGTTTTCCCAAAAAAATTAACGAGCGAATCCTTCGACAATGACAACAAACTTACCTTGAAAAGCTTCTTTGCCTTTTGCAGTGTTTTTTTTTAACAAGGGCCAACGTATAAGATGGAAACGACTTCGAGAAAGACACAGTGCCAACAAAGGAGACTTTTGTCTGATTGGCTGTCAGATTTTGTAGTGTTCAGTCTCCTAATCACGCGCAAGAGAGTAAACAAAGATGGCTGCCAAAGCCAAAGTTCTCCTTCGTTCCATCGTTCCGAATCGTTCGTTCAAGATGGCATGGAAAGGTTTACAAAGTGTGATGTCTTTCTCTCAGCCTATAGTACTTATAGGGGGCGTTGACAACTTTTTTTTATATGCGTATATTGCTGAGTGCGTTGCAAAAAGAACTCATCTGAAGCAAAGTACATCGGTTGGGATGGGAAATTTTTAATTTACAAATGCTACAATAGAGTCTTTTTCGGAGGAGGAAACGTATTTTCAACTTCACTGAAACGTCCTGCCGACCCGGGGGAAACGGAGAAAGGTAAGCTTATTGTTTAAGTGGTATGTTTTATCACTCAAACTGTGTACAACGTCTTGATCTTCAGTTATTTAAATGTTCTTGAGTTTTATATAAGCTTAGGCCTAGTTTTTCTGTTTCTTGCCAGGTTGTGAATTTCTGATTCTACTGTCTCTTAATGACGAAGTGATGCATGTAGCGACTCAGAGACCTCCTTATGTTTTTAATTTTTTTCAAAACATTTCTCACCACGACACCTTCTATTAAAATAAGTTACCTGTTTGCTACAAAACTAGGGAAGAACTGGAGTCGGTAAACGTCTGGGTGCTTTCCTAACGGATGCGGTTCACTGTAATAAATTTATAATAAATGCTAAAGGAGGGACCCACCATATACATGTACTTGACTTAATCACTTTTTTGCTGGTTATTTAATACATGTAAATGTAGTCCATAGTATAAGCAAACACTACATCTGCATCATGAATATGTGCTGTTTCTCATAGTCCTGGGAGCAGCTACTCAACAACATTTTACAACGGGTGGTTTCGCCCCAAGTTGCCTACATTTCCCTGCACCCTTTGAGGATGTGCAAACACATAGACCAATCCCAAGGTCCAATGTCTTATCCTTTATTGCTGACAGGAATGGTGCTCCTTTTCTCTCTTTCCCCCTCCCCATGTTCAAACTATTTCTTAAAAAAAAAACTAGCCACTTGATGAATAAAAGGATATACCCTTCCCAAACACCAAACCCGTAAGGACAGACCAGTAGTAGAAATCAGAAATCAGAGTGGGCAGTGATGTTGTCTATCTAGCTTTAGCTATGATAGTATCCACTTCATTGTACATACACTGTATATACTGCACCTACTACTAACTAGTGCTCCACATTGTGCAATGAAGCTGGTGCTGCATGCTTCTCACTCCCAGGGTTAGCTTGCAGATTATTTACATTTTTGCTGATCACTTGAGACTCTTGCAGCAGACTAAGCTGGGAAAGGGATACTGTTGTTTACTGTTGGGTGGTTGTAACATACGAGTGGGCCTATCACTAGAGAGCCTTATTTGCCAGGGTACTTAGAACTGGAATACATTAATTCTTCTTATTTGCAAATAGATGGATGGAAAATTAGGGGAGCGCATAACCAGGGTTTTAAAGTAATCCATTTTCAATTTTTTTCTTTGATCCACCTGAACAGTAGTTAAAAGAATATGAATGGACTGGCCAGAATTACTTTAGGGAATGGACCAGTCTGAATGACACTAAGTTGTAATAATTAAATACTTTAAAAGTCAAGGAGAATGGACTTTGAAGTAAACAAAACCAGATTTGTTTTCACTTAATTAAATAACAATAGATATCATAGCTAAACATTTCACTAGTCTTTCAACTTTTGCACATTTACATTTAATTTGTGACATAAGTTTCCTGTTAATTCAATATTTAAGAGGAGACTTTCTGTTTCAATGCCTTTTAATTTCATTTCCTCTCAAGCAAGTATAAGGTTACATGGGCCAGTATGTCATCCACTTTGACCTTATTGGAGAGCTTTTGTGTACTCCAGTTTGACCATTATTTTTGTTTTCGCAAACACCTGAAATAGGTGTGTAAATTGTATATTTCAAAACAGCTGCATCTGCAAGACAACAAAACGACATTTTTATCACTATTACATTTTCTACACCACATACGACAAGTTTTCTCAGAGTCTTAGATTTTCGAAATGGTTCGAAGAAAATAGATGTCACGCCATCGCTTACGAATGAGCAATTTTGATCGTAAGAGATCCCGCTTCAACCTCAATTTTGAGCAACAAGAACACCCCAAACAATACCATTTTTTTATGCCAAGTTGTAGCAGAGTAAATGTAGTTTCACCTGTGAAAGCCGATTCACATATCACAACTTAGTTTTTCGGATACTTAGGGGGAACCCCGGGCTGTTCAATGTAGATCCGCCTCTGAAAACGCCTTTCGAGTAAGCATTGTTTACTAAAATGCTGAAATATTTGGTTACATACGCCCCAAGAAAACCAAACGTGGCTGAAATAATCTTCCTGTCACCTTTTATCAAATATACATTTCACTTTAACAGTACACCGCAATTCCGCTCATTTGTAACTCTTCAAAACTCGATGCCCTACAAGCAGAATTTCTTAAATTGGTTTTCAACCGCACGACCTTCACCCCACTTTTTGTATATAACGGAACACCCCAAATTAGGTACCAAATTTTGACAGCAGATAGTGTATACATGAAAGAGTTACTCATTGATTGAAATTTCCATATCAAAAACGAACACAAAAGTCTCAAGGATTGGAGCCCAAATTTTAATTTTCACGTAGAACAAAACTTAACTTAATAAATTCCAGCCTACGACTTGCTATTAAATAACACGGATTAACGCCAAACGACAGCTGTGTCCAGAATTTGAGACAATAACTTTATTACAATGCTGGACCCGAATTCAAAGAAGAAATGATGAAAACTGAGCTCTTAAGAACTTGTTGTTTATCGGCACTTTGATTTTGAAATGCAAATAGCGTGGCTTTTTCGCCAGCGCATGACAAGACGATAAAAATCTAAAATACAAGCGCTAGGAACCACATAATGAATTGTACTTACCACAATAGACCTTCCCCTTTTTGTTAGGGTCGATTAAGACCTGAGGAACCGCCTTGGGCCACATAAAAATGACTCCACGATTGCTCGCCGAAGCATTGTTGTGGTGAGATCGCCATCTTTGTTGATGTTATGTGTCTACAAGTAGAGCTTTATCGACCGAAAAAATACCGTAAAGAACGTGAAACATGCTTTTCTGTCTTCACGTTGAGTTTGTTTTTATGTTAATGTCCTTTAACTGGCTTACCGACGACCTGTTGAAGGATAATCCTCCTTCGAAGTTCGGGTGATCAATTTTTGCCGCTCAAATTTGTTTGTTCTGTGAAAAGTAAGAAAACCCGAGAAACCTGGGAATAGTTCGAGCATGCGCAGACAAAAGTCACCTTTGTTCACAGTGCCCGGTTTCCAAAATACTCCAGCGTTACATTAAAGAGCTAAAACTTACAGCGCTCTTAGTTTTGACAAATAAACCATTTTCAACATGGCGAATTTGTGTTCACTTTCTCGGAAACCCTTTGTTGTGTGCTATTGTTTTCGTGAGCCAGTAGAAACTTTCTTTCTCGACGCCTGTCAAATGATTGTCAAATCGCGCGTCCTGCACTTGTTTCTGGTCCCCCAAACTGAAAGAAGCCATATAATAAACATCGCATTAGCCTCGTTTTTTCGGTCCGTACTGGAAATTACGGATCCTCGTTTTTTTCCATCGATTTATGGCCCGCGCGCTTCGCACTTGGGCCATAAATCGATGGAAAAAAACTCGGTCCGTAATTTACAGTACGGACCGAAAACTCGACTAATAAGAGGCATTTACGTTATTTGCGAACTACGAATGACAATATTATATGCAAGTATGCTTCAAAAGAATGTACATAATCCGAACAAACTTAAAGACAGAGTGGATGCTGCTGGTTCACATTCCATGTTACTTTTCTTTAAATCAGTATTTTTAAATTTCACAACCTATCATACAGGTGTATAACGACAGATTTGTATTTTTAGTCGCTTTTGTTTTTCTTTTTTTTAAAGGCCGAGCCTCAAGAGGAATTCCCGAAAGAAAAGAAATCTGATTCTCACACTGATAGCATTTGGAGTCGTCGTTCTGTTGAACCATTTCGGCTTTCTCGTGATGACCAGGTTTGTCAGTTCAGTATTTTGTCCACTAAGATGTTCATACCATACCGTTAGAAAGCATTGCATGACTCAACGTTTATCCCGTGCCATTCATCATGACTTTACTGCACTCTTTAAAATCACGCGAACTCTGAAGTTCAAAAGCCGCCTTCACACTTCATTACGTTTTTCGCTGCCATTATTCATAATTAAGATCACAAACAACGATCCTTGAAACACAGATACGCCCAAAAACGGATCGAAATCCACTTATCACAAATTGGACGGCAGCGAAAATCTCAAACGGCAGTTGGCTTTTAAACTTCAGAATTCCCGTGCTTATGAAAAGCGCAGTAAAGAAACTCGTGCGTCACAGATAAACCCGAAGAAAGTCACCTTAATGTAATGCACCTATCAATGTAAATCCCGTGGGGGGTGCGGGCAAAAGGCGGGGATTTGATGCCTGAGACTATCCCCCTGTCGGGATTTTGATCGTGCGGAGCAACCCCGGAGTCGGGACATTTGACTTTGACCGATAGAAGCCTGGTATTAATTCAGAAGCGGTAAGCAAGTCCGTCCCTCGAGGCTTTCTGAAAGTCACGCTGTTGGAGAAAGTCATGAAGTTTTCATTTGTTTTAATCGCCATAATCCGATACTTTACATGTACACTGTCATCTAAACAGATAATGTCTATTTTGAGAAAGTTTTTATCTTCAAGTTCCCATCTGATTGTAAACCTCAACTGAAATCGAATTCTACCATGAAAATCAGAGGATTTTTTACAGGTCACTGATCCGACCTGTTCCGACATGTTGACCCGATGTTATAAAGCATTTTACGTTTCATTAATATAATAGCACGGTCAATCTTCCTGGAGTGATTATGTTTTTCAAAATAAGAGATACTAGTAGAGAGAGAAAATACTTAATTACAGCGAGTAATTTAACGGAGCTTACGTTAACCTTAAATAAAAGTAGTAAGAACGTACTTTTGAAATGTTCTTTCATTTGTTTTATATAGTATTATAGTATTGTTTGTTTAGATTTTTCCCCTGGGGTGGGCGCTTTTTTGACACTTTTGATTGACCTTTCATTTCCCACCCTGGGGAATTTGATCAAAAAATTGTACAATTGGTCAAATCCCCACCTCTTGCCCGCACTCCCCCCGCCCCCCAAGGGATTTACATTGATAGGTGCATAATCTGTACACAACCATTAGTAACTAAGGCCATCCGAATAAAATGTTTCGTTTCTCATCGCCCGACCGACCCATTTTTTTCGAAAAGTCAAAGCAAAAAATTTCCAGATTCACTAGTCAAAGATGCAAGTACTTTAATTTACAAGCACACGATCTTGTTTTAACAACAATTGGTATGATGTGATGTCCTTGCCTTCAATTAACATCGATACTACGTTTTTAAAGGCTGTTTAGACATTTGATAGTCGTGTTAATATACATCTTTTACCATCTGATTATATATCTTGCAGACTGAACGTGAGTTTTAATATGCAAAATAAACTGGAGGAAAAAGTTTTCATTCTTTTTTTTTTTGTTTTTTTTTTTTGCCCGACTTACCGACCCACCATGACAACAGACGGGGCGATGGGAAACGAAAAATTTTATTGACATGGCCTAATGATCGACAGCTTTTCAATGAGCAAAGTTTCTTTTCACAATATCAAAAAACACATCCAAGCCTCTATTAGCCATGTTATATGTGAGCTGAGGTTGTTGGTGTATACCCGTCAATGTATGAATATAATTAATTTTGTAACTCCTATAGACATCACTAAACATATTGCTTGATAATGCTTGCTTGAAGGGTCAGTATTCACATAGAGAAGAGAACGAAGCTTCCGCCAAAGTAGAAGGTAAAACATTCAATGTATTTTTATCATTCAACCTGCCTATCTTTGCCTACTGAGTTCTTATTTCTGGCAGCACAGAAAAAGGTCCAATTTTCCTTTTAGGTTTTGAAAAGCAGGCAGAGCTGGAGCAACAGCAAGTGGAGGATGAAGAATCTGGTACGATTCAGTTTAGTTTGATACCACCGCAAATTGTTTGAGGTTTTTGCTCTCTGAAACGTACATTTCATTGATAAGGACTGATTTGGCCCATTGTAGCTAAGGCGGAAAAGAAGAGGATGAAAAACAAGCAGAAGAGAATGAGAAAAAAGGAAAAGAAAAAGGAGCAGCAGAAAAAGCATACCGGTTTAGGTAAACAAGAGTTGATCTTCTGGATACAGTCAACACCCTTTATGGCGGACATTGTAGGGACCTCGAATTAGTGTCCTCATTAGCCAGAGTCGGTAATAGCGAGAGTTTAATTTAGTCAAACTTATATAATTTATTTTTTCCTGGGATTTAGCCGCTGTCCGTATTATCGGGATATCGGTTGTAGCGAGGTGTCCGCGAGACGAGAGTTGACTGTATTTTGAAGACGGCTAGTCATTACACACTGAGCATTTTCTATGTTTGCCAAAAACACTTTCTTGCATGTCATTTACGCTATGTTCACAAGGCACCGGAAAAATTTTCGACCGGTTGAAACTTCCTGCTTTTAGCTGCTCCATTCAAGAGGAATCACTAAACCTTCTTAACCGTACGAAAATTTAGACGCCTATTTAAGCCTCAAAATTGCCGTGTGAACAGGGCGAAAAAATTAATGGGTCCCATGTGAACGTCTCCGGTGAAAAATTGGTCCGGTGTCGTGTGAATGTAACCTTAGAGCAAAAAGGTTTTCATCTTGGCGTTCCGGAATACACTTTTGTCAGGACTTTCAAAAAACAACAAAAAAGGTAAAGGCGCACACGAGTCAAAGGCCCAAAGATAGTGGCGCAGTTCCCAATCCCTCCCCCTGGACCTGTTGAGTCAGTCAAGTCAAGTATATGGCTGAACGTGTTTTCTTTAGGCTCAGTTATTTTGATTGAAGTGACTTGCAATTGTTTGTCAGATCAACAGACGATTTCTAAAACAAGCACTGAAGCAGACAAAAATGAATCAGATGGAGTGGATTCTGTAACTGAAGAACCAATTGCCACAAGAGTGGATTCTGTAACTAAAGAATCCGCTGTTAGCATAATGGATTCTGTAACTGAAGAACCGTCTGTCATTGAAGAACCAGCTGTTAGCATACCGTGTTCCGTCAACAAAAAAATGGGAGGATCTCTAAAAACTCTTTCGTCTACTTTTAGAAATTCGGTTCTTTGCGAAGATCCCTTCGCAAAAGACTTTATACCGGTACAGAATTCTCGTCGTCCTCGCAAGCAAGCAGCTATGGCCCAAGATAGGCATGTTCACTGCAGAGTTCAAGAACCGTTCAGCTCCCCGATAGAAGGCAAAAAGCAAGAAGAAGATGTCACGTCGCAGGGAAACACAGTACCGCAAATTCAACAGATATACCCAAGTGGAGCTCTCGAAATTCAAGAGAGTACAAACCAAAGAAAACGTGAAGTACCAGGTCACTCAAGTTTTGACTTGGAAGAATTCCCACCCTTGGACGGTTCCAACCTCATGTCGGCCCATGACCCCATAAAAGCTCCAAACGCCTCAATCAAACTTCCGCCTCCAGCTACTATGCTGAATTTAAAAAGTGATGAAAAGCCAGAAATGCATTTAAGTCCTGAAAAACGTTCATCAGCATCCCTTCACGCCTTAAGCAGTAGTAGTACTACTGCTTCTCACACGACAGGTCTTGAAAAAGACAAAAGCAGACAGCCTTTCCTTCCAGTCAACCTCTCTCAGAGATCCCAAAGTGACAGTCAATCACATGAAATGAGTAGTCCCACACGGATCCCTCAGGGAGTGGAAGTTGTATGTGACCACTTTCTACAGGATAACCGCACCAAGCCATCAAGTATCCATTTCAAAACCAAGACCTGCAAAGAATGTAAAGACACTGGCCCGTTGCGGTTCGCTGTCTGGAACGCTACCGACTGCTGTTGGCAACTGATGCGACCATATCCTGCCCTTAAGGTTCCGCTCAGAGCTACTTTGTCCGTTTGCAAGCACTTTGCAACTTTGAGACCATGTCCTAAGGATCCTTGCACTTTTCCCCATGGCGCTGAAGAATCAGCCATATGGGAAATAGAGAGAGAAGGTGGTAAGTGTGCAAGTTACAGTGTTAGCTGTGTGTAGCGAAGTAAAACTTGCTGTTGCTTACACATGAAGTACGTTGGACCGCGATGAAATTTAATGAAAGTTTTAACCGCAAAACAAGTGGGCCCATTCTCCAATCACTGACTGTTCATCGATACCTAGTTTTCAGTTTCACCTGTCTCGCACAGGCAAAGAAGTATATGCACAAATCAAAAGTATTTTACTCGGATAAAGTGGATAGAGAGCGTTATAATTTGGTATTGACAACAGCATTATCTCCCAAGGGTAATATTAGTTTATGAACCTCCCCAGGAAACGTTTTTCTAGATGGCTGTGTAATATGAAATTGTTTTTTGCAAATTTTTTCTTTGCCTTTTCCTATTGAAAGCTTTACCAACGCCTCAAGAGGTCCTTGCTTTGGCTGCTGCAAAGGCTCCTGCATGGGAATTCCCTACAAAAGACAACGATGCGCTTCAGACAACGGATTCGAATCAGCAACCAAAAGCCTGTTTTGCCATGTCTTCACTGGAAGAATTCCCAAGGTTGGGAACTGCTTTGTCAAAGGGTTCTTCTGACGATGCCACCAGGAATATGTCCTCTTCGGTCTGTCCTAAGGGAAGTGACTCATCTAAAACCACCATGGCGGCTTCAAACATGGCTGCCCTTCAGTGGGCACAGGCGAGTAACTTCAACGATGCGCCTTTTCCTCCACGGTGTTCATCACAACCTAAGATGTCTCAATTAAAGCCGACTACTCCTGAATTTATACCAGCTAAAGAAACATACGCAAATTCTCTAATGAAAGACTCAAACTTAAATTCCACTGAGAGATTTACTATAGATAACGTAAACAGTGCCAATTCGTCAGCTGGAGGAACTAAACCACTCACGCACATAGTTGATATTTCCACCGCTGATAGCAAGTCTGTTCCAAGCAGTGACATGGCAAGTGTCGAGATTAATCAGAAGATGTCTTCCAATAAATTTACAAAAATTCCTGATGGTGTGTTTGTCGTTTGTGACGACTTTCTTCAAAAAAACCTCAGAATACCAAGGAGCATCCTTAATAAGAGCAAAGCCTGCAAAGGATGTGAGAACCGCTCAAAACTAAAGTATGCCTTTTGGAATAACAACAACAGACAATGGCAAATAATAAGACAATATCCAGAAAAAGTCCCATCGCATGTTGCTTTCTCGGTTTGCCGACAGTATGCCATTAACACACCTTGTCTGCGGATACCTTGCTCATTTGCTCACGGCCAAGAAGAATTAGACATGTGGACCTTAGAAAGAGAAGGAGGTAAGTTGGATATATTTTTTTCGTACTATCGCTGACGATGGATAATCTAACTCCTTAAGCACTTTTCACTTTCACTTTTGGACTAGCACACGGTGTCCATCTTATGAGAGATGTACACCCAAAGAAATAGACCAACCTAAAGAGTCCGTTTGAGGAACATGGCCTCGTATAGACGTTTGCGTGCTCCAGGCTTCGAGGTAAGGGTAGTTGGCAATCGCGTCTTATTCTGAATTATCTTTATATTTTTGGAGCCCTTTCTTCTACGTCTTCTATCTGAGAGTCTGGAACAAAGCTGGTACATAAAGGCCAGGGTCCACCAAAAAAACAGATTTGATTGAATATTACGTTATAAACCAACGGCCTATCATAATCAAAAACAGGAAAACGTTTTCAAAGTTAAGGGTACTTTTGAGAAAATAGAATTAGAATGGCTTGCCTGAAGCAAACCTAACTCGATGTTGCTTTTGTCGTCTAGTTCTTCCTACTCCCCGGGAAACTCTTACTGGATTACCTGAGAAGACAGATGAAAGATCCATTCACATGCAACCACAGTTAAAGTATAGACCGTCGCCACCAGGAGTGAAAGGTGGTGCCTTCAAACTATGCAGAAGGTATTGATGGGGGATTTTTAAGTATTGACCAGACACGAACTTAGCTGAAATGAAAATGTACCATTGATAACCAAGTTCGTAGTGTTTTATATTACCCTAGCAATAATGATATACTAAAGGTCATCCGTGTTTGTCTTTCAAGATTCATTCAATGGCAAAAAACGTTTTTGATTATCTTCTTTAACAGTATAACTTATAGAACGTTAATTCAAAGCTTCAGGGGCGTAGCTACCTGACACACGGTACGCACGTGCGAACCTGTAAAGAGATATAAAATGAATAAATAATAAAACATAAATAAAAAGTTAATTCTGAAAAGAAATCAAAATATCTAAAGGTAATTGCTTTAGGAGCACAGTTTGCCTTAATTCATTCAACTCTTCTTGGTTTTTTTAATTATTATATATTTTTTCGAAAACAAGGGATCGTTTTTTTTCCTCTTTACCCAAATGTTTGTTTCCAGAGAAACGAAGTAATTCACTGTTGGACCGAATCTTGGATGACATATATATCTAGTTAAAAGATGGCAGGCGTTTTTACCAAAACGCTCGGATTCTGAACAACTCGAGAGCGACGGAAACGAGAACGTCAAACGAAACCAGCCCGATAATCGAAAAACAACACATTTTGCACGTGCAACACGCTTTTCTTTACAACCTGTACGAACACTACGTTAAATTTCCTTTTGCGACGTTGTTTGGAGGACGTAAACACAGGGACAAATTCAATTTCTTCTCTGAGTCGGAACTTGGATGCGGTCCCCAAGACTCCGTAGAGACGTTCACCTATATTTGCCAGTTTAAGAGAGTTGAAATAAAAGCGAAAAAGTAAAAAAAAAAAAACGTTCATTTTGATGGTTGAGGACGTTTTCGTTGCCCCGCCGTCGTGGTTGCTAAGGTGCCCTATATTCTTGAAAGTGACAGTTCCATTTTGGTTCTACCACAAGCTCGTATGATCAAATGCGGGAAAGTATCCGAATTCGTTGGGCAAATTGTTTACATTACAAAACATTGCATCGGATTCACTTTAGATTTCGAATGCAAAATCTATAGAGACGACCAAATTGGATTCACGCGCGCTGCATCTGCTTAAAAACGACAAAACAAACCCAGTAACAAGATTATTCGGATTCCTGACGAATCCGGAAAAGTGTGTAGCCTTATTGTATGATGGACTGAAACACGAGACAAAATATTTTACAGGTTGCTAATGTCATTTCATATGCAGAAAAAACGCTTAGGCTTACAGCGTAACCAAATCTTTAATCAAGAAAATTTTTTTTTTTTTTTTTTTTTTTGGGGGGGGCAAAGCTATTTGGAGAATTGTGCGTAGCCCTGAAAAAATCGTAGCTACGCCCATGTGCTTGTATTGAAAAGTACCGTTAGATCCATACTTCTTATGCTCTTCTCAGAGAAAAATCTCGTCTTATGAAATGCAACATATAATGCGAATCTCGAGATAAACGTATCATTGTTTTGCTCATTCGTAGCCAGTTGTCACAATACATAGTTATACGAATTCAGTATGTTAATTTCCCTTGTTTGAATTTCAGTTGTTACACTCATGAACGATGCCGATTTGGGCGAGGATGCCTGTATGCTCATTCTAATGGGGAACTTATGGAATGGCAACACGAATACCTAAGAAAAGGAAGGGAAAAACTCCAAAAAGAGCTTCAGGACAATGATGAGGTTCTTTCTATGGAAATGACAACAAATATCTTAAAAGGCCCAGAAGAAGATGTAAGTGTTATGTGAAACAAATCATACTTTAAAAAACTAAATATATGAAATAAAATGAAATACTGCGACCGTGACGAGGGCCTGATAAAAGGGTACTCATGGCACGAGTCCTTTGATGTAATAGCAACCGCTTTGGAAGTCATTTCTGAAGCAGAAAATTTATACGAAATAAATAAGTGACTATTTGGGGCTAGTACAGAGCATTTGCACTACAACGTTCTCCCTTAAGGTTTCTCACTACTCAAACATCACTGAATAATTGTTTCACTGCACGCAGGTTGTAGAATCCCTTCCTGGAGTGGACGTTTCCTGCAATCCACCTGAGCTTAGTGTAAAACTTCTAGAAAATAATGGCAAGGCTACATGTCAATGGGTGTGCAACCTTACATTTAAGGTCAGTGAATTATCAGGAATTTTTTTAAAAATATAATAGATCGTTAAAAAAATAATAATAAATAACAACGCATCTTTTAGTCCAATAACAAATGAATTCGAAGATCTGATTTCAACGAACAATTTGAAAACGATTGACCAACATGACAAAAAATACAACGAATTACTCCCTACAGTGGCCACTTACCCCACAGGTAGTCGTTATAGATAGTTTCGACGCTATTATTATTAACAGGAATAGGTATACGAGATTTCATTCTTTTTTAACTGGTTTCTTTTTAATATCAGAGACGGATGATTCTCTTTTGTAATGACTTAATTTAAAACTCCAGACCGCCTGCAAGAGTTACTGATCGCATCTGAGCCGCAAGGAATGTATTTCGGACATCGTTATTGACACAGTGATTGTATTTTTCATGACTTATGTAATTCTTAATGTTATAAAGTGCTTAATTCTTACTTCAAATATTTCTGTAAATTATGTGAATATTTTTAAAGTTGAATAAAATTATGGTTAATTATAAATTATTGTTATTACTGTTATTATTATTATTACTATTATTATTATTATTATTATTATTATTATTATTATTATTATTATTATTATTTTGAATTCAAATCCATGACTTCCCATGATACTGAGTAGGTGCGGTATCGGCCTCTGAGTTACCGGGAAACACCCGGATTTAAACAAAGCCATTTTTATGGTTGTGACAATTTTATCAAAACGTGGAGGCAACGAAAGTGGAAGGAATCAAACGGCGGTCTCTACCTTTCAGGTTCCATTATTATCTTTTTTATGTTATATATCAATCTTTTCAGTGAATAACCTTCGCATTATTTGTTTCAATTTTTTACAATGTCAGACAAGTGTGGTAGGATACCTGCGCCATGTACTTCTGCTGTACAGATACCACAACTGCTATCAACTGTCAGAAATTCGCGTCGGTTGCTATCAAGATTATAGAGGCTGTGAAAGCTATAATGTTTGTTACAGCGCTAAACTGAAGGAGTTCTGGTACAAAGCTCCAGACGTTAACAACTTCTCTGGGCGTGCGAAAGTGTCTCTCACTGTCTCGTTTGAGTCTTCTCTGTATGGAAGCTTTGATCAATGCATCGTATTTGACTTTGGTAGGAAACCGTACCTTGTGAGAAGGCTTAATGTTGACGTACAAAGCGGGTCTCTGCCGCAAACTTCCATTTTTTCGCAACATGCAACTGCAACAGCTGTTTGGGACGAGCGTTCCACGGATGTAGTTAGGTTTGTTCACAAGACAGGCGAGGCCCTTCAAGGGGAACATTTGTCTAGAATTTATAGCCTTCAGAAACAGGGGAATATAACAGCGGAGGAATTGCGCCGCGACAATTACAAGACGGTTATGCATCAATTGCTGTTCGTGGAAGAAGGATTTATGAAGAGGGAACTTTCAAGGTATAGTAAACATTTGATTTATGCCTACTAGGTAGCCTCTGGAAGTTTTTTAGGGAGTCGTTTCCCTTGGAGGAAATGCGACTCCCCTAAAACACCTTCCTAGAGGGCTAGTTACCGCAGGCATCAAATCGCTTTTCCTAGCCAGTTAGAGGAAATTATATGATGGAACCAATGTGAACTGATGTGAGCGTTTAGAGTGCTAGCTCTTTTTGCTAGCGCTCGAAACGTTGCTCGAAACTTTTGCTGTAGAGGTCGAACTTTCCAAAGAAGCTGAAAGTCTCCCCCTAGCAGAACAAACTATAATTAAACGTAATTTCCTTTTCCTGCCAGTGTTCCAACGCGAACCGTTCAACTTGTTTACCCTTAAAAACCAATGTTGGTTTAGAGGACCTATTAGGAGCAGTAACTTCGCCTATATAGCTCTTGTGATCGTTAAATGAGTACGCTTTGAACCCTAGCAAAGGGACAAGCCGAAAGAGAAGAATAAATTTATTCGGTGTTTTTTAAACTCTACTTGATAAGTGTTTTACTTTCTTGATTTTTCAGCTACACTTTAGGCAGAACTCAGCTGCATGCTCAGTGGAGCGTCTTTGACGATATGTCCGGAATGAAGTTTGCCGTAGACAATGAATTGTTTGGTGTCCTTTACCTACAAGAAGAAGATGCTCTTAGACCTGATGACGCAGCAGGGCGTCTCCTTTACCGCAACGTAAGCTCCGTGTGGATCAGGCTGGCTGATAGTGTCTCAAACAAAGTTTATGAGGCCCCTGTGGAGAAAGTAGAGAGTGAATGCGTTGTACTGAGGTTGTCATCCAAAACGGTTTCTGATTTACTTCTCTATGATACCTGCGATGTTTCTGTTAATGCTCAGTTTCAGCTAAACCGATGGCCACTTTGTGAGATGCACGCCGCCATTGACAGGATTACGACAGCCCAGTTGCGTCTTATTTTTCCAGAGCCCAGAGTTCCAGTTGTGAGGAGTGAAGTAAGTTGACCTTTATAGATTGAAGAAAATGGTAAAATGCCTTTTCTAGAATGTTTCATCACTCGTGAAAACAACAGATTACGAAAGACAATTTACAGAAAACCGAACACTTTCCGGACAGATTACTAAACCTGATGTTTCACTGAGCCACAATAACAACGGCTCCTTAGAAAGCTGAATTACTAACTTAGGAAAAAACGCCACTGAATAGCAGTCAACAATAACCAGCTACGTACAAAACGACTTATTGACGGACTTAAGCAAACCTGACAACAGGACAGGTTGTCGAAACGTCAGTCATTGTCAACAGTAGCCCTATTAGCCCTATTCATGACTATGATCACCCGGACGATCATGTTCTAGCTACTTGTTTACTTCTGGGTTAAAACCTTTCACAATTTTAAGTTGTTTGAAGTGGATGTTATGGCATATCATCTGAGTTGATAGTTAATTGTCGTCTTCAATTTTCATTGAAGTATTGGAGCGCATACATCCTCATCAAGCATCCAAAAAGGTCTTATGGCCACTAGTGAATATTCCTCTGCACATACATAACTGGCAGTTGTAGGAGTTAATATGGCGTTTTCATTCCACTTCATTCAACTTCCCTGACGACTTTTCATCTTAATACCTAAATGGATTCTGACTGAGCTGTTACTTGTTAATTACTAATACGAAGCTAGAAGATTGCCGTGTGGGGAGAGACGCAATGCTCTCATACTAATTAGGAATATAACAATAAGTGCATCGGTTGTGGTTGGTGAAGTAATCCTATATTTGATCGTTCTAGGTAACCATCCGCTGGCGATGGCTTCTTGATAAACGGCTTAACGACAATCAAAAGGAAGTAATCAAGCAGATTGCGTCACCAGAATACAACAGTCCACCTTTGGTTGTGTTTGGTCCTTTTGGAACAGGAAAGACGTTCACACTTAATCAGGCTGTTCGCCTCATGGTGCAGCTAGACAAGTCACATAGAATCCTTCTCTGTACCCACTCCAATCGGGCCGCGGACATACACGTCGAGTTACTTCACAAATACCTGACCGAACAAAATGGCTCTCCTGCAGCAAGGCCTCTCAGGATCTATCAGCCTATGAGAAGGTATTCAATTAAGCTTGTCGACACTAACTGCAATACTCAATATGCGTTCCCTTTAAATTTACCCGCCAGGAAAAGAAGTCACACAATTTTTTGTAATTCACATTTGAAGCCCACGCCTGATACATTCGAAAATGTTAAATATGTTACGGCTCCTAAGCTGACCTTTAAAATGTGTTTTGAACCTAACAATAGAAAATTTAAAGTTTATAGAACTTTAGGACGTCGGTTCTTTGCCGTTTTATGACCTCTCCAAAATTTTCTTGTGTTAGCGTTTGTAGGTGCTTCTGTGTACAGTCATTCAGACCCTCTCACCAATTGTTTCATTTTGCATTTCTGTAGCGGCGACCTACAATTTTAACGTGCAATATTGAAAGAAGAAAACATTTGAAAAAATGATAATCTTTGGTGTCAATTTAGGTTGGAAACAACATCCGAGATAGCAAGGAATTATTGTTTGACCAAAGGCGATATGTTTGTATTGCCTTCTCGTGATGACCTTGTTGGACACCGTGTTGTTGTAACAACCCTAAGTACATCACAAGTGCTTCTGGATCTGCAAGTACTGCATGGATTCTTCACTCACATTCTTATTGATGAAGCCGCCCAAGCAGTTGAACCTGAAGCGTTGACTCCACTCATCTTTGTCGGACCTAACACAAAGGTTGTTTTCACAGGAGATCACATGCAGGTACTATTTTTCATTTTTTTAATATTATACTCCACCACCCTACTGGCTTGTGATCCCTGTTGCTGTGGAGCTTGGAATAACCGTTACCATCAGAAGAACCGTACTTCACTGAAAGAAAATGAAAGCAACAGAAATTAAATAGCAGGTTTAAAGAGACAGGTTAGAGTGTGTAACCAACTTCAGACGTTATTTAACCGCGGCAGGATTAGCTCAGTCGGTAGAGCGCATGACTGCAGAGCGGAAGGTCGCGGGTTCGATTCCCGCGGATGGACCAATACTCAGGGTCTTAAAATAACTGAGAAATGAAGGTACCCGCCCCGTTTGCACTGCAAGTGGCTACACCTTCGTGTGGCTCGGATGACCACATAAAATTGCGGTCCCTTCTCCAGTTGGAACGTAGAAATAGTGTTCCCAATTAGTACTTTCATGCTAAATACCTTGACCCTCAAATATAGTGCTTATTTTTCACTTTTACACCATGTTTATTTCCATTTTCTGTCGGAAGTTGCTTTAATTTGTAATTGTCGCGGTATAAATATTTTTAGAAGAGGGAATATATAAATCGATTTGCGCGAACTAGCATGCGACTGAAAGAAGGATGGTTGTGATAAAAGCATCTGCTGAGTAAACCTATTCTATTCGTTGCTTTAGATGAGCCCAGAGGTGTATTCACCAGAAGCAAGACGTTTAGGCCTCCAAAAATCATTGGCTGAAAGGCTGTTTGACATCTATGACAAACATGAGGCTCAAGAAGTGAGAGAATACTATGTGTTATTCCTGACGGAGAATTATCGATGCCATCCAGACATCCTGAAGTTTCCCTCCGACAACTTTTATGGGGAGAAACTACTTGCTCGAGGTGGCACCTCTCAGCTAGCGCATCCGAAATACGGTCCTCTGCTGTTCTTTTCAGCTCGTGGCAAGGAGTATAAAGAGCATGACAATTCATATGTCAACTTGTCTGAGGTTTACGAAGTGGTTAAAAGAGTCAAAGAGGTGGCGCATAATTGGCCTACTCAGACCTGGGGACCTACGAAACTATCTGAAATTGCAGTTCTGTCCGCTTACCGCTACCAGGTGACTTCAATACCCTAACTATCCAAACCTAACCTAAGCAGTAACCTTGCGGTTTACTTAGTTTTGATAAATTTGCGTGTTTTTTAATAGATATATTGTACTTTTTTGTGCGTTTGTTCAGTATTAAATCACACATAACGCCAAAATGTGGTATGAAAAAAGCGGCACATGAGCAACAAGCGAGTGTATCACCGTACATGACAAGTTCAAACTGTGTAGCGATGACACACGACTATGAAAATTGTTTTGAAGATGGCTTCCTTAAGGAGCTTTAAGGCATTTTCAAGTCCCCAAGAGCTCTTTTTGTCTCGGCTTCTCATATTCTTTTGCTTTCAAACAGCTCCTGCTAATTTTTTTCAAGGTGTTAACTTTCTTAATCCTAAATTATCTCAAAACCGCGCGCCGTAATGTAATCGTACTCTAATAGAACATGGGCAACGACCTATCACAGCGCTCGTAGCATTCACTAAATTGTATAAACCAACTAGAACAATGAGCTTTGTCTTCTCCATCGCAAGTCATACTGTTCATAAAGAGTCCGAAATGCAGACCCGGAACTATGGTGAACCTTTCCTTTAATACTGGGTAGGGTTTGGACGTTCAACCACCGTACGGTTATAACTCCTACCTTCAGGCATTGTCTTAAGAAGCATACGTATACTCAGTTGTTCAAGCATTTACCAAAAAACGTTCAAACAACAAGCGAGTCCCACCATAGATAATTGTTACAATAAATAATATCAATTCATCCTCGACGTTTAGGTTCAAACAATTCGTAACAGCCTGAGGAAGGAAGCAGACTTGAAAGACGTTAAAGTGGATACAATTCACAATGTCCAGGGTAATGAACAATTTTCCAAGATCCGTTTACCATCGACAGTAACCTTTTATGTTATATTTCATGTTTACTGTGCTAGGAGAGCTAGAAAAAACCTAATGAGGGCTAGGAGCAAAACGGATAAATATCACTAATACAGCTAATAATATGATAAAGTAATCTATTAATTGAATGCAACGCGCCATTCCATTGATTGTGACCTTAAAAGGCCCTTTGTCATCACTGATAAAGAAATACATATTCCTTAACTTACATTGGTCAAAGAACCTCAGCGACAATTAAAACTCGTCTTATACTTAATTGGATACAGCAACCTTTGTGTAGCTTGCCATGTGAGTTTCAGTTCAGTATAAAGTAAAAATGTGAACTATAAGTACAACCGACCGAATGGGCATGTTTATTTGAGTGACTAATGTTCCAAGCTTTCATTCCTTTTTAGGAGAGGAATTCCGTGCACTTTTTATCAGCACCGTGCGTACATTTCACACCTGTAAGCCTCAGCAAGAAGACGTACGCGCCGGTGGATCTGATCGACCTTTATATTGGGAATTTTTGTCTGACCCAAAACTACTTAACACGGCTGTTACAAGGGCTAGATGTTTGGTTGCTGTCGTTGGTGATCCCGTTTCACTTTGTACGGTTGGAGAGTGTCGTAGTATTTGGAGAGATTACATCAAGAGATGCAACGAGAAAGGAGGTCTTTATGGGGTCACCATGGAAGAGCTCGACAAAGAAATAAATGCGGCGATCGCTGGTATCGAGCTTAATCCCAAAGCAGAACCGTTTGTTCCAAAAGCTCTTTCAGTGCCAGAAAAAAGTATTAATACAGAAGTCGGAGAAACAAGAAAAGTCCATGACAGTAAAGAAATTGCAGAAGAGACACAGAAGGACAAAAATGATGGGAAAGACGGCAAAGAGAAAGGACAAGAAATTTCTGACAAAAGTGATGCAAAGTTAGATGAAGACAGTCTTAATGTAAACGATCAATGTCATAGTGGCAAATTCATCAATACCAGCCCAGACATCAACCAAGAAACAAACAAAGTCGATGGGGTGGATGAGAAAGACGATGAAGAGAGAATTGTTGAACCAGGAGACTTTCAGGATGATCTCCTTGACGATGAGACAGTATCGCCCAGAGATTTGGATGAAATAATTTTGGCGTTTGTGAAGAAATGCGAGGAGACATTACAATCAGATGCAGCACGACTGTCAATGTTTCAAGATTCCGAGTTTCCTCCCTTAGAAGCGACTGGATCAAAAGCGATCCGTCCTCAAACAGATGCAAATAGGCACCGGTTCTCAGTCGGGGGCAGAGAGGAACTTAAAGAGTTTTTTCCAGAAATACATGTTATCAACGGTCGAGTTGAAGTGCATCTTACCAACCTGGGATTTTACAGCTCTCCTTCAGAAAGGGCGCAACGAATCATCGCGTCTACGAAACAACAGGAATTTCTGGATCCATCTGTGCTGAGACAACTTCTGAGTGATGAACCGGACAAGTACAAAGTCTGCAATCTCCGTTTAAATCCAGAAAAATCCCAGGTGGGTTATGCTGAGATAGAAGACACAGAAACCCCAGACATTGAAATAAAGGGAAGAGTTCGTCAGGCTTTCGACAGAGACAAAGTTGTATTAGAACTTATTGAGAAGAGGACTCGTTCAAATGCCGACAGCGGGGAATTCCGGTTTCAAGGAAAGGTCGTAGGTAAGCATTTATTGTGCCAGCTATCCACAATCTGCATACAGTATACATGTTAGTTAAGAAGTAGTTATGTCATCACAACGCGGCCTAAAGCGAAAAAGTCGTATCGTTTTTAATGCTAGAATTTCAATAAGTTGTTAAGTATCCCTCAAACTTTTCTTCAAATAAGTTTAAACCAGTGGGTACACCAAAGGATGTGTATCGTTATAAATTTCCGCCAATAGCGTGATCAAAAAGAAAAGCTATGAACATCTAGAGACAACTAATTGGAACAGCGTATACCATTGCAAGGGAAATGGGGAGTAAAGGCCCCTTGGCACTCGCGACTTTCCATGAGGTAGTCCTCTACCACTTGCTTATGTTGTACCAACAAGTAAACAAGTAAAGATGTAAAATTTTTGACATTAACTTTTATTTTAAAATGAAATGTAAGATCTTACTTAGTGAACAGATTTTTTAATCAGTAACCATTGAACTTCACAGGTGTATTGGAACACAGTATCAGCCCACATGAGCGCCAGTTTGTCTGCACTACTGATTACCGAAACCCTGCCTTAATGTTGCCTATTAACAAGTCAGCTCCAAAACTGGTCAACCTATCAGACAAAAGCTGCAAAGATATTCCAATCTACAGAAAGGATCAAAATAACAGAGCTATCCAAGTCAAAATGATAGAAAGAGAGAAAGTTCTCAGTGGAAAATATTTGTTTGTTGTTAAGTACCTTCAGTGGAAACGAGAATTTTGCTATCCTTTGGGAATTATCGTAAGGATGCTACCTCGAGGTGAAGACTTCAAAAGCAGCTTGGAGATTGCATACGCAGAGCGTGGAATAAGAAGAGTATTCAAAGACGATGCCATGAAATATGTCAAAGAGAAATTCCCACCACAGTGGTTGATCCCTGAGAATGAGTACGCCACAAGGACTAGGATCGAAAAAGCTTTCACCATTGATCCTCCCACATCCCTGGATCTTGATGATGCACTTACGATAGAAAGCATTTCTCTAGCCACCTTCCGAGTAGGGATCCACATTGCAGATGTCAGTTTCTTTGTTACGCCAGACTCTCCACTGGATAATGAGGCCTTTTTGCGTGGCACCTCCTATTACCCAGGAGAGGGGCAAAAGAATTTGCCAATGCTACCCAATGAGCTGAGTGAAGGTCACTGCAGTCTTCTGCCTGACAAGGACCGTCTTGCAGTTTCCGTGTTTATCACGCTAGACAAAGACGGAAATGTGACTGACGAGCCAAAAATACAACGCACCATTGTCAGATCATGCTGTCGGTTAAGCTATGCAGAAGCTCAAATGATTATAGACAAGAGAGAAATTGGTTCTAAGCAAGTTGCAAAGGAGATAGTGGATAGCGTCAGGCAATTAAACGGTGTAGCTCAAATGAGAAGATGTCATCGACTGGGAGACGAATCGTTTGACCACTGGCAGAACGAGGAGAGTGGAGAATATTTTGAGGCACACGAGCTAGTTGAAGAAATGATGATTCTTGCTAATGAAGAAGTGGCAAAACTTCTTTCCAGAAAATGCCCTGAATTGGCTCTCTTACGAGTACAGCTACCTCCAAAAGACCTCAGGCTGGCTGATTGGGTTGAAAAACATGGTAGATATCTTAGATTGTCACTTCAATTTTCAGGAATTTTCAGAAACAGTACAAAGGATGAAGTATCATCTTTAGCACTGTTGCATTCCGAGAAAACTATGTTCAAAATTCAGAGATGGGTTTGGGATGGAATCCGTCAGGCAGCAGAGTCGAATGATTTACCAACCCTGCGACATTTGATTTGCAACGAGCGAAACCACCCTCAAATCGCTGCAGCCCAATCCCAGTTTCGACGGATTCAGTCCCAGTCTCGTTACGTCTGTGAAGGGGATCACCCTTCGGCGAATATCCACCACTACTCCCTTGGTATTCGATCCTACACTCATTTTACGTCTCCAATAAGACGATACATAGATATTTCAGTTCATCGCCTCCTACTTGGTTTGGAGTCCCCTGGTTGTCACAAAGATAACATTTCCAAGGATGACATGGCAAAAGTTTGTCGACGCTCCACGTTTCTTATTGACAACGCAAGGAAATTTGGCAAGGATTGTAAAAGGATTCGATTGGCAACTACGCTACAACAACAGTGCCATGTGACACGCGTTTTTATTGAATCTATTGAAAAGCAGTCAATCAGTCTCTATATTTGCAACCCAGAAGACGACCACCTGGCGGGTAAGCAAAAACGAATGTTTATCAGTGATATGAATCCAGTCGCTCTGACAGAAGAAGAAATTGGAACAGATGGAGAAAAATGCCTAGTTCTCACGTGGAAAATCAGAAGGTACATAGCACCAGATGGCTCCCGAAATGTAAAAGAAGAAAGCAACGCTGCATTATCAGGTCACACGGGAGTCAACGAAATAGTGGAGATTCCTTCGGACATGTGGATTCAAGTATTGGATACCGTAAGAGCCAACGATACAGGCAAATTACCAAGCATAATCAAGCAAATGGAAACCCGTTTGAGTATAATGTCTCCTTCCAGCACAGAAATGAAACGAACCCAGCATAAATTGCCTGCACACACCCGAGGTGAGCATTACAAGCACCCTCATTACGGTGAAAAAACGCCTCCATCTTCGAACGAAGCAGTTTTCCATTTTTACGAGATGAAGCTTGCACTGAGGAAGTATAATTTCTTATCCGTGCAACTCTGCCCACACATGACGCGTGGAATACTTCAACCAGATATCCAGATGGTAAACTTGAATCCCTACCTAAATATTTGCATCGAACATCGAAAATACCCACGAGAGTCATTTGCGCACACTGCCAGACATCAGGCGTCAAGAGAGCAGTACGAGACCATTGATGAGTACATAAACGCCTGGAAACCAGTCCTTGCAATGGAGGCCGCCACGGAAGCGGTCAAGGAAAATGATGGCTTCGTCATTGAACACCTTAGTGTGGAATGGGAAAAGGAAGACGAAAGTCTTACTGGGTTCTTTACTCTCACCTTGGTCTACTGCAAAAACAGACAAGTGGAATTTTTTCCAGGAGACCTAGTGTGTGTTCGGGTACCTTGCCCTCCTAAAGAGTGTTCTTCTTTTGAAAAGCAAGGCCAACGGCAGGTAATATCCATTCAGGTTCTATCGTTTTCTTTCCTTATTTAGATCCGAAGGACTGTAAAATTAACTTTTGATGTTTAGTTAAACAAGATCAGTGCTACTTTGAATCCAGATGTTTGCTCTAACTTTTAATAATGTTCTGACTCCTTTATTTTCTATTAGTCGTGTTCAAGTTACTCACATCAAGGTAGCTTTTGGGTGAGCCACTGTATTATAGACGAGGTGATTGAAGTCAAAAAGGAGAAGGTGGAGGTTACAATGAAACATCATCAGGCGGCATCTAATATCCCAGCAGAAATAACTCATGGAGGTAGTCACAGATGTACCCTTGAGCTTATTCACAGAACACTTCCACAAAGGTAGGACGTTTGTTTTATCCTTATAAAGTTGCATTTTACCCAGAACTACAAATTTAGACGTAGCCATTCGAAAATTGTTGTTCATTTACGGTATTAGTTAAACAAAACGAGTTATCGCCAACTATGATGACCGTGGAAGTAACATTGTGGTATTCTTATTTTTGTATTCCTTCCTTATTTCTGCGATTTAATTGGCTTAGAGCACTGGTATTTCTGCAAAATATAGTGTTTTCACCATGACGTCATCAAATTCTAAATTCAAAATAAAGAGTCCCTCTGAATTCTTATTTATACTAGGTGACCGAAAAATACATTAATTTCCAGCCCCGTAGCGTCTTTCATTTTGAAAATAAAGCATTTTGAATTTCCAAATTTTCACAGCGCGTGATAACATGGTGGTAGCCCCGGAAGAGGTTGTTGCTCTCTTTATCATTTTCAGCAGTTTATGTTCTGAGACTTGGAGATGTACATTGTATATTTATGAGTCTTTTGTAACATTTCGTTTCCTTGGTTTCTTTCGTTCAACGGTTTCAAAGTTATTTTTTTATTGCGTGATAGTGAAAACACTCTTTAAAATATTACAGTTAAAAAAGCAACGGCGGATGATTTCCAGATTTTCGAGTTGAAGAGAATGAAGAACTCAAAGAAACTTTAGAAAGTCAAAACTCTACGAAAGTGCATCGACCGGGCTTAAAATTTCCCAACACACTTACTTGCTTGTGAAACGAAACAGCTGGAAGAAACGTCCTAAAAGTTCGTCGCTGAAATCCGTAACAGAAGGTACAGAGTACGAGCTCGAAAATTTGAGAGTTATGCTGGCCTCATTGGACTGATACCTAAAAGAAAAGGATGCCGCCTTATTCTCAATTTTCGAACTGCAGAAAAGTCATTTAAGGAAAAGCAAGGCTTCTTTGTCAAAAATCTTTCTGCAAAAGGTCTAACACTTCAAAGGCATTCACCTGTCGAAGAGAAGAGCTGTTATGATCTAAAGGAGTGCTTGGAAGTCATTCTCTATAGTAACTGATACTGGTACATCGTGTGGTTCTTGCTCACCCAGCACCTAGATTTGGGGAGCTGTCAGGAACGCCACGCATACATTGACGATTTCTCCTTCAGCGCAGACGACAATTGCGACGAAAACAGGGTTGAATTCGTTACTTACGAAGAAAAACCCCCAAAAACTCGCCAAGATACTTGAAGATAGTCAATCCAAGAATAAAGATGTTTGCTACAAGTGGAGAGATGTGTTTTCTTAAACTGTTTTTTTTTAATATATCTCTGTAACGAACACCCGAAGAAGTGCGAAACTGCCGTTGATATTAACTTGCTGTGAATAAGCGACCCAAGACACATTTGTGTGGCATAAGCGTCAAAGAATGGGCGTCAACAGCTTCATTAAATAACAGCTATTGACATTACTTGTAACAATTTTGCAATATAACTTGTGGTATTCATAACTAGTATCACTACAAATCATGCTGTTACTCTACTAATAGCTCACCTCCTTGCAGACGAATGTATGCAGCACTATGCGTCAATCTGCGACACTCGTCAGAACTTGTTCATGCCATTTGCAAAGGAGAAGAACCGAAGAGAGGTATGCAAATTAATTAACAAGAATCAATGTTCTTTATAAAAAAGGGTTGGTGAAAAATCGTCGTTAACTGAACTTGGTATCGTCATGAGACGGTGCACAGCAGTTATGCATATTTTTTTCAAACTTGCTTCCCCAAAACGGAAAATTCAAAATTGCCGCAAGCGTTTTACTGTTATTTCTCGGTGAGCTATTGCCTTTCTTTCACCAAAATAATCCTGAAATCACTCCCGGACCGGTTTTGTATTGAGTGTTTGCGCCGTAATGCAAGAAGCCACACCTCGCTCAAATTCTTTTCCTTTAGATATCTCGGCCAAACGATCTTCTGTGGAAATTGAAATTGCACCTTCTGGGTCGTTCTCTCCGACAACCAAAACAGCTAAAGTTTAGTTAAAATATCTACGTAAAAACTGGTTTGCTCAGTGTAATAAAACGTCGTGACTCTCAATCACTTATTAACTCCGTTGTTTTTGCATGGTTACAAAATATGAAAAACCATCACAATTGAAAAAGATTCTGAAGCAGAAGACATGGTTAATGCCATCAATTTCAGCATGGAATGTTGAAAAAAAGAATGTGAAAAGTCGACTCATTTTTCTTAAGTGTATTTCTGTATCCCCTAAAGAATCATCGCCAATGCAAAACAACCTGCTTATCTTATCTGCACTCAAAGATTGTGATACATCATATGACCTCACTCTTCGTGGCTGTCTGTAAAGTAGCTAATTAGCTAAGAACCTGGGCCACGTTTAATAAAGATTATTGTATTGTATTGATAACCCTCACACATGCTTTCGCACATACGAAAGAAAAAGGTTTCCTCCCTGCTCGACAGCTACCGCAGGATTAATATCTTTCCAAATAATTTTTAATAGAAACATTTGGATCCCTTCCTCCCGACTTGTCCTTGGAGCAGCATGGATTCAAACGATTGAATCACTACCAAGAGGCTGCAGTGAAGGAAGCACTCTCCAATCCGTTTAGTTTGATTCAGGGACCACCGGGTAGGTCATTTCAAGAAAACTTTCAAACTAAGTGGCACCATTCACTAGGTTTGTAACTACGAGACCTAAGTGATGACGCTGCCGATAAGACGAGGGTGGCACGCATTTCTATTAAATTTTGCCCCTTGTTGTTTCCGTTATCTCACTCAGGGACTGGAAAAACTGTGACGGGTGTGCACATTGCTAACTGGTTCGCTCAACGAAACCAAAGGTTGACTTACAAGGTTTTGGAAAAAGGCAAACGAAAGAAAGAGGACGAAACAGCGTACAGAGCACCACCCCAACTCATTTACTGTGGACCATCCAACAAGGCCGTGGACGTCGTTACCGGTCAGTTCTATGAATGATTTGCACTAGAAATACGCGTTATGCAGAAGCTCAGATAAAAGGCTTCCATTTGGAGAATAACGGAGGCTTACTTGAGTAGAATTATTCAGCACTGCTTTCCCTTCCTGTTCTCATTTTTTTACGTAGGACGCAGTGAGCATAAATTCCTCGAAAACATTTACTAAAACGTGTTTTCTTTTTTTCAGAGTATCTTATGAAAATCCCTAGTTTGAAAATCCTGAGAGTTTACAGTGATCAAATTGAGCAGAAGGAATTCCCAATTCCTAACAAACTGAAACCAGCCAGAATCACAAGAAGTGAGGATGAACTTAAAATGTCCAGCGAAAAGATAAGGTCCGTGTCTCTTCATCACTTGATTCGAAGTGACGTTTGCCCATGTGCAGAGGAGCTGCGGACATTTGAAGAAGGTTTTGCTGAGAATAAAGCAAGGGGCGAACCTATCAGTGAAGATGATGTTGCTAAGTATTGCAAAGTAGGTTAAACGAGTCTTCATTGCATGAAGAATATGAATTATTCTAGTCAAAGTATAATTTTAGCATTTTCTGCATTACTAACAACGCTGTGGACTTTAAGGGAAAGAGAGAAAGAGTCAAGTCTAAAAGCAAGATCTACAAGTTACATTGTACATTTCCTTTTTTTCCCTTATAGCTTATCGGACATGCAGAACGGTGGGCGCTGGAGGAATCTGGTGTCCAGATAATCTTGTGCACATGCGCAACTGCTGGTAGTCCCAGGATAGCCAACTCCTGTGACAATATCCAGCAGTGTATCGTGGATGAATGCGGCATGTGCTTAGAGCCTGAATCACTCGTGCCAATCACAAGCTCAGGAGCGAGACAAGTTGTTCTGATTGGTGATCACAAACAGCTGCAGCCTGTCATTCAGGATCAAGTGGCCAAGGCGCTTGGTTTGAGTGTTTCCATGTTTGAGAGGCACTCCAAACGAGCTAGGATGCTCCAGCTGCAGTACAGAATGGTAAGTTGAGTCGAGTACCCATGATTTCAGTTTTAAATCTTATATCGACTCAAGATCTGAAATTTTTATGAGGAAACCATAGGACTTTTTTCTGGTGTTTTCATGAGGAACCAAAGGGTTGACCTCAGGCAGCAATCAAAGTTTAAGTGAAGAACATTTTTAAGGGTATTGAACAGCTTCTGTGCGATTTGTGAGGGAAATGTAGTTTTAGATGATAATTTAATACCTTGTTCTTTTTTTTTGCACTACAATTCATGTCTCATTTGATTGTACCTTATAAGAGGCGCTGGGGCGATGGGTTGAGCAAATTTATTATAACCGACACAAGAATGGGGATCGGCTAAGTCTTGTTTGTAGAACACGGGAGTTTGCAGGTTTGACATATCACTTACTGGATTATAATTCATAGCTTAATTTTAAAGTACCTGAAGAGAAAGGAATGCTTTTAAAATTTCCACATTGCCGACAAACAGCGCTGCACCTAACTAGATGAAATTTCCTCCGTCAGTAATTGATATTTGAAGTGACATCAATATTTAAAGAAACCTATTTCTTTATATAAATCACCTGAAAAAACACTAATCTATTACTATTTCCTCGGATTAGCACAAAGGAATATGCGAATTCCCTTCAAAGGAATTCTACGATGATAAACTCCAGACTGCTGAAGTAGTCAACTCGCGTCCTCCTAGCCCAGTATCCTTTTGGCCTGCTCAGGTTCGTCGGAGAAGAGATCTTCCCATTGTCTTCTGTCACGTGGAAGGTCAGGAGGAGTCTTCTGTGATAACCACATCAGAAAGTAATCAGGAATCCAAGAGGAACATGAAAGAAGTTAGGAAGGTGGTAAGTACGGAATCTTTACGCGCTCACGCGCGCGATACAGTTCAACGCTTGTCTAAGTTCGTATCAAGGAGGACAAACCTGGAAAATTCATGTCAGTTATTTTCAGCTCAAAGGTCTGAGACAGTTCCACATTGACGAGTTCTCCTTAGAGAGGCAATGAGGAGATCTGAAAACTTTATGCAGCATTTTAGAAAGTAAAAGATCCAAATTTTCCCTGCATAGACCATTTAACTCTACCCTTTTGGGCACGAATCTCTTTAAGATGATTCGGTGGTTTTGCACTGCGCTTCTCTTCCTGCACATAACGAGTTAGCCGTCGTGTAAAAGGGGAAGTGGAGACCTTATTAAAATTATGATAGTCGAAGAGAACCATTTTTGGAATTTTCGATTGCGGCTGCCTCTGGGCTAGATGAGACTCAAAGTGTTAAGAATGTGCATAAGGTAAGCGGTAAGCGTTTTGCCTAGTTCGACTTCCTCATCGAGAGCTTAGATAGTGGACGTTTAGCTTGTAATTATGCAGATTCAATTTCCTGCTTCATTCATTATCAAACAGAAGGTAAAAGGCCATGACATCATCGGCTTCAATATATTCCTGTCCTTCTTAATTAGATTCCTGCCCCCAAAAAGGTTAAATTCTTACTATACTACTCTGCTCAGATACACCTCTTATCAGTTCTGGTGTAGGTACAGTTTTTTTTCTTTACATAATGGTAAAATTAAAAGAAGCCTGCAGGCCCACCAACAGTGAAGCCCTTTTAGCCTTGAAGGCTGAACTGAAGCACGGGCTGTGCTCCTGAGGTGAACAAATTTGCTTGAGCCTTAGTAAATTCTTTTAACCCTATATACCAATTTTTAGAATCAGTCTGGCCTATAGTACCCGCAAATCGGATGTGAGCCCCAAATGACGTTAACTGACGACAGCTTCGAAGACAACATTTAACATATATAATACAAAAAGCAGCTAAAGCTTACGAGAGGTAGTTTTCCAAACATAAAATACATTCATGTTATATAGCTTCTTTATTCCACACCTGAAGGGACTGATTTCACAACAGCAAAAGGAATGTTCAGCCCAGTTTGTCCGCTTGTTTCTCGTCTAGGTGCAAGTTGCAAAATACCTTGTCAATCGTGAATCAGTGCCCAAGTCAGATGTGGTCATATTGTCGCCTTACAGAGAGCAGCGAAGTAAAATCAGCGAGTTATTAAGAGGGGCGTACGACGACATCCACGTCACAACTATCACGAAAAGTCAAGGTACGACATCGACCAGAAAGATTGATAAATAGCGCGGAATTCCATTTGCCTTGTTTCTATACCTACGATACTTTAACAGGTGATCGTATACCCTCTTTACCTAAAACGCTCTGAAAGCTAAATACCATTTACATGTCTGGCATAATTGCGATCGAAGCGAGTTATCCAACTTAAATTATCATTGACTTATCAGTTCAAAATATTGGCAAGCGTATTAGTAATAAAAAAACATATTTAGTGGTTTTCCTAAAACAATAATTATTGAGTTAATTTCGTAATTAAATTTCAGGAAGTGAATGGGATTACGTCATCATGTCTTTGGTTCGTTCCCTAAAGAAAGAAGAAATCGACCCAGAGCCCTCCCTCAGCTGGCTCGGTGAACACCTGGGATTCTTAAGAGACGAACATCAAATGAACGTGGGACTCACACGAGCACGCAGAGGGCTTTGTATTATCGGTGAGAAAAACCACGTTGTTGCTTTTTTTTTGCCAGTGAACAATATTAATTGGCAGTATTCTCACTTGACAAAAAAACACAAACAGCCATTTTGCGCCGCTGATTGTTTTTGTTTTGTTTTTAACACAAAGCGCACCAATCAATATAACGTGCAAAAGTGATGAGGGGTTAGCCAAAGGGCGTGATTTTTATCAAACTACAGTTACTGATTCGGGAGATTTAGTGTCCGAGTGGTCTCATTGTTTTATTGTTGGCTTATCTAGATGGGTGTTCTGCCAGTTTAATATTCTTGTTCTAAACAAACGTTTTTTCTCCCTTAGGAAACAAAAATCTTCTTGGGATGGACGAAATGTGGAGCAAGTTGATAGAACACTATGAAAATAATCACTGCCTTGTGGATGAGTCATGGCCCTGGACATAGAGAAATTGAACTGAGTCATATTTTGTTTGATCCCTATGTTAACGACTAATGAAATTGCAACTAATTTCTCCAAAAAAAAGTTTTAGAAGTCATAGTCAACTAAAACTATAGTTAAAGGCAAATAGTAAGGGAGCTTACGTAATGTCTGTGTCAGTTCTAAGGCTGTTACATTGTAGCATAAGCTTTGGAGGAAAGAATTGCACACTAAAACAAGAAAGTCCAGGAGGATTTCAGTTAAGTCCATCTGTGACGCAACATCAAATTTAAATACATGATAACTTCTATTAGGGCTATGTTCATACTATTACGGATAGCTATCCGGTATAGTATGAACCCCAATCCGATATGTGACTCTCTGCTTTAGAGATCAGCGCGGCGCAGCTTTACGCCGTTACAGAAATAGCGCTGAAATCACCGTTCTTATGTGTGAACAGAAGCCCTAACCGGTATGGTTTTCGTGCCGGCGCAAAAGCCACACGGTGTAATGGTGTGTACATAGTCTAAGTCACCTATCTTTAGAACTTAGGATATTATTGTACCGATCCAATCGCAGGGTCAGCGACGCCGCAAGTCTCAGGTCCAAACCAGGCTTAGTTTCAAAGGCGCGTGATATGTTTGTAATATAGCTTACTGGTTGCTCGAAATTATTTCGCTTAGTAAAAACGACTTGCAATAACGATTACGAAAAGAGTATTCTTGTAAACTTAATTTAGATGGCATTTACTTGTTCTTAGTGCATTTTTATTTTACGGAATAATAATGTACCTGTAACGATTCATGCAGAAGAAAACAAGGAATTGTGTCAAGTGGCTGTTGAATAAGCTCGGACTTTACTGATTACATCAGGTACTAGGCGCCTGTCTAAGCCAGAAAAGTGGAGCCGTTAGAAGGTTTTCAGGTCAAGAATAGGAAACGTACAGTACTTTTCAAGTATTTTAAAGTGTTTTTGCAATGCAGGCGTCTTCTTCGAGAATGTTCTTCATGCATTCGACAGGAATTCGAGAGAGCAGAAAGTGTGATCCAAAGGGTGGGCGTACGGTTGATTCGATGACCACAACCCTAGGGAATTCCAGTTACTACCCCTTTTCCTAGAACGAATACCTTGAGTTCTTTAGTTATTTTCTTTTAGAAGTAGTTGACCGTAGGTCCTTAAAGCGTTCTGGTTGTTGTTGTTTTTTTGTTGGTTAAAAAGGAATTATAAAATTTTTGAGAAGTGTGCGTCTGGATATGAGTATGTGGCCATTTTTCTTTCTTCTTTTGTAATTGCGTGGCGAAAAGAGGACATTATCTTGTTTTCAGTTGACAGTTTCATCTAGAAATGCTTTGATCACTAAATTATAGATGCAGTTACCTTTTAACTACATCCTGCATCTCATGCACGTGAAAAACATAAACAAAGAAACAAAACCAACAAACCAAAACACCAGTAAACTTAACAAATGGTCGCCAGGAAAGTTAATACGTAATTGAAACATTTCGAGTTCGTTCTACAACCAACTTGTTTGCATTTTCAGTGAATAGCGAACTAGAAGTCAGCCCTAAAACGTTTAAGGTTTACAGGTTTGCTGGTTGTCCCACGACTATATCGTGTTCAGTTGAAAACATATTAAATAAAGAACACGAACAAAATCATCAACAACAAAACAATCACAACATGCAGAACGGAAATCAATCATCAATATACCAGGTTTGATTTTACTTTAATAGTGATAGCGACTTTGTTTTGATAATAAATAGTCTGAGTACTAACTTTTTATTAATCTATAAAATAACAACTCTTGAATTACTTGAATTTCATTGTCATTTACATCATCTTAATCCAGAAAAACCTATTTTGCATATATCTCCAACGCACCTTTTAGATACACGATGAAAAGATATAACACCTTTGCAAATTGGTACAGTGTATAAAGAGAAAGGAATTGCAAAATAGGTGTGTCTTGATTAAGATGATGTTAAGATTATTTTTCTTAGCTTTCACAAGCAAAATTTCCTTTTCAATTTAAGAATTTTACGGGAAAATGATCGGTTCACTGCTGTGCCATAGCCCAGACATGATGTCATGCAATAAAGGAACTGTTTTGGAATAGTTTGTCTTGCGTAATTCGGAGACGATTCGACGTTATCTCATGATGTACTCTGTGAAATCTGTGAGACCTGTGACCAGTGAAGACGAAGGGCGCAGCCCAGGTGAGGGTGAGGCCTTACCCATGGGGCTGCTGGGAACTGAAAAATTCTCTGCCGTCGCCTTTGAGCGCACTCGTTTAATCTGACGTAACCTCTCTAGCCAATTACATCCGTAAGCGTCTGTTGGCCGCTTTTGACTTTGGTGAATAACAGATGCCATCTGTAAGGAAATGAAAGTAAACGTCAAGATTAATATATAAAACTAGTATTAATCGTAGATTATAAAGTGCGTAGAGGTGTGCATGGAAATGCTCCAGAAAGATGAAATGCAAAGTTGAATAAATTACACCGATAACGCAAAGTATGTCAAGCCAACATCAGAAAACAAGGTGCACAATGAATACAATAGATTGTTTGCAAAGCCGGGTCAAGTCGAAAATTGGCAATAATAACAGTCAAGAATTCTGTTTTAATTTCTCGCCCACACCGGTTCGATTATACATGCGTCGTTGCATACCACATTACCGTGGTCTACACGTGAAGTAATTCAAGATGCCGCTGGAAAGGCTGAAGAACGACGAAATACGCAAGCAGATTAGGAGTTGCATTCTCCTAACGTCGAACGCAATGGTAGCAGGACTACGAAAGACGACAGGAAACAAAAACTATGACAAAATTTGGTCTATAAGGCAGTCTAATATCCTGCAAAATATCTAGTAGACAACGACCAATTTGTTTCATTTACACTGATAACAAGTTATATATGAATCTCTCGATATCAGTACAAATTTACGAATTGCAAAAGGTTGTCTCAATCTATACTTGAGCCTGGGTGTTAACACATCCGACAAACTGTAAACGACTGGCCTAGTTGTAAATCTCATAATGTATTTCGTCGCTAAATTTGAGTTTTACTAAGTCATCAAATATTTTATTTGATTTTTTTCCGGAAAAAATCTGAACACTCAACAGTGCATGACATTGACTTACGTTAATGTGCACGACCAACTGCCGTACCAAGCGAGGAAGGTTGTCATCAGAGATAACTCGGGGCCCTGTGTCAGTCAGCAGATCCTTTAGCTCATCTTTGAACCGCAGGGACACCATGTTAGATGCATTATCAAGCGGTTTAATCAACACTTCAGCAAAATTGAACTGACCCTGGCAAAGAAAAGTAGAGAAAAAAATGAAAACTAAAATAAAACGATTCAAAAGCCTAAATTAACCAAAATGCCAGTGCAAATTGTTTTCTCTTCTTTTCATGCATCGTGCCTCCTGTTAAGTAGTAAAAAGAAGAAAACAACCAAGAGGATTCCAATTGAGGAAGCTATGTCCTTTTAATTCCTCAGGGAAAAGTTCGACTCTGAATTATAGCCACTGAGAAACAACCATCTGTGACCTGTTTATTGCACAGCCCAGGATGGTACTAACATTTGGTTTGTGGGTGAAATCTTTAAATGTGCCTTTATAAACTGAAAGCTATAATTGTAGTACGGTTAGATACTGAAAACAGCACAATATCAAGATATAAGACAAAACCAAACAAGCAAGCAATATAAAAGGAAGCTGCTCAAGCCAACGTACCAAAGGCACGAAAGAGGAACAGACCAAAGGTGGTTTCTCAGACAGAAATACCGAGGGGAGGCACCACGATGTCAACAAAAACGACGAAAACCTTGTCAAGAATTTATTCTTGAAGGTATGTTACCTTGATTGTGCCAAATTTTACGGTCTGCTGGGAGTCATTGTAGACGATGGTTACAAAGTCGTTACCAATGTGCATCTTCTTCGAGTTACAGCCTGAGTCGGATTCACGGGTCGGCATCAATGTGGCAACATGGAAGATAACTAAAAAACGAAAAATACAAAATAAAAAAACCGATTGACTTTTTCCTAGAGAGAGTGGATCTGAAATCAAAGAAGCACGCAGAACCGTAGTCATTTTCATGTTCAAAATCATTTCCCCCCTTCTTTTTGTTGGCTGTAGATTAATTAACCACCCCCCTTTCCCCAACCGTAAGTTAAACAATGGTTTTTGTGCTAAATTCTACATTACAAGAAATACATGAAATCCTTGGTACACCACTTAGTGTCGTAGGGTTGATGTTCAAGATTTTTCTTACTTTTGAATGCCTGGATTTAATCCCTGCGACAACCAAACAAATTAATACAGTCGAAGCTCTCCTCACGACCACTCTCGTAAGCGACCAGCTCTAGTTAAGACCACCTTCGTGAAACCCCGTTTGAACTGTGACTTAAACTTTGTAATGAAAAGCTGTCGTAAGCGACCACTCAGAGTCTTTTTTATATAAATCAACACTTAAATGAAACTGTACACTGCGCTAATGGTCTAAAAAATTGGACGTAAAGTTTAGCCGTTGTGTCTATGTCAGATATTAAGACACTCATTTAACATTAATTTCTTTTGTTTTTTCTTTACTAATTATTAATGGATTTCTGAAGCGACCACCTTCTATTGTTTTACCATGCGGTCGTTTACGAGAGCTGATTCTCGTAAGCGACCAGCTCTGGATACGAACACTTTTTCGAATTTTCGAGGTGGTCGCTTACGAGAGCTTCGACTGTAGCTACCGCGTTGCTACTACTTTGTTTTTTATTATGTTATACACAGTGACTGCTGGTAAAATGCCAAAGGAAGAAAACGTTTTGAAGACTGCAGAAATTTCACAGATCACTTCTTATTTCAGTGCGCTTGTCAATAAATTTTCTTTAGAAAGGGTCGTTACCTTGACAAATATCATCCTGCCAGCTGTAGGCAAATTCACCGTCCTCGCCATTTCTATCCAGCCCACCAGTGTAAATCTCCGCTGGCGGGCAGTCCCGAAGCCGAACGAGAGTGCCGAGTCCCGCAAGAAATGACATGTAACGGGTTGACCCGTAAACATTTCTCAAGATTGCAGCCTCGTTGTCGTGTTGCCCAGGCCCAACATAAATCACACCAATCTTGTGTGTATCATAGGGAGGGATACGGTCAAGGCACTTAATAGCTCGCTCAATGACCTGTCCAAAAGGTAACAGAATAATCGTTTGAAATAAATAAATAAATAACTGTAGCACTAGTTCGATCGAAAATGAAATAGCTGGGCCTATTTAGGTCGAATCTTCTTTCGCTCTGGGGCGTCATGCCAAATGATCCCATCTCCCAACTCCCACAAAAAAAATCAGTCCGACAATGTCAAACCAGAGGATTCAAACAGTGAGAACTATGTCTTCCACCTAAAGTAGCGAAATGCAGGGGTTTAACAATGCATATCGTATTTGTAAGAAAATCTTAAATAGTAGTATCTTATCTATGAGACGAAAAATAGTGCTTCCCTGTTGTACCAGCTGACACATCTTTAAATCGCTTTCGAGAGAAAATTAAATTGGAACTTCCGCAAACAGCCAGCACCACAAAACGGACACCCAGTGGCAACAGACACCACTAATTTAATATCAGAGTCAAATTCTTAACCTGTACAGCAGCAACAACAAAAAATACGAACGTATATTGAAATCATGTCTTCTTTACCAAGGTCAAGTTGATCTACGCTACTCCGGAGATCATATAGCTATTACTCTACCTCGCCTTCAGGTACCGGCTGTGGTTTTTCGTGTGCAGCTCCCAGGAATGATGCATGATATAGCTGTAGAAACACGAAGCACGGGTCCAGGGGATATCTGAATGATTCTGACGGAGTCACCAGAATGGGGGGCTCTTTAGGTCCCGAATCTGTGGGGTCGCTTGCTACTGGGGCTGACTTGGATCCCTTACTTATGAACTGAGGACCCACCGTTAGGGGAACCATTCTTGAGCGAGACATCTTCCGCTTGGCACCTTCGCTTTTAACAAGTGGCACTAGGGAATCGGAGAAGAAATTTACAGTGAAATTCATTTTAAGAAAGGGATATACAATAATATCAAAAGATATACATTAACTTTAGCAGAAGGACGAAGTACAGTACTCGTGATAGGAAGATACCTTTGTGGAGGGCTGGCGGCGAAGAAAGCTCTGGTGATGAGGAGCTCTTCTTTGGATCTCCTAGGAAACCCATGTAACCATGTCTGTCTTCGGCTTCTTTGCTTTTCACAGCCATTGTACTTTTTCCTTGACGGGGAGATGAGAAAGGGGAATGGGCCGAGTGATCCAAGCTCTTCTTGTCTCTGATTGGTGAACTGATGCTGGACGACTTCTTCAGCTTTGGTTTTTTAGGGACCTAGGAGATAGCGTTGGAAAGAAAAATAAAGGTTACAACACCTGACTCGTCTAAAGTCCTGGTCCTAGCTTTGACATGTACATGGGGTTAGAAAGTTCCAGGAGACGAACATGGTAACGTTGCCAAATAAAAGACGACATCTCTCTCGGACGTCTTTCTCTAAGAATTCGTATAACGGCATGAGACCACAACGAACGAATCAGCTAGAGTACATTTCCCCCAAATCTAGAAGAATCGCGAGTCGCTTGACATAAGCACCTGGTGGTGTCTTTATGTACCTTTTTCAGCCGCTTCCATGAAAAGGTGTTTGCAGAGCTCCCTCATGAATACTTTTTTTTAGTTTGACGCCAAAAATTTGTGTCCATCAGGGTTATCAAATGAGGAGTGTTTTGTATATCGCTAGCATTCCTACTCAAGGCATGTATAATAATAATAATCAGTTTATTAAACCCTTTTGGTAGTGTATAACACTAAATTACAAGGGAGGTCAAGAATACGCAGAACACATAATTACACATGGCACAGAAGGCAAAAACAATTAAATCCTATTGTAACTGTGGGTAACAAAATTACTAAGGCGGTCCGTTCTGACAAAGCGGAATTCAGAACGAGAAAAACCCGACCTCAACACGTACCCATGAGGTCGGGTTTTTCGTCGAGTACATTTATTTTGACCACTTAACCGAGAGACCACAAGTAAAACAAACACGAGCATTTCACTGGAATTCCGATTTTTCGGGGCACCTCAGGAGAAGAGATTTGGTTTAAATTATCATTAGGTTTGGAAAATTGGTAGTGAAATTACTATTTGACTGGAAAGGGAGCCATTTTTTTTTTTGAACAACTCAGACTTTTGAGAAATCAGGACTGCACTGTATTTAAATTTTACCTGGGGATCAGTGTCCAGGTCTTTGGAAGATTCGCGCGCTTTAGGTGAACGGGCAGGACTGGGAAGTTTGTCTTTGTTTGCGCTCGTTGCAGCTTTGTCGTGATCTGTAAAGACCTTGTCTGCAGCGAACTCGGGGCTTTCTCGAATCACTGGCGGATCCACTGACAGGGTATGGAGGGATAGTGACTTCGGTCTCTCTACTTTCTTTGGAGTGCTAGAATGTTGTTGCGGATGGTGTTTGCCCGATTGATCAGTCTTCTTATCTCCTATGAGAAATGGCCAATTAAGCAGAGCGTTGCTAACAAGTTTGTTCCTTTCAGTCATTAACAAGACATTTGAATTAAATTATCGTTAGGTTTGGAAAATTGACAGTAAAATTAATGTTTGACTAGAAAGGAAGCCAGTTTTGATTCGAATATGTATGACTTTCGAGATAACAACTTGTACCTTTATGTTTCTACCTGGTGTTAATATGTTCTTTGCCAATGCCTGTTAGCAATACCTTCTGAGAAAACTTACCAGTGTGATGGTGATCATGGTCGTCAATGTTCAGCGAATGTACACTCTCTTCATCACTTGCAAGCTACACAGTAACGCAAACACTATCATAAGTCTAGCCTACGTCACAGGCGTGATCTAACCCATAACAGTAACGCCTACGAAGCAACGCCGATATCCTTGTTCTGGGGCCCCCAACGTACTCAGCGAATTACCGGAAATGCGTTTCGAGTCTCCTATAACCTGATTGGCAAATTGACAATGGGTATTTTAACAAGCCAATCATGGCGCGTACTCAAATCCTGGTACACAGGTGGGAGCCCAGAAAATGAATTTCAGCGCTGTTTCCCAGACGGACTTCACCAAAAGTTAAGCTCCCTCTATGGAGCAGGCTATCAAAAGGATGTCACGTTTGGTTCATTGATTTTGTACCACACCCTAAAGCGGTAGGCCCAGGTTCGATTCTCGGTCGGAACCAAGGCTCGAATAAAGGTGCTGCCTATGCCAGAGTATCCACAGATGGCTCAACATTCTGGTGAACTGGTATAAGGAGAAGAAACCCACAGACAGCACCTTCACCGAACTATCTCTTTTCGAACTTAAGATTAAAAGCACTACACGAGCAACAAAGTCGCGAGAAAGGATTACGCCCGATTTTCCTCACGGTTTCCCCGCTCACTCGCGCACCCCTCCATTGCTCCTCTCCAACAAAACCGAAGATCCAGGTGGTGCGGTCAACCTCTCGGGACTTCAGAGGGTTATAAGCAGTTTCATCCCCGGCCACCGTGCTCATTCATGGAAGCGAAAAAGAAATTAATAAGACGGAAAACACCGGTGTACAGCACGTCAGCCCTGCTACTTCTGGAGGGAGGGAGTGGGCAATACTATGATTCTTTATTATTGGTGTAACAAAAGTCGCAGAAAACAGATCTAAACGATCTCGTAGAATATACTGCCTCCCTACTGCCCAGTCTTACCCGGTACATCTCAGAAGATGACAGATATTTGGTCTCTGCTTTCTTCGGTTGCCACTGGCTGTATTCTGGCAGAGAGGAGACTGGGAAGTGCTCAGCGGGAGAGACTCCAAGTTGCGGCTAAATTAATCAAAGAAAGACTATCGTCAACTCGTGGGTACGTTGTTAAGAAAATAATCACTTAGTTATCACCTCTGGTTTTCCCACAGTAAATTTTAGGAAATGATAGAAATTCAGATTATAAATATACTATCCTTGTTCTGGAAACGCAATACTTTTCTTACTGTTTATTGCACTTTATTAACAGTTATTTAGGTATAAATTTAAAAACAAAAACAAAAAAAAACAGCAAAACATTTAAGCAAACAAAACAAAACAAAAAAGAAAAAAAAAAGGAAGGAGGAAAAAAGAAGGTCCTTAGCAGGATTTAAACCCGCTACCTTCGGGTTGACCCGACCTCATATAGCCACTACGCCATTGAGGATGATCACATAATTTGGTGAAAAGTCTCAAATTCAATGCCTTTTCCATGGAACTTCCGCCGGCAAACGATCGAGCCATACTTAACCGATTGAAAAAACGACTCGAAGCAATCGGATGAAATTAAGGCTAATTGGAACCAGGCTACTGACAGTAAAACACAATGTAAACGCATTTAATGGTAATGAAAGAACATATGCGATACAAAGCCGACACAACTCCTCCGCGAAGTAGGACGTAGAACATAAGCTTATGTTTTCTTATCTCGATTTCCGCTGTCATTTTAAAGCTAATGCTCAAAATCACATCCATTTCCCCCCGTGATCTTGGGGAGTCCTTAAGAAGAAGAAGAAGAAGTGCCTTTATTTACCATACATTCATTCATACACATAACCTACTACATTACTACAAGGTAGGAGATCAAGCCAGCGTCGAAGTTGAAGGAGTCGAAGAGCAAATGCTCATCCGTCGTCAAGTTTAACGCCTGGACGAGTCAAAGAGAATCAAATTCTCATCCGTCGTCAAGTTTAAAACGCCTGGACGAAAATAGATTTTAGTTCCCAAAGAAATGCTTTTGTTCTTGAATCGTACTAATCTGAAAGATTCCTGTGTGTCTTAAATTTGGTAAGACCTCTATCCTCTAACCGTGCTGTAGCGCACGATGCACGCTCTCAGCGAGGAATATGATGCCACCGAACTTCGGCGAGCGCGTGCTTCCGTTTTGAAAACGATATATCTTCGCGCTCTCGAGTTCGGACCCGATTAATTACGAAGTGCGTCTACTACGAGTGAGCGAGTGACTCATTTGCATATCCCTGTCCCTGCAATAACTCGTGGTACGCTCGCGCGTACCCACGAGTTAAAACCAGCAAAGTAACAAGTTATCAGTGAAAGACGCAAAAGAAGGAGGCAACAAAGACGAAAAGGAAAATTGAGTTAAATTACTTGGTAATGCTATGTTAATCTTACGAACAAAAGATAAGAGTGATTGGTCCAAAAAGAATTGTCTCAATTCAGTTCAATTTATATTTTACTCACACAAAATATGCACTAAACAAATTGAATACAAATACATATGTAGAAGAGAAAAATAATTATAAAGATTTAGAAGGGAAAAAAGAGGAGAGGGAACGCTTTGCGGAATATAATGTAGGGGCAGCAGGAGGGCTCAAAGAAGGAGTTAAGAACCTTTGCCTACGCCGTACTCTGTTACGGCCAACAAAAAAACCCGCGTTTGGGGCAAACAATTCCGTCTCTTTGAAAGTATTGAGAAACTAAAGTTCCACACAACATGAAGCTACTTAACAGCCGAAGAACAAAGAGTTTAATAAGTATCAAGCACTAAAATCGACTTGCACTGAGAGGATTTCGAAGGGGTGAACTTGAAGATTCAATTCTACCCGTCCAGTAAAAAGAATAGAAATTAAGAAATTAAGCAGAGTCGAACCGGAACATCACGCTACCAACTATTATTCTTACCTTTTCAAAGGTCATTTCTTTCCTGGTCTGATCCTGCGGGATATCTAGAAATCCTAACACGATTTCAAAACCGTTTTGATGGACTAATTAACATATAATCTTTACTATTTATTCAACATACAGTTATAAAGTATTCAAAGTGGACAGATTGCAAATTATAGTAGTTGCTAAAAAAGATACATCTACGTGTCGCAACTGTTCATCAGGAGGATGCCTAAAATGCGTGCAATTCCACAATTCCACAATTGGTTTCGGCTCCATTAAATCCTATACCAATTGCAGAACATTTTATGTGTATTCAACATCGAAATCAATCATGAGGAGTTGCTGCAACAAATAGACATGTACGTGTGTTTGGCCCTTTTAATCCTAAAGTGAGGGATGGTCTCTTGTAAGGCGGCTCTAACTTTTGAGTCTGTGGACAAAATCCTATGGACCATTCAAATAAAACTTCACTGACAATACTTTCCCATGAAAATGAAATTTTGAATTTCTGTTCAATTTTTACTTTGGCAACGATGGCAAAGAAAACACATGCTAGAAGTTGGATTTAGGTTCAAGGGGATGGCATGTCCCCTTTAAATCCGCTGCTAACAATTCTAAATGGGGGTAGCTACTAAGCTAGATGACGGACGGTACTTTCAATAATTTTGCCTATTTTCATTAAGTGGCAAGTTTAAAGTACGAATTGTAGGACGAAACGCTTTTCGCTGACAGCTTCAACGCCGCATTGTCAAATATAGATAATTCCCATGCATCATAAGTTATATTTTCATACAAACTATGACAAACTTGAAAAAGCAGGTCGCTGTTTTTCAATTTTACCTTAATGGAAATCTGCTTTAATATTCTTCAATTTAACCCACCAAGGTTCTTTTAAGTCTTTTTTTTTTGTATTTCTCAAGTGTTCTTCTAAAGTATGTTGCAGTTATATTACATTTCCGTAGAATTCTGTGAAGGTTTGTTTGGTAACAAGGTGCTAAACCAGCCCTTTTGAGCTACGCAGATGTTTTCAGTTAATCCCATGGTGCAGTAATACAGATAAATCTCGCTTGAAAACCATTGTATCAAACGCACACTGCTACTTGGTAACAGCTTTGACCATGTTGCCTGGTTAACATCAACTTGATGATTTTGAGTTATCATACCTTGCATGGAGGTAGTTTCTGGGCTTTCTAGTATGTCCGAGGACTCTGACTCTCTCATCTACGGCAAAATACAAGGCATGTTACATCACCCTCAAAAACTAAATAGCAACTCATTAAGGAAATAAAAAAGGAATAAATTCTTTAATACCTAACAAAACATCTGATATTTCATCAACAAAGTGATCTCAAACCTTAGAGTCGTAGTTAACAAGAATAGGCAAAGGAGTAACTATTAATGGTAGCTATCATACAAAGAAGTCACCTTTTGAAAGCATAACTTTCGTTAAAACCACGAACACGATAACACCAAGAAGGTCAACAACAAAACAAAATAGGTGTCATGAAAGATATTAATCATCGTGGATAATGTGTATAAAGGGTTTAACGACTGCGTCGCAAGTGGAGGCTAGGTGCCCATGGGCCAGGGGGCTGCAACCGCAATACACCCCAGGGCGGAAGAACACCCACAGGCCTACCAACCCGCAACCCAGCCACGAGCCCCCCCGCGCCCAACCCCCCACTATAGCACCCGTCTCACTGAGGCCAGAAGCCCAGTGAAAGTAAAATGAACAAACACCCGGAAAAAATAAATAAATAAATAAAATAAAAGGAAAGGAAAGGAAAGGAAAGGAAGGAGGGGGAGAGAGGGGAACCAAGAGAAACGCTACGCTGCTAGAACGCCACGCCACGCCAAGCCACGCTAACAAAGCTTCGAGTACAACGCAAACACAACGCAGGCACATGGCCTCCGCAAGCACCAAAGCGACATACCGCTGGACAGGAATCTGCCTCTCATGCTCACAAACAATGGTAAACGCTACAAACGCAAACATGGTCATGCAACAGCGCTACAGACGGCCAACACGCCACCAAAGAATGCCAAAAACACTCGAGACCATAGCTCCTAGTCGTTAACTACATTAAATATGATTTAATAGTATTTCGCTTTTATTGTTTGTTTAACGATTGCCACTTTGATATTAATCGCGACGTTTCGACAGCACACTGCAGGTCTTCAACAGGAGAAAGTGTCGATATACTGAGTCGAACTATTTGTACCACCGTGGTTGTTAGTGATTGGTGTATCACAAACCTCACTCATGGTTGGTGGGTTTCGATCCAAATTATTGTATTGCACGTGCAATAATTGTGCATCACACTTTTTTGGTACATTTCTTGACGAGCACTTCACGAGTGTGACGTGGAACTTCCTAACGCGAAGTTTTATGGAGGACATGAACACTTAACGACGAATTTTTCTTTTCCCTTCGTGAACTTGGAAAGAATCCTTACGAATTCAACACAAGGAAAATTTGCCGTCATTTAACAAAGAAATACACCTAGACACGATTTCAGAATATCAATGTTACAAGCAGACTAGCAGTACGTTGAAGTTTGATATTCAGTTAGGTTTCTGAAGATCGGAGCGTCCCTACCAACGCAACGCTGCCGTAGCAAACGTTTGTTATTTGGTATTTACCAAAAGAAACGAATTCTTTAGAACAATCGGTTAAAACTATGGATAATGTACATTATGGGTAGCACTTTGGCCAAGTTTCGATGATTTCTTCGAGCGCACTTTTGAATGTAGCGCGCCTATTTATTGAAGGGTCTTTTTCTGTTTTGTTTTGTTTTTTGTATTGTATTGTTTTTTGTTTTTGTTTTGTTTTTTCACACTTAAATCAGCCCTCACATAACAACGACTCAGTAAAATGCTCACAAATGTTTCCTCACTGCATTAGAACAGTAAATGTTCTAGCTTTCAAGCTCCGCATTGCAGCAAAGGCGGTATATTTGACCTCTTGTTTTGCTACTTTCAGTAACTGCACAAAGCAAAGCGCCTTAAATTACCATATTCTGAGAGTGTTCGGTGGTTACTGAAGCGCCGCAAGTTTTAAGCTTGGTGGCTTGTAATTCACAATGGTATGAAAATCTGGACAATACAAAATGCTTACAAGGAACAAGAAAGTAGTCAGGCAGTATAAAAACCCCATCGAGCCACCTTAAGTTAACGAGGTGACAGTACTAAGCAGGTCCCCGTAAAGCAGCGTCCGACTGTATAAAGTTTAATTACACAGATCGTAAGAAGCCGGTTTCTTTCACTTGACCCAAACAAAAGACATTGCTAATGCGCTACTGAAATTGCCGCTTGAAACATTTCAAACTCACTGTAAAAAAACTCGGCTTCTTCCTTGGGCTTCTGCTAAGAAGCCTGCCCCTTGCCTCAAATGACTCTGATTCCATGGAATCCGCAGGTGTACTTGGCGGTGAATCTGTGCTTCCAGTAGGTGTGTACATTGAGACTGAGTCAAGATGAGGTGGCTCCAGATTTTTGTATCCCTCAGTACTGCCTTGCTGCCAGCCAGAAGGTGAGTTTTCCAGGGCTAATTGGGGCGGAAACCAAAGAGAGAGAACATTATTTGGTTTTTAAAACACTTAGACTAAATTAAAATTGTCTTAAGTCGCCCTTATTCATTTGCAGCGGGTTTGCCGTCACCTCTGTTTACGTCAATTGATGACTACAAGTTCTTCTTTCAATCTGTTTGGAACATTTCACCCTTTTTGCAATTAATACGCCATGGCCTAAGATTGCGCTGATTGAATAGGTAAAGAATAAATTAGCAAAGAAAAGGTGACTCTCCATTTTAGAGATCAGCGCGGCGCGGCGCAGCTTCGCCCCGTTACAGAAATCGCGCCGCCACAACCGTCCTCATGTGTGAGCAGAACCCCTATCCGGTATGGTTTTCGTGCCAGTGCAAAAGCTACATGGTATAGTGTCATCATAGCCTTATAGTGTACAGGGGCTCTTTCAAATGTTTGAGATTCATACTTCAAGTGTTTAACTGGACTTCACTACCATTTGATATTAAAACAAACCAACCTGCGTCGACGACCCCACCCTTCCCCTCTGGTGGCTTGGTTTGCCTGATAACGTCAACAATAACGGATCCACTTTCTGTGCTTGTACTCAGGATCTCTTCAAGCTTGTCGCTAGGTGGAGATAAAACTAAGGGGAAGGAAAGAAAACACAGTTAAGAATTATTCGGTCTCTTTGGTCCCAACATTGTGGGTAAACGGATGACAGTAGCACCAATAATCCTGCTGGGCATTGAGCGGGGGACAGAGGGGAGGGGCAGTTAGGTTAAATGGTTTCATGGGCCGTCAGGGTGTCCTATGAACGCCAAGCGGTTGGAGAAGACACTTCATCTTTTTTACCTTCGTCTCCAGGGCCACTTGAGGATGCCAACCAAAATATGCTGGTCAAAACACTGCTCGCAAAGTAAACATTAAAAAGGTTAAGCAACGGCGATGGTCAAGGCCAAAGCGTTTTTTTTTTTAATTTTCCGCGATTATTGAGATATGTCCAGTTTTGCACGCAGCGATTATTTCACCTCACTTAAAAAAGTCAAATGTAGTTTAATTTCCCTGTAAATGAATTCGTGGGGACCAAACCCAAGTTCACTGACAAGGAGAAAGAAAAATTCTTCGAGATGTATTTACGTCCTCCATAAAACGTCTCGTGATGGAATTTGCAGTTGTAGTTGTGAAGTGACGGCAGAGAAATGTACAAAAAGTGTGCTGCACGTGCAGAGTTGCTGTTTCACGTATTGAACCTATTGCTTTCTTAGACGTTCTCGTTGCCGTCGCCATCCTCGTCGCTAAAGCTCCTTATTCTTCTGTGATACGGTTACGGTGTGTTTTTCTTTTTCTCGCTGGCTTGAGAGGCAAACGTGGGCTGTGAGATTTCTAGCACCCCATGGTTTAACATTTAGAGAAAACCAAAAATTTCAAATTGCACTTTGGTGCAAATATATGTATCTAAAAGATATTCATTTATCTCCGGTTCGCTGCGTTAACTAATAATACAAACTCCCCTTTAACCAACAATAAAAAGTCAACTTACATTCACCAATCTGGGGATCATCCACCACAGCTGTGCTAATATCACTATCCAAATGCATTGATGATTCCCTATTCTGAATGCGCATGATCCAAGAGATGTTACCGCTGGGTCGCCGGATAAATATCTCTGCCCATCCTTGGCAGACACACTGACAGTTCTGGGGGTTAACAGGAACAAGAGGTTCGCTGAATCTCCGCTCAGAAGCAACGCTGCCATGAGCTTCAAACATCAACTTTGCAGTATCAACAGAGTGCACCTTGTGAAGAGCCGTTTTTTCCAAGCTTGAACCTTCAGCGCTCATTTGAGCACCAGAAGGGGCCTGAGTACCGGGACCGGGACCAGCGCCGTGAATGTGGTCGATCGTGGCCTGTGAAGGAGATTCTTCTTTCGAGACAACGGGTGCCTTTTTGCGCTGTTTAGGACCTTTTTCGACTTTAACTTTGTCACCGTGAGCAAGGTTAGCTGTTCTTTGCCTCAGTGCTAAGCAGCTTTCACACACTCCATCCAAACTGATGTATGTACCGGAAGTTGTTATTGTTACAATCGTGTTGCCTATCATCCACGTGCGGGAGTGACCGCTGGCCAGCATATATTCTACGGCTTTAGTCCTGAACACGAATAATAATTCCATTAAGATTTTGCATTCCTTGGATCAGCACTGGAACAGTTTTCTCAGAGAAAAATAGCAAAATATTTTACAGGCTAACTGTCAATGTTCTGTAAAAAATAATTATAACAGAGGTGAACACAAATTTTCAGTAATTGTACTTTTTACGTCCTAAATATACTAGTTATGATCGTAATAGTAGTAAGGGTGCAATGTTAAAACACTTTGATGCCAGTGACCACAATTTATTAGCAAATGCATCGACCCGCCGCTACAAAAATGCAATGCACACATCTATGACGAAATTCATTCGTTGTCAAAATCTATTACTGAAGGTGGGTATTTTTACTTCTGCGCCTGGCAACTTCGTCGAAATATTTGCTTGTTAGATCTCCTAGCAAGCCAATAACGGCGCGCATATAAAACCACAGTGATAAAAAGCAGGTTTTTCTAGTTATGAATATCGAACAACCACTTTACAAGACTGTTTACCTGGTGGGTTGTGACATACAAGGAGCAAATGTGTACCTAGCCATCATATCCATACACACTTCACTCATCTCAGAATGCAATTCACACGCCGCTTCAGTCTCTTTATGGGTCACGGGCGAAACTGACCGATGAGTGATCTGGGGCGAGGGCTGATTAGTCACGCTGCCCATTTGGGCCCTGGAAGCCGCCAAAGCAGGGCTGTCGGGTCTTGCGTCATAACGCTCCGGGATTATAGCACTTGATTTAAGACCCTGCCATAGAGTGGATGAAATAATTAAGAAATCCCATTGGACAAGAAGATTAATGAAATAGCGTTATTTCGTGCCCTAAGAGACTGCATGCCAGGATATTAGTATGTGTAATCAAATGGTGACGAGTGAAATTAGGGAATAATTTCACGCGCCCCGAGCCTTTAGGGAAATTATTTGGATTTGGACAAAACGCAAGTGAAATTATTCCCTAATTTCACGAGTATACCATCTGATTACCAATTAATATCATGGGTGACGAATTACGTTAGCAATCTTGGATTTTTGACATGTTTATCCTGGATCGCATTGATCGAGAACTTTCCTCTCTCGAACGTTTAGAGCTTAGATTTGGCTTAAGTTCAGAATTTTTCAACAAATACCTGTTACAATCCTTCTTGATGTGCTCTTTCGTGTGTTCAGGTTTTTTAAGGGGCTTTTTATGCCCTGGCATCTTCGTTCATGACATTTTGAAACTGACACTGAGACGTACGGAAGGTTGCCATGACAATTTTGTAATTTCACATGTGAAATTACAAATTATCGCTGAAATTTCTCGCCAAAATTAAGGAGTAATTCGTCACCTATGACATCACTATAAATAGTCTTGTTTAATATATAATTCGTGTCAGATAATAATTAAGTTGTAGAGCGTACCAACGTAGCGTAAGGACAGAGAAAGGATAAATTTTGGTTTGATAGGAGTAGTTTTTGGATTCGTTAATTTGTTTTAACCTATCGTTGTTTATAGTTTTTGGGAGAAATACAGTTCTACTCGTGAACACCCATAAAAGGAAGAATATAGAGCAATACTTACAACACAGAGCTTTGAGCAAAGAAATGAAATCTAGAGATAGAGAGCTCCGGCAGGGATGGAACTTCTGTCGACTCATTTTTCGTTCCAGGTTGGACTGGAATTCGTGGCTGGTTGACGTAGCAGTATGTATGGTACATTTATATTCACAGAACGTAGAGGAGAGTATTGAGAAATAGACACTCTCTTACCTTGCTCACAAATCCAACAAATGCTTTGCGATAAGCTACACGTGACCGGACAAACCAAGCGGCAATCACGTGATAAGCAAGTGTCACGGTGTACTGAGAATACCTGTGTGAGAAACAAACGCGCAACAACTTAACATTTGTGGATATTATAGGTAAATAGAATCGTGCAAACTCTATAAACTACTCAACAGGGTTGCCACCAATCAGAAACAAATAAAATCCTATGAATTTTCCCTGACTATTTACTGACCTCTAGATATTTTCACTGACCTTGCATTAGGTGTCTATTAACAAAAAACAATCCGACTTTACGTATGCTTCAGCTTTTTTTTCATAAGAACATCAAATGAATATTCCTCTCTTCATTTTCAACCACTTTTCACGGGTTTTTGTGGGCAATTAAAAAAAAAATTCCTTGACTTTTCACTGACTTTGACGATGTACAAGATTTTCCCTGACTTTTCCCTGACCTTAAAAATTTGTTTTTCACTGATTTTTTTTTCCTGAACGTAGCAACCCTGATTAGAAAATCGCCAACAACAAAGACTTACCTGAATGGATCTGTGTATGGCAAACAAATAGCAAAGACGCTTTTATATTGGCTGTCCTGGAAACTGGCGTACAAATGCGGTAAATGAACGAGACCTGTTAAAAAAAGTACGTCCACAATTATGACAGAAGAAATAAAAGGATTTAAAATTTGAATAAACCCCTAAAATGTGAACAACTTTCAGTGCACACCTGAGAGGAACTCCAGCATAGGTGCTGCCATGGAAACGGTCGCAGAGATCTGGGTCAAGCGGACAAGTAGCGCTGGAAGAAGGCTGGAAAATGGAAAATTAAAGGATAAAAAAAAAACACTTTACACAAAGCGCAACACTGAGAGTTTCACTCCAGCAGGACAAAATAGTTTGGGGCTCAAAGTTTTCGACGAATCCCGTGGGACGAAGCATGGAAAGTAAAGCCGGTTACATTTTTAGAAATGGGAAGGAAAATCACTTTGAACGTAAATCAAAACATAAGAGCAACAAACAGGTAGTACCGTGTAATAATAGGCCGACATTAAGGTCTGATAAAAATATACTAAAGCCTTGCACGTATGCCAAAGGAAAAGTTCAGACGTCAGACAATAATGTAATGGAGGTTAAAACAGAATGTACCAACCTTTTCATGACTGCCTGCATTTCCATGGTGCACAATGTCAGAGATGAGACACACAGCACGGCGCACTTTGTCACTAAACCCAACTCCAATGTCCTCACCAGCTCAAACTAGGACAAGCATATGCAAACAAGATCAGTACAGTGAAACTGTTTCATAAGGACACCTCTTTTCAGGGTTCATATAAAAAGTTGCAACCATTTTTCAAGGACTTTTTAAGGACTTTTCAAGGACAGCCTACTAGGAGTATAATTTTACAGCTAATAACGAAAATCCACATTCCCAGTCTATTCTCATAAGACTTAAAGGCTTGAACTGTTTGCTCCACCAACTTCTCTACATTTTTCAGTTTACATGTCTTAAATTGGTGCTTAATTATTGCATAACACATAGAGCACTTTATGTAAATAACCTTTCAATTCTCTGAGCTATGATTTATATTCTGTCTTAGACAACCAAAAAGCATCAAAAAAAATCTTTTTAGACCACTACATTCAAAGTTGAAGAAAATTCAAGGACTTTTCAAGACTGTGCGAACCCTGCTTTTGGCCAAAAAAAGAAAAAAAAAGTTAAAAAAGATGCCCTGTCATTTCCTTGAGTTCTTTTCCTATGGCACACATGCACCATAGAGGAAGAACATTAGAAGCAAAGTACGTGGAGCATGGTCGTCCGGGTTAGCGTAGTCCTGACTGTGCTCCTCTACTCTACGTGGTCCTTTACTTATGAAATGACTCCTAGGTTCAAACCTTTCACAGTTTCCTTAGAAACAAAGTTTACTACTATTTCATAAACACCGGAGCATTCAGTCAGCGACCATTATAGTGCTATGACTGGAAAACTTATGTTGGTTCCTTCGAACCTGCACTTGCGACCACCTCTCATATGAGACTACCTATGTAAAATACCAAGTTCAGTTTTCCGATCAAAGTACTGAACACTTGTAAAACATCATCCTTTTGAGCATCAAATTCTGGCATTTTGGGTTTGCGCTTTTGGGGGGTTATTTTGTTTTTCTAGGATGGGTGGTATCTCAAGATGTGGTCGCACATGAAGGTTTAACTGCAGTGCCACGAGAAGAAAAGCATACTGAAGTTATGGAAAACCAGTACATTATCTTTTCATTATGCCCAACAAACGTACGAAAGACTCAGGAAGTTTGAACATCTTACCATTTGGACGGATTTTACCCAAAAATGCTAAACTCACCTGTCGGCCTCTGTCAAGACTGGAATGATATGTAGCGAGAACTGTTAAAACCTGCAAAATATGCATTTGGAGTAGCTTGGTATCAAGACGCAATGAATGGACCAATCTGTGGTAAAACTGAGGGAAAACCTGTCAGGTGCTGAGGATGGGTAACTACGAGAACCAAAATTCAACTGATACTCACTGGAAATATGAGAGACTGCAATCCCGCTCTGCCAACACCATGAGGAACCCGACGAAGGTCAATTATACAAGAAGGCTCTGACACCTGCACAGAAAAAAGAAAACAGAGTGATCTAACAAAAGCCGGCAATAGGATACCTAAGCGATCATGAAAACGACTAAAAGGGGCGAAGTGAAGTTCCGCATCTGAATCTCATTCTCTCTTGATCTACGACGGTCCACAGCCGATGTGATCCCCGGCTATGTTAGGTGTGAAGAGCGGCTCAACCAATCCAAATTCGAATTTGACTCTTGTTTCGAATACACTCAGACGTCGTACTTCCATGAACGTCATTCACTGAATTCGATTCGGCTCATGTGAAGTAAGGCGTCTGAGCTGGGTCTAAGATGGAGTAAAGGCGCGAAATGTGGGGCCTTACCATGTGACAGAGTACTGACGTCATCGTGTTCAATGCAGGATTGGCTGATAGTATTAGGTTCTTATTTTGTAAGACCTCGGGTAGCGCGGTTAAAACATGTTCCATTACTGTCCAATCCCACTCCTAAAAAAATGAAAAAAGGGATCAAACATCTGCATTCCCGACTGTTATTGAAACGCAAAAGGGGATTTTTTTCAAAAAAAAATTGAGAAAATAAGATATAGTGCCATTGAAAATACAAAAAATAAGTCTAAAATTCTACAATATCAATGTTTAATTTCCTGAGAAAAACTGTGTGGTTCAAACTAATTTTCTTTCCGGATTGCACTGGCCCTTGTTATTACTCCGTCTTAGCCTGTACACAGGCGTTGTTTTATTTTTCTTTTCGTTCTTTTCTAAACACACGCGAGCGCGCGAGAGAGAGCGCGAGAAAGAAAACACACAACCAGAAACGGCGCAAAAATACTCTTGCTAAGTTAATCTGTAAAATTGGCCTTAAAGTGCATTTAGTGTAAACAGAACATTAAGAAAAAGTGCCGTTCTGGTCTTTGATCCTTCGGTTGACGTTAGGTTGATCACTGTTATATCAGGGATGCTTGAGTTAAACTTGGGGAAAAATTAACAAAATGTTGTGTATATCTTACATATTGCAGACAATTCAATATCACTTCAAAGACTTCTGAATAATTCATCAGCGCAAGATGTGACAATGCCTTTGTATCAGCATCACTTAAAGAAAAAAAAAGAAAAGGTTACGTCACTACATTTAAAAGAATATGGTTGTCTAAAAATAGAGTTGGCAACGCTTTCAAATTAAACGTGAAAGGTTACCTGTGCGTACAAGTAAAGTAAGGACTGAACTTTCCACCGCCTCCCTCTGATTTGCTATCACATAAACCAAGTCGTAAACTGGAATCACATCGCAAACTAAGAAAACACTCAAACGCCTGAAAATAAGGTATACTTGTAAGAAGCTTGCAGTTATAATGTCATAAGGTGATTTATTACACACAGTTTTACCCATTTTTCAGTCTGTACAGTTTTGACACGTACATGTTGATACTTGATAAGATGTTGATCATGTCTTGATAAGATTTTTGGGAATCAAGCATTAAAACACTGCATTGAAGACAAAACAAAAAAGTGAGAACATTGGATTAATTATTCAAAAAAAAATGACAATTTTCGTTACTTTGTCCACAAGACGACCGATATTACAATGTTTTTGACGTTTTCAAAAAACCGTAACGAAACGCACCACGACATATTTAATATCAAAAACCGTATCCATATTTAGAGTCTCCACAGCCGATATTACCATGGCTTCTAAGCCATTTAAAAATGATAGACGAGCAATAATATCACGACATATTTGACTGGTTAAGTCGATAATCGGAGTTTTATACCATCTAATGACGACAAAATTCATTTGGTTCCCGAAGATGACGACCGCGCAGGTTGTCGAAACGTCTGTCCCTGCCAACAACAGTCCTATTCAGGACTACGATCACCCGGACGAACTTTTATTCACTTTCTTTTACGCTCAATATAGTTAACCACAAATTGAGTCCAAGAGGTAAAGTGTTACATTCAAACTGCTTTCATTGTATGTGACCATTTATTCATTAATTTATTTACTTATTTACTTTTCCATTTACGGTATTTTCTTCTATGCTAGAAAAACGTTAAGCATACCAAGTTTCTTATAACGCTGGCGATGTCAGTACTATATCCATGGTAATAATGTGCTTTCATGTGTGACACCAACAGTTCAAATGTACGAACAGCGTGGCCGTGAGGCAAACGGTACAACTTGTGCTGTCGATAAAACGAACAATTCAAATTTACATTTAGCTAAGTTGCGTCTCATTTAAGCCGCGAAGACATTTTTTGTACTATATATGCGAGAAGTTTGCTTATTACTTAAAACAAGACGAGCATCTTTTTTAAGGCGCGTCTAATTTTTCCTCGGATAAATGGCCCGAGTGAGTCCATGCTGATGCATATCCGGGTGGGATAAGCCCCGTAACAACTATTAAACAGGGTTCGTACAGATTCACGACTTTTTCCAGACTTTTTCCAAAACAATAATTTCTTTTTCCAGACTCAAGGTTATCAAATAGTTGATCAATACAGACCTTAAAAAAAGAAAGAACAAAGCTTTTCTCACGATGCACTGCAAACGTACCGGCGAGATTGAATAAGATTTGACCAAAACGAAACAAAATTTCACTTATAAACCACTTGTTGTAGCTCTGAAAATAAACTCAAGACTTTTTACCATTTTTCCAGACTTTATCTCCATTTTCCAGACTTTTTCCAGGTCTTGAAAATCGCTGGGCGAATTTCAAGACTTTTTCAAGAATTCAAGACTCTGTACGAACCCTGATTAAAGCTCTGCATTAAGAGCCTCGCTTTTAGCTACCAAATGTAACATTTTGAACACCTAGGTATTGAGAATCCTACACTCAGACAATCCCACAAATCAATCTGAACTTAATCTTGAGGGTGCCCCAGTAGACTAGTTTCAAATTATTAAGATTCATACTTAGCACTGAAGTTGAGTGGTAAAAAACAAATAAAAAAGCATTGAAATTCAGGGATAAATAATTCATTTCTGTCGTTTTATTCCCCTCAGCCTCGAAGCCAAACTGCGAATTTTGATAATTCGAAACTAGCCTATTAGCGCGGGGAACGCGTGTCAAAAAGTAAATAACTTGGTTCTGGTTGAGAAGTTGAAAAAGAACCAACACAAAAGTAAAATAAGTGTTGACACTGGATTGCAAACCTCAATCTTAACCTATATTTTCACACCCATAGTTAAAAGTTGCTATGCTGTTTTTTTTTTTTTTTTTTTTTTTTTTTTTTTTTTTTTGAGTGACTGACCAGTCGCTGCAGGGTAAAAATTTCGGTCGGTTACGACGTTTATTCCAGAAAGGGGGGAGGGGGATGTTGATGTATAGCACTAGCAGTAACATAACTTTTTCAAAATTGCTAACTTGCACAGGCGATTGTTATTTCTTTGGTTTGGTTTTGGGTTTAAGATGCTCAATATAAAACCACTTTTTGCTAACACATAGACTCTTCACAGTCCTTTAGCGCTTTGCGTTACGGGCAGCCATCTTGGATGAGTGTCAAAACTTCTTAACACCCCGACGCCCGACGCCCGACGCCCGACGCCCGACGCCCGACGCCCGAGGGTACATATGAAACCAAGATGGCCGCTCGTACCGGTAAGCGCTCGATCCTAACGATATTTCGAAAAAGTAGGAGACTGTGAACAGTCCAACACAAACATCCCTACCTTAAAAACTTCCACCAGTCCGCTGACTGCTGTCTTGATGTCCTTTAGTTCTTTTTCTTCTTGCACCAACTATAGATGGAAGAACAACAAAGGGATCATCGTCGGTGTAAAAACCTGTGAAGTTTTTTCTAGCTGTTATTTTCGTTGGCTCTATTGCGTTGACTTGAATTCCCAATGGCTTCTTCGTATTAATTGTTTTACGTCACTCGTGAGTTTCACAGATTTTTACACCGAGTATGAGCCCAACAAGGAAAACAAAATCAATATTCTCTTTTGTATATAGGAGGATCACTGATGCTAAGTAAGAGATCTTCGTGGGTACCAAAAATAACTTCATTTAGCTGACCAGTACAACGAGCAGAATGTTATAGAGATGTATTCGACCCTTAAAACTTGTTCACATTTTCCTGCCTTTCTAAAAATAGTGCTATTCGAACATAGTATTATAGGCTATAACCTGTTGCTGTTGTTCAAGTGGGTAGCTTTTGCCTTGTAGCTCCACATGTCTACTGATAACCTGAAAAAAAAGAACAGCGCATTTGGTTGTTATTATTACAATTATGTAAGTGATGGTACTAACTGGGGACACTGTTTTGCGTCTTCTACTAGAGATGGGGACAATTATATTACCGCCAATGGGCAGTACCTTCATTTCTTGGTTATTTTTAAACTCAGAGTACTGGTCCTCCTACACTGAAAATTAAGAAGATCTGGGGCAACAAATAAAAAAATATGAATGAAATCTGAGTCTGCTATAATGAATAGAGACCTTCAGCAACAACGACGGCAACCGAAGCGATTATTCCAATCCGATCAATTTGTGAATCTAAGGCAATTTTTTTTCTAGAATTGAATTCTGAAGGACCGAACAAAAATCCACAAAGAGAAAGAAAGACTGGTCACCGTGTGTTGACGTCGTCACAAGAACTTCGCATGAGCAAAGCCTTCGTGAAGGGAAGGGAGAGAAATGTACCAAAAAATGTGATGCACGTGCAGAGTTGTTTGCTCATTAAAACCATTGTTTTTCTGAAGTCCTCCTTGCCGTTGCCGTCGTGGTTGCTGACGGGGACCAAGCGTAAGAAATGATATAACTCAAACCTGTTTGCAACTTGTCAGTCAGAAAAAGTAAAAAAGTAACATAAAAAAGATAATAACCTTTAAAAAATATATTCGATTGCCAACGACATTTTTAGTTTGGTTTTTGACCGTTTTGCGACATTGGATGATTTTCCAACGTGCTTTCGATGCTATGGAGTTGAATTCGCTCCGACAAAAGGTACCAAATTGAAATTCGCGGTAGCCTGAAATTGGATTCACGCTGCCAAAGCGATCGAAACGTCAGGTTTTGAATCTCTTTTAAGGTTGCAAACTCATCTTATGAACTCAGCTGAAAAAAACAATACACCAGGAACAGGAATTGAAGAAACATACCTTCTCAATAATGTCGAGGAAATCTTGACACTTCTGCGAGTCACACATCAGACACAAATCAATAAGTATCTGTACTGCAGCGTCACGCACTGTGACATCTTGGTCCTCGGATATGTGACTCAGATATGGCAACACCGCTGACTCTAGAAGCTCTTCCTGTTAAGAAAAATTCCACATTATCCTTCTGCTATCAGTTCAGATTCCAACTCGTGTTTTTGTTTTGTTCATTTGTATAATTTTTGACCTGGTGGTAGCAAGATCAAGAATTGGAATGCGGCTTTTTCGCTCAAGGAATCCGGAAACTCGAGAAACGTCCCATCCGGTCGTCCGAGTCATAGCTTGGCTCGGAGACGTAATCTTAACCTGGCCAGTAACGTCTGCGAAACAGCGCCGAGATCCTTGTTTGATCCCTCAGCCACCGAGCTCAACGAATTACAGGAGGTGCGTTTCCACTTTCCCTTCAATCTGATTGGCTAATTGATAACGGCCTTTTTTAACAGGCTAATCATGGCGCCTACTCAAATCCTGGTACGAAGGTGGTGGCCCCAGAACAAGGACTTGTCACTGACTCGCAAACGGATTTAACCAGAGGTTTAGGTTCGTCTGTATCGCAGGTTATCCGAGAAAAGCAAATTTCCTATTTGGCAAGTAACTTTCCATGCATGCTTATTCCAGCGATGGACAAAGCCCCAGGCAGGGCGTCTTCTAAATAAATCATAAACTTGGAAAGAATGCAAAGGCCCTGGACAAGCAAAACTCAAATTTTTTCTGCCCTGAGTAGTATAACCTGTTTCTGTGCAAAAAAAGTGGATTTAAATTCACAACGTTTCCTAATTTTTAGGTGGTGCACTAACGTTATTTTTATTCTCTGTTTTCGAAACAAAAGTTTGAAATGCTAACAGGAGGACAACAACAGGCAAACCAAAACCCCCTCTCTCTTATGCTAACAGGGACAACACAGGAACCTTTCATTATCTGAAACAGATCAAGGAAACAATGATGCCGGAATTTAAGATCTAAGGACGAGAGAGCAGCGAAAGTGAATTTGAGTTCTTTCAGTCTTAATCGCTTCTTGAGCTGAATTCCCAGGAACGATGTCCCAGAAAGAGAAATATAATTTCGTCGCCGCTTGTTTACGTTCTCCATAACACTTAAAAATTGGCAATAGACTTCTTTAGCTTGTATGTTTGTTTTCCCAAGACAGGTCATGTGATAACACTCTAGAGAACTGTTTCTTTCAAATTTCGTCTTCTTCACTTGCATATCTACGCATAATTTATGAAAAGACAAAGGGTCAAGTTCCCCTGGGACCTCTACTGGGAAAAGGCTAAAGAGGTCTATTTCACGTCGTAGTCGTGCAATGAAAACGGCAAATGAATAATGAATAAATGAATAACGATTTGCATGTAGTACATCCACATAGTGGTTCTTCGTCTACCTGATTCCTGGTCGAATTGGAATTTGGAAATGTTGGTTTTTGAGGAGAGGGGAAAACCGGAGTACCCGGAGAAAAACGTCCCGGAGCAAGGGAGAGAACCAACAACAAACTCAACCCACATATGGCGTCGACGCCGGGATTTGAACCCGCGCCACATTGGTGGGAGGCGAGTGCTCACACCACTGCGCCACCCTTGCTCCCCAAGTTGCAAATAAATGTACAAAACTTGTAATGAACGTGCAAAATTTAGGTTTTCCCTATTAAAAACCTATTTATTTATTTATTTATTTATTTGTTTATTTATTTATCATTAATTTTTGACGATCTCGTTGCGCTCCCCTCGTCGGATCTTAAAGTCCCTTATAACGTTTCTCCTATAACGTCTTACATCGTATAACGAGCATGTACCTGAAATACTTTTCCATTAGGCTGTGAAGGTTTGTGAGCCACCCTACTTGGGCAGGATGCACTGCCTGAGCTCTGAAGGACACAAGGATATGAAGAGATTGCTCCTGCAAATAAATAAAAGCATGCTTACGATTCTTGAAAACAGGGTGCATTTTAAATTGTTTTGAAAAAACAGTGACTACCTTTTTTCAGTCTGAGAAAAATACTTCAACTCTTTCTTAACGGACACCTCTATAAGACGGACACCTCACTTAAACGGACACTCAGAGTTGGACTCTTCCATTCTTTTCTTCTTTTAGTTGACTCTCTTTAAGACAGACACACAGTGTGGTTCCAAAGGTCATCCCATTTTAGAGGGAGTTTACTTAACAAATCCATCCTAAGCATATAACAACCTATGTTCAATCAAGGCCCATTTACTCGTCAAAAAGAGATGGAACGGCTCGGGAAGAAAAAAGTACCAGTTCGAGATGAAATCTGATTGCATAGACGTACATGTAAAATGTTTCCTGAGGAGAAAAGGCACGGTCGTTGACTGAGCCGTCGGAAAAGGGTGTGTTGTAGTTAAAATATTTTAGTTTAAAGACAAAATTTAACCAAGGATAACCTCAATCGTTAATTGTTTCAATTAGACTGGGGCAACTAAAAAGGTCCAATTTTTACGTCGCAACTCATAAAATTACTTAAACTGATAATCCTGAGGCCGACCTCCCTCTCTCCACCAGTACGGAGCTCTGCAGGGAAAGTAAAGAAGTCGATACACCTGAGAACTGAACGCAGAACTTCCCGCTAAAAACTTCTCGCAGAGAAGGCCGGCCGCGCATGCGCACTAACCGATCGTGGTAATCCTTACTCCTTCTTTCCCTTAGTAGAAAATTAGTAGAAATAACAACAACTAAAGCTGTTTTACTAACCGGTCGGTTGCTTGAAACCTTCTCTACTATGTTGAAAAATCTCTCTTCTGGTCCATTAAACTTTTCTGTCTCGTAAAGTTCTTCTATGCTGGTCAGCAGACTGTGAAAATTCTCGATCAAAGCGGTATCACCCGGGCTATGTTGCTGTTATGAAAAGAGAAATAACTCTGTCAAAAACATGGCGGGTAGAGGGTGTAAAGAACTATTAAAGGCAATTTTAAAAGCGCAGCCCCAGTTAATGAACAAACTAAGATTGAAAGCAAATAATACGAGTTTGTATAGGTAATAGCATGATTTTTAGTGATATTTGGCGTAAATACCACGAAACAATTATAACATATTATATTATATTATATTATATTATATTATATTATATTATTGAAATATCACGAGTGGTATTTATGCCAAATATCACGTACAAATCATGCTATTATTTGTTTATACTACTAGCCACTAAAGGTTTGTAATTTTCACATGTAGGTATTTCAAATTAAGCTGAAATACCACTGCTCTAAGCCAATCAAATTGCAGAAATTTCTCGTGTAGTAGTATAAACACTTAAAGCCTCAGGCGGGGTACCGGGTCTTGAAGTGTATTGACTGTGCGAACAACTGAAATACAAGTTTAGAAATTTCTACCATCGCAGACGGTTCTCCATTCCCACAAGGACAATGATGTTGAAAATCAAAGGTAACCTTAAGAATCAGGTTCTCTGAGCTCTCTGTGTAAATCGTATATCGCTTTTTGGAGCCCTATGTGCGCTGCTTTCCGCTGTAAATGCAATGGTTTTTGAGCTCGATAATTTTACCATTTTTTTTGTATTCTCCACTATGTTGCCAATATATGTGAAACAACGTTATCGTGTGGTTTTAGACAGAGCCGTTTACAGTGTATACAATAGAGCTTGCAGTTAGAAGCTTACAGCTCAGAGGCATCCTCGCTACGATAGCCTCAGATTTGATTATTTAATTCAGTACCTCGATCTGTCGTTGAAGAGCCTCAGTGATGTCCAGTACTGCATCCCACGCCACAACATGAAGATCGTGACCATATTTCTTCACCAGCCTTTGAACAGACAGCGCTACTTCTAATGCTACTAAACTATGATGACAAGAAAGGGCCTGGGAATGTGAAATCAAACCAAAAAAATCGTTATCGCCTTCATTACACTGTTCCTTCATAGTGAATGTTTCAGTACTTATTCCCGTTATGTTTCCTTTTTTTTCGTATTAATAATGGTAATAGGACCGAGTAGAGTCCAATTCGGTCTGTAATCATAAGAGTAACCCTAGCCCTAACCCTAAAACAGCATTCTTTAAAAAAAAGATAGACCCCAACCCCGTGTTTTAGTGACACCCTTATTTACATCATCATGTGGCATTCACATTTGAATTATATGGAAATTCCTGAAACAAAATGTTTAATTCCCAAAGGGTTCCAATTGGGTACAACATTGAGTTAGCCGAATAGGTCTATTGAGTTCATCCTCCACCTCTGACCAATCCAAAACAAAGGAAGAACTGGCCTTTCACTACATTACGCGGTCGTCCGATTTTGTTTGATCACTGTTGACACTAACCCTAACCCTAACCCTAAAACAGCATTCTTTGAAAAAAAGATAGACCACGACCAAGGACTAAATACTGTACTTGGAAAAACTGAGGAGCCTCAAATGCAAGTCGCGAGATCGATCTGTAAACTATGACGTCACATAACAGATCCCTTTAGAGTAACATTTTTCCATCTTCGTACAGAAAGTAGTATTCTTTGCGAGATGACAGGATAAGAGATTGGGTTTCTAGCTGGCAATCTTTCTTCGGTTCGTGCCTTTGTCTACAATTTTTTTTTATTCAAAAGTCTCGAGATATGTCCAAAAACGCACTATAGTTTTAAGCACACACTTAACTGAGTGAAAAATTAATTTCCGTTCTTAGAATTTTTGAAACACTTTTAAGCTTTGCGTTGCTCCTGACTATTGCAACAAACTGAAAAATACTCACTAGTAACATTGAAGGCAGAACAGTTGAATTAGAGTACTTTAGGTTGGGTACCCGCTGTGAGCCCCATAAGCACATTCCAATGAAGAACACGGAGCCCCGCAACAGCATCACATCGGAACTGTTATTACTGTAAAAATAAACCAAAGAAACTGTAGATCGTTTTATTTATCTGCAAAGTGGAAGTGCTTTAGCACTAATTTTGCCGAGACTTCATTTCCGACCTCAGTTACGTCTTCGTCGAACACTGAACAATTTTATTCGGGCATTTTCCGATAACGACTGTTTTTGCAGCTCTGTTTACGTGTTTGAGTGCTAGTCCATAACTTGTTTCCATCAATATTATAAATTCGCCATTGGATGTACAGTCGAATCCCTCTGCAAAGGTCACCTTGTTGGAGGGAGTAAGTAGCCGTTGTTGGGAGAGAGGGGTATAACGTGAATGTATGCTTTGCAATGAATGTACAGAGTGTTGCAGTTGATACCACAGGGGCCATACCTGTCTTCCAAAAGATTGCACATTGTATAGACTCCACTGTGCCCAAGATGAGTTCCAAGCAAGTTGCGCATTATCTAATAAGCAAGCGAAAAAGAACAATAATAGGGCCATCAACGCGGGGAAAATAAGAAGGCGTCTTTCATAAGACAAGGAATTTTTCCTCTTACAAATGGCCCTGCGATTGGGCAATATGAAGCAAATCCTGTCTTGGACACACGATTGGTTACATTAGGCCTGTTAACCGAAAATTAGTTATAGTGAGAGATTCGCAGGCAAACTGATTACTGGAGGCTGCAAATGATAGTCTTTGGTATTAAAGAGCTTAACGTCAATGACAACGACACTGACAAAATACAATTGGTTTTATGACCAAAACCGAGAACACATCTTCTCATGCACCAACCTTTTTAGTATATTTCTTTGATGAAACTCGGCTGCATGAAGACGAAGTGAAACTTCCTAAAGCGAGGACGTGAACATACGACGACGAATTTTCTTCTCCCTTTTTGAACCTGGATTAGGTCCTTAAGAATTCAATCCCAGGAAAAATGGCCTACATTTGACAAATTGGGTTGGTCCAATAGACGCGATAAAGTATGAAAAGACGAAAATTTCTTAATTTTAATAGCGACGTTTTCAATGACGTTGTATTTTTGGTTGCTTTATCCGGACATGGGGTCCGACAGCAATTATTTTCGTCAGACATGGCCGGGCCACTTTAATTTAGCCCAACAATGACCAATGAGAGACTGTTATTTGCAACTCTAGACCTGGAACAAATAGACTTAAAAACAGGGTGTTTATGCGACGCGGTTCCATGGTACAAGTGCGTGCACTATAAAGTTTGCTTTGGGCATTGGGGAGCTATTGTTTGGTGGTCACTCAGGCAAATAGTTACATTGTTCCGTATAAAGCTCAAATACCCAATGCCCACTTGCCAATGCTCAACGCCCAAAGCAACCTTTATTGAATCAAAAATACATGTACATGTATATCGAAGATCTTAATACCTTCCAACTGTGTGGGCAAAATCTTTGAATGTTCACAGCTCGGCAAGCAGTAGCAATGAACTCAAATAAAGCATTAGATGGAAGACAGCTGTAACGAACCACGGCATCCAAGAGGCACAAGCATAGCTGGAAAATAAAGAAAAGAAACAGTAAACCCTTAACCTTTCTATCTCAATGTTAGCCTCTGTTCACACATTGCAGAGGAATCAGAGAGTGCTCAAAGTATTCCAAATTTGCAATCCTAGGTGCCTAGCAGTTTTAATTTACGGCAAGTTTTTTTTCAAGTTGCCAAACGGCACAGTCCCACATTCGAGAAAATACTACAGCGCTTATTAAACTGAGAACAGAATTGCAACTTCAAAACTTAGGTTGTTCTCTGTGTTGCTGATGTTATAAAAAATCTAACGGGCATTGTGCTACTTAATTTTCTATATTCAAATTTTCTTGATGTTGTGTTTGAAGTTGGGATGTCAGAGAGATTTTGTTCTCACAATTTCAGTCTAGTTCACGCCGTAATACTATCATTTGTACTCTCTGAAAAATAATTGCTGAAACAAGTAAAAGGCCAGCTGATTTTTTGGCGCAAACTTCTCTCCCCCGATCATGAACACCTCTTTATGTAAGTCTTTGGTTATGAGCCCTGTTTACATTGTGTAATTATAAAAGGCAAACTGGACCTAAATGTAAATACCTCAACATCGTCTTCATCCTTAGTTGTTCTTGATAAACGGCAGGTTTCTCTGAAAAAAAAATTAAGGCAGAATTAATTTTTTTAGGAAAGAGAGTTAATTCATGTAGGTATCCCCCCAACATCCAGCCTTAATTAAGTTGTATTTACTTTAAGGTGGCTCCGTTATTAATATAGGCGCATTCAGCTATGAAGAACTTTGCGTCATAACTTTTTCGGTTTTAGCGCGATGTCTACGAAACTTTGAGAAGAACTACAGCTATTATTTGGCAATAATATGAAATAATCCGATTTTACCAGTGGGAAGTCACAAGAATATGCTTGCGCGGAGAGCTGCCTTAGGATGTCTTCATCAAGGGTTAGGGCACAGTCAGTATGAGGGCCTGATGGCAGCAATGAATATAAAACCTGTGTCGGAAAACACGATGAAACAAGCTGAAAGAGAAGTGGGAATTCTAATCGAAGAAACAGCAAAAGAAAGCTGTGAAAAATGGAGGAGAGAGGAAAAACGTAGAGGAGAAGGTGAAGGGTTAAGAGGTTCGTTTGACGCAGGGTGGCAAAAGCAAGGGCGCGCTCGTAACTCAAGGACGGGTCATGGCACCATGGTGGGATTGGAAACGGGGAAATGCCTCGATTACGGGACAAAAAATACGTACTGCAGGAAATGCCTTGAGGCGGAAAAAAGAGGAGTTCAACCTAAACCGCATGACTGTCGGCTCAACCATACCGGTTCTGCTAAAGCAATGGAAGCATCAATTGCCGTTGATCTATGTCATAAAGAAAAGTACCAGGTTTTAATAGGCGATGATGACTCCACAGTTATTGCAAGAGTGCGTGAGGAGGTTGACAGTAATTTAGAGAAGTGGTCGGATGTAAATCATGCAACTTGTACTTTGACGAAAGGTTTGTTCGAGGGGAAGGGAATGGACTTCGGTCCGGACAATGACAGAATCAATGACAGCATCATTGATCACATAAAAACGTGTTTTTCTTATGCTCTTCACCAGAACAAAAACAATGTTGCTGGCATTATTGAGGGAATTGGGGCTATTGTCCCGCACAGCTTTGGGGATCACAGTAAGTGCGGACTCTGGTGTAAACATAGCAAGGACCCAGAAGGCTATCGGCACTCAACTCTCCCAGGAGGAAGGAACTTGCGCGGTGAAAAATTAAGGAAATTTCTCAACAGCTTGCTGCAGCCTTTTATTCGGGAAGACGTTGCAAAGAAACTGGCCCCCCTTGGATCGACACAGCGTAATGAATGCATCAATAGCGTCGTGGGAACAAAGAACCCAAAGAAAAGATTTTACGGAGGATCAGAGAGCAGCGACTACCGTGTGTCAGCAGCAGTTGCGCAGTTTAATGAAGGACATGAATATCTGAAGGCTGTGGAAAAGAAAATTGGCTGCGTGGAAGGAAAAACGCTGAATGTTTACGTTACCAAAATGCAACGGAAAAGGAAGCAATCTGCAGACAGAAAACAAGAAGGTAGCGCTAAAAAGAGGAGGAGAGAACTGAAAAGAAAAAGAAAACACAATCAAAAGAACCGAGAAAGAAGGGAGGGAACAACTTACTGTTCAGGTAAAATTTCCCCTTGTATTTTTTATTTATTAATTAATTATTAATTAATCAATTAATTGATATTTCAATTTGCATGCAATGTTCTGCTTCTTTGATCTTTCACAATTAAGAATGTAAAAGATAACTAGTCTTAAAATTTCTCATAGGAATTGGCTTTGGAGCAGTAACCCAAGAGGAATTGAACGCCATGAGTGTGAGTGGTGAGGATGTTAAAGTCGAGAAGCATCTTAAAGACAACAATACCCAGCCCGTTAAGAAACCTAGTAAGCCGGTGAACAATCGGAGAAAACCTGATGACTACGTTGTGCTGATCTACGACCTGGAAACAACTGGATTCAAGAAAGACGCAGAGATTACCCAGTTGGCTTGCATTGATCTGAAGGGAGAAAGGGAGTATTCCACTTACATTTTGCCAAAGAGGACTATCGACCCTGGTGCCTCAAAGACGACTGGCCTCTCTATTGGGTACTTGCAAGGAGTTCGCTGTCTGTGCAAGGATGGAAAAGCTGTAGAGGCACCTGACAGAGGGACGGCATTAAACGGTTTCATTCAGTTCCTGAAAAGCCTAGGAAACAAGCCCAAGTTACTAATTGCTCACAATGGCCAGTCCTTTGATGCACCACGCCTGGTTGGTAACATTGAGGAACAACAGATTGCGCATGAATTTAACAACGACATCTTTTTTGCAGATTCTCTGATAGCTAGTAGAAAACAATTTAAAAGAAAAGAGAGACTGAAGCTGCAAGACATTTATTTCGAAGCCTTCAAAGAAGAGTTTACCGCCCATGATGCCTTGGAGGATTGCAGAGCACTTCGAGCTGTCCTTATCAACCATGGTAAACCACTTCAGGAGCTTGTATACCAAACTGCAACGCCCTTCTCGCATTATTCTGCCACACGCCAATATCAAGCCCGACTTAAGTCAGTTAAAGAAACCTACAAAGGACGCCTTTCTTCAACGCGAGTAATAAACCGTCTTAGCAACTTTGGCATCACGTTTACATTACTAAGGGACATTTATGTTTCTTGTGGAAGGGACGCCTTGATCTGTTTCATCGCAGGGAAATGCAAAGGACGCGTCCGCGTAACCAAAGACATCGGCGATTTATGTGAAATTTTGAAGGCACTTTGTTGATTATACGTGCACCATTATTTCGAAGATTTAACTCTTTTGAATTGAAGCCGTGTTAGTTAGGAGAAGGCCGGGTAATCAGAATACATTCCGTTGCGAGTGTATTTTATCGGCATCTGTGCAACCCACGTACATTCAGTGTAGATTGCACTAATTTGTTAAAGTTATAAATTTATTAAGCTATGCAAAGTTTTTTTGTATACAGATCATTGGATTATTGGTGTAAGCTATAATTAATATAGTCTCTCTAAATGAAAAAATTGATTATGAGAAAATAAACCAATTTTTGGTCACCCCATCCTTTCCAAAACTCCTTAGAAATGAACGCCAGGTGTCATCAACCCTACACGGTTCGCAGGCTTTCAGCATTGTCGTTCGCCCCCCGGGCTTAGGTGTGAATTCTTTGGAGAACTGTCGCACGTGCTCATTTCGTATTCATAAACAAAGGCGCTCGACAGTTCTATCTGAGACCTGATACAGCCTAGTGTGTTATCCGAGTTTCCTGTTTCTTGAATTGGAAGCAACGCAGAGCAGTAAAAAATGATGTAGATTCATTGCAATACATTGAAATATATGCAGTAAGGGTTTGAGCTAAAACTGCTGAAAGAATTCTGAAAAATGTACAAGAATAAATCAATCGTTACCAGAGCGAAGTTTGCGGTAATTTATAGTGTTTACAAAACTGAAGAGAACTTGTTAAAGAACAAAGCGATTGCCGATCGCCTTTTCCCTCAGGATAAGCAAGCATTATATTTACTTTTCCCCAAAATTCAACTTGGTCACTCGTTCTACCTCAGAGCAATTTGTTGTCGAAATTCCAAAACAATTTCATAGGTGAATTCGGAGGGGCTTTCTAGTTACGGACTTCTGCTCCAACGATTTCTCTGAAATTCATTCGGCATATTTATTATATCAATAAATGCTGATACAAGAAATTTCAGCCAAAAATATCAGCAAAATTTTTCACAAGACGCGATTTTCTTTAAACAGTAGGGTCCACTTGGGCGCTAATTTCGTAAAAAATATTTCCCACTGGTAAAATCGGATTATTTCATATTATTGCCAAATAATAGCTGTAGTTCTTCTCAAAGTTCAAAGACCATTCATACTTTTAAAAACTTGAAACTCATTGTAGATTGTTAGCCTGAACTTCATACGATTACTTCGAGTCGTTATTACTCCCTCAGTAACTTACTGAGGGAGTAATAACGACTTAAAGTAATCGGATGAAATTCAGGCTATGTTGATTGTTCACTTACCTTACGATGCCTGATATGATATCTTCATCAAGAAAACTTGAGTTATAGTGGATAACGTTGATCACAAGAGGCATAAAGACATCCATTCTACAAGGAAAACAAAGTAATATTAAAATTCTTTAAGCCTAAGATTGATCAGCATCAAATTTCTCCTTGTAATATTAATGCTTTACAAAATACATTGTGACAAGAATCTAGCTAGGACATGATCAATCTATTTGATCCTTTAACAAATTCTTCCAGTACTTCCATAGAAAACTTATAGGGACAACGTGAATCTGAATTTTGATGCTAGAGTTTTAAGGGTTTAAAATAAGATACATGTCAACACACAAACACAGGGCTGTCAACCCTTTAAGTCTTCAAATATTGAGAAATGGTAGTTGACGTCATAATGCACAACCCATGGCGTCATTTCTCCAAAAATGCGCAAAAAAAGATGTAGTTGGAATTGTAACATTTGACCTGATTGGTTTACTTGCCACCAATCAAGTTATTGCTTATCATATTTCAATGGCATACCGGAGTTTATAAGGAAATGTTCAAAATAAAATAGCTCAAACAACGCAAAATATTTGAAATTTCATTGTCAGAGAGTCGAATCTACAAGAAATGGCAAACTTTGGCGATTATTTGGGAGATTTCAGACTCTAATCTGGAGACCGGGAGATACGGTTCAAAATCTGGGGTCTTCCGGATTATCCGGGAGAGTTGACAGCACTGCATTCAGGCTCAACCACAGGGGAGAAAGCTTCCTAAAAATACATTTCTCTGCCTCATCAGGATTGTTAGGTAGATTGTGTGATCGTGTGACAGGTCAGACAAACATCTAGGAGAGGGGTGGGGATGAAAAATCTTGAAATATTTAATATTCACCTTCCTTCCTGCATGACTTCTGGCATCCACGACAACAGAAAAGGGCCTGTAGTGATGTTATTATACAACAATTAACCTGCATTAATTTTATACACAATGCCAGATACGGTAAAACTATAAACACGAAACAATGGAATTAGACTAGTCAAGTTAAATTTTTTCTTACCTGTCAGCTCTTCAAAATATGAGATGTCTTTTCCATTATCACTCAGAGCCTTTAACATATCCAGTCTGAAGATTAGTTAATTAAATCAAAATTATCAGTATGACATCTCCATAATCAGCTTCTCAAATTTGTCTACTTCTGATGTCCTTTAAAATCTTGACATTACACATTATTTAGAGAAAATTTGAAGGAAAAGGGTAATTAAAAAGGACAGAGATTGTATTTAAAAAGTGACGCCAAAGTTGTTATTGTTTCTTGGATGAAGGAGCCATTAATAAAAGGGCAATTCATTTTAAGGATATCTGTCCCAAAAGGAAACAGTACATTTTATTTCCATTAGGCACTCAGTGAACATTGAAGGACAAGGTGAGGGGAAACTAACAAAAAATTATAAATTTAGTTTTTTTGTCCTGGCTGCAAAAAAATTAATAATTGTTTGCTGGATGACTGGCAGGCAAGATACATGACCTGTCACTGCATAATACACGTAAGTTTTGTCCCGCATGGCAAGTTAATCAGTTCACTTAACCCATTCGCTACTGGAGATTTTGCCGAAAAACGCGTTTTGAAGCTAGTTGAGTGGTTTTCTGGTCACTGTCGAGCTATAAAGAGCTAAAACTTACCACAAACCGGTTTACAGGTCGTACACTTGGCGGCCTTCTGATCCAGATGCAAAATATCAGCTTGCGAAGTTCAGGCATGCGCAGAAAGCAAAATTTCGACTTCTCGCTTTCTCTCCTCCCTTCTTTTTTCGCTTTTCTTGCCTCATTTTTTTTTTTCTCTTGCTGGGCATTTAGTAGGCTTCATTTTGGTGGGAAGAGTTTTTAGGAAAGCTTTTAGGATCTTAGGATTAGATGAAAGGAAAGGTAGGTGGGTAAACTAATGGAACAAGATTTTCATGGAGATTTTCAGGTCCTTGTCACGTGGTTTTTTGCTTCTTTCTCCGGTGTCCTTGACTGAATTGTGCTCATTCTGGTATGGTTTGAAAGATCTCTTCACTCTGCACAAGTTAGCGAAGAAAGTTGTCCTTGACCGTTAAAACTGATGACGTCACAAAGGGTAGAAAGGACCTGGATCCGCACGGGCGGTTACGGGTGGTTCAGGGGCGAATGGGTTAATCAGAAAATGTGCTGAATTGGGAGGTGTAACAAATGTGTTTGAACCAGCAGGATCAGAGATTTTAATGATCCCTCTAACAGATTAATTGTAAAGCTCTAATAGCACTGAAAAGTATAAGCGCTATATAAATATTTTTTATTATTATTATTATTATTATTATTATTATTATTATTAATATAGTTTCCACATAAAGTGTGTTTGCAGATATCCATATCAACCCCTTGAAGGGTCACTGGAAAATTCTAGGGTTGGGGGTGAGGTATTAAGAGCCAAATAGTTTGCACAAAGTATGGTCATTGAATTAAACTGGTAGGGGAAGGGGAGTTAATTTAAAAAATACCCTCTGTGGGGAGTGTGGATATATTCTGGTAAAACACAATGTTTGACCAGTGTGGTACTTACCTCGGTGAAACATCTTCTGGAATCTTGTGATTAGCAACAACAGAGAAGAAATGACACCTTAAAATGCCAAGTCTGTCGATCTGCAAAGAAAAAATGAATTTATATCAGTGGTTTAACAGGTGTATAGCTATCACTTTTTCAAAAGACAATAACAAAAAATTACAGCAAGTGACTGACCTGTCCAGACACCATAACAGTTAGAAAATGAAATGTAACATGACGTGCTTCCACTGGGCTGTTTGGATTTAGCAGATCCTCAACTGCAGCCCAGGCTGCTTCAATGGCATGCTGTGGATGAAGACAAGAACATATCTGCCTCAATATATAGCCTCCAAAAACAAATATAACTCCCAGATTCAATTATGACAACAAGCACATAACATAATGTTATAGCAGCTCTCACATTCAAACATCACCGGGGAAATGGCACTTTCAGGAAGTACAATTTACCAGATAACCAGAAGCTATGTCACTTAGCTTGAACTCTGTAGTCATACAGTCACCTTTCTCAAGGAAATTTTCTTGGCAATTGAGATCCCCTTAAAACTTCTAAACCAGTGGCTCACTTTAAGCACAGCATTTTCATAGGAATACATATGCTGTCAGGCTACCTGCCTGACTGTGGTGTGATTACTAAAACACACCCTCTTGAGAGATTAAAGTATGGTATATACCAGCAAAACCCTAGTCATGGTTGCCACAGCCAGAGGATTCTGAAATTCCGTGACTTTTTCCTGACTTTTTCCTGACAAATGTAAAATTTCCCTGACCAACTGAAATTACGATTTCACAAATTAGTCCCAAATAGACTCGATCAATGCTCCACTCACGGCCATCCCCCCACCCATTTATTTACGCTTTCAGCAAGTCACACATGGTGTACATGAATTGATAGTTCCTTAATTTAACGTGCAAACAGGATTGATTTTTTTTGAAAACCCAACATCAGCTTGTTGTTCAATTTCATTTATAAAACAACATTCTACCAATACAACACAATAATTCATGTTTGTAAAATTGTAAAAATGTACCATTAAAATTTCACTTTTCTCTGACTTCTTTCAAAGACTTAAATTTTCCCTGACTCCAAGTGAAATTCAATGACTTTTCCCTGACCTTGAAGAAATCTTATTTCCCCTGACTATTTCCTGACCTGTGGCAACCATGCTAGTACAATAAACCCTAACAAAAGATATTTTCTGTAGAGAAGGACCAAATACAGGTACAGTGGAACCTCAATGTAATGAAGGGCCAAGGGACTGGCAAAATTTGTTCGCCATACCGAGGTTTTGTTATATCGAGGTTCTTTTTCATACATTTTACTATTACTGGGGTAAAGAAAATCGTTCATTATACCTTGGACTTTGTTTTATGGAGGTTCATTATATGGAGGTTCCATTGTACTGACCATGTACAAATGATTTTCCCAGTCTCTTGGCACTTCTCCGTATCAGGATTCCACTGTACTATTTATGGCAGGGGTATTATGCGGTTTGCAAATTGCCACAGACTAGCTACCAAATGACTCTAAACTTAGGTGATTATTAGGGTTAGGAAACAGAGTGAAACAAGTTCCATTTAGGGTCACTATACAAGGCAAACTGACGAGGAACTTGATTCATTAAATTTCCTAACCCTAAATTTATCACCACACAGCTGTTGTGAGGTCTGTATTTCCAATCTTTTTGGAACGAGTACTTTGTTGATGACCCAAAAACGCTTACCCCCGCTCCAAGGACACACTAGCGATCGGGGTTCATAGCAACTACCTTATGGTATGGGCCCCCTCTACAGACTACCCAAAAAATAACATAAAGATAACAGAAATTACAAAATAAAGACTGTGGCTCCTTAAAACTAACTGACAAAGGCTCAGGCTCAGGCAGATGATTTTATACTAATCACATACATGTATTGCTATCTCCAGGGTAACAATAATGTACAATCAGCATGCTCCAGGAAAGACCTGAATATGAGGTTTTGTGATACATATATATTTCTACTTAAATTGCCGTTTATAACTTAAGTCTAAGACTACTCACATTTTCCACTCGCCGACTGACCAAAAAGTCACAAAGGTCTTTTAAAACTTTGACCCTGTTTGACAGGGCCGGGTTTTCCTTGCTGATTTCCTATGGTAGGAACATAAAGCAAAATAATAATGGATGACAAATGTTCCATAATAATTGATTTTTGCATCACTTTAACATTTACAACCAATGATTGATTGTGATCGATGACTGGCATACCACTAGTATAGACATACAACTGTATATACCTAATTCAATAAAGATTGCTTTCACAATTGATCATTGGTAAATGGGCATTTGGGCATATGGCACTCACTGCTGAGCAATGATTTGCTTGAGTGAGTGCCAAACAATAGCTTCCAAGTGTGCAAAGTTCAATGCCCAAAGCAACAGGATCTTGTGTCTTATAGGGGCTATTGACAGACATATCAGTCGGCGTATCGGTCGACATATCAGTTGATATATTGGCCGAGTCTCATTCCAGTCTCGGTCAAGTGTCGGGCAAGTGTCAAGTGAGTGTTGGTGGAGCTTCGGTCGAGCATCAGTTTATATATCGACCAAGTGACAGTCGAATTGGAAATGTGGCCGATAGTTGGCCCCTATAATTCACTGGTCGATAGTCAGTCATTAGTCTGTCAGTACTCCGGTGATGGATCACCAATTCACCAACACTCGGACCTCAGTTAAGACGCTAAACTTTTCAGCATTAGCATCAATTTGGGTTTCTGGGAAACTGCCCTCCTACGCCTCCCCTAAGCTAACATTAATTCTCACTTAGGGAAAAATGTTAGTTTAGGGGAGTGGTAGGTGGGCAGTTTCTCAGAAACCTAAAATAATATTGGTTTTGTTAAAAACGGAAGAGAAATTTTCTCAATAAAAAGTATGGCGTCCAGTTGTGGGCAAAACATGTAGGGGAAAAAAATTGGTTTCCTTGTCCATTTTGGTTCCATTGAACCTCCCAAAACTGTAATTGGCATTTGGAACCACATAATTTAATCAAGATACAAAGTCTCTCTCAGCACTCACCACCCTCGATCAATACACCACCAATACATCCTGATACTACATTACCGACACACTACAGATACTATTACGACCAAATGTCGACTGACAGTTGACTGATGATCAATCGATACGTCAGTCAATACTCAACCAATACTCCACCAACACTCGACCGATATGCAACCGATACTCGACCGACGCTCGATCAACATATTTAACAATTATTATTCCTCTAGCCCAAATGGGCTCTGAGTCAATAGTGGCCGAATGGGCTATTGACTCAGAGGCCACGAGGGTGAGAGGAATAATTGTTTTAGTAAAATCCAACTAGTTGGTCAAAAATATAGAGACAAGACAACTTTAGCTAGCAAAACGCAATTCAGCTGCCATTGTTTTGGTTTTCAAAGCCGGGGCTTTTCGCTACTAGTGGGCTATAACATATAGCCTAGTAGTAGCTCAACCAATCAGAATGCAGCGTTGATAATAGACCACTAGTTGGATTTTTCTAATGATCGATATGACAACATCCTTCTTTCTTATTAAGAAGGTCTTTTCTTTTACAGTTCCATTTACAGTGAATTATCTATTCAGTGATGGATTTCTATACTATTGGCAGTTTGAATGAATCAACTATCTATAATTGGCCATTCTCGGCTAAATTGATTGACAACCAAATCATTACTTTCATTAATTTGCCTTAATATCATTGAATGACATCGACATAAAATTCCATTCCTGATGCAAGAGTTAACCATCAGCTGTAATAACTATAATCGCTAATGAAGACGAAATATTTCCCAACTCTGAAGTTAAACTATGAATCTACCTGAAGCAATTCTTGATGAAACAAAAATTCATCTGGTTTGGGACCTTCGTATACGGGAGTAACATGGCCTTTCTTCGCGCCAAAAAACTGCTTCACCTTCTGACGAAACCCTTCACTCACATTAGGCTTGGACATCTTCGTAACAACAGGCAGAGAAACATAATACATGTAAATTCAACATAAAGTAAGATTGTGTGACAGGTTAGCACTGTCCGCCGCCATTTTGAAGGAACATGAACTAACACTACCCTAGCAAGACACACTCTGTGGGGAAGGGACAGGCTTACGTGTCAAATACATGGCGGATTCAAAATGGACGAAATGATGGAGAAGCTTGGAAAGACGTTGGGCCCTAATAAAGAGCCACAGGATGAAAAGGAGTTGGTTAGATATTACATTAAGGCATTGTAAGCCATTGCAATACGTAAAGCAATTATTCAACTTCCTGAGTATGTTTATTTGCAAGCTGGCAGGATTTTTCACTGAGAAAATGTCGAGATGGTGTTTAAATTGTTGCCAAGATAAATTTCAATATAATTTTGATTTTTGAAATTCTAGGGCTCTAGAAGCTTGTACAGAACAGAACACAGCGCTTCAAAAATGCTTTCAGCGAAGCTGGTACCCCATATGCAGAAAAGAGCAGGAGGATTATTGGAATTGCTACCGCAAGGAAACAGTAAGCAAGCTTAAAAATTTGATTTTTATTGTAAGCTTAAATGTGTATCAATACTGCTTGATTATCCACTTTATTTTCCCAAAGATCAAGTATTATTTCTTATCAGAGGGGTCCATGCAGGGAAGTTTAATACAATCCTCTCCCTACCCGTCACACTGTATTGCGTTACGATTGTGATTGAGGTGGGGGGAAGGGGTGGTGTAGGCTGCCTCCCGACACGTTCTTTGTGTGCCTGCTAGCTCTCACGCTTCAGGTTAGGCGTGAGCCTCACTCCTTTAGATCAGAAACTTTGATCTCATGCCAACTCACATGCACTAATCAACCAATTTCTCACACCTGCCTAACTGAGTCATCGCAACCTTTATTAAAGAAATGTAGAGAGACTAGGAAAGGTGCCCCAAGGCGGGGGGGGGGGGGGGAGGTACGTCCTAAAACTGAATTTCAAAGGAGAAGTTATGTTGCTGCCCCTATTATAATATTATTTTGTTTGTCCCAGTTTCATTGATTTTTAGTCATTGTTCCAAGGCCATGTCACTTGTCGGAATTAACCACTAATAAGGCCTGACTGGATTTAGGCCTGACTAGAATTTCCATATCAATGATTTTGCTTTCCCTGAAATTTCCAATTCTAGGCATGTGTGTGGTTTATTGGTATATAATCATTTGCAGAATCTTGATAATTCAAAACCTTCAGAATACCTGTGGGAAGCTTTGGAATGTCTTTGTAGACAAGAGGAGACAAAATTATTATTATTCTTGGGCTGGGACAATATTGTGTAGGTAGGTACATAGGGTGGGTTGGTGGACAGGGGATAAGTGTGCATGGCACAGAAGGGAAAATCTCCAGATTACAGATTTGCAGTTAGTACATGTAGTCAGAGTTCCAACAGTCATTTCCACAATGCGTGTATTAATTACTACTAATCCTCCTTCTTTTTCATCTTGTAGATCCGTCTAAGAAAGCATTATGATGTTTACTAGGTGAACTTTGGACAATCAAGTTGTATTTTGCGTTAGAAAATAAGGGCAATCTAATTAGTAACCGTGGACACCATCTTGACCACCATCATCTGCAGGAGAAAAAGCCTGAAAAGGACTGATTATTTTTCTTGGCTGGTTTAAATAACGATCGACGTTGTTTAAATCCTGTCTGCGTGATGGACTGCAGTGCTCCTTGTGGACTTCTTTCTTAAGTTTTGAATCCATGAATAAAGCTTCAAGTAAACTTGCTTTGTTCAATGTTGCAAATATCGGTGTGATGAAATGGCAGGGTTTTGAAAACTTTCCTTCTTTGCACCAGTGAACACTTAATGACAACTAGGTTCACATGCTGGAAGTTTGGATTTGTTTTTGAACTTACTTGATCTTTTCCACTAATGCCCGGCTCAGACACCGAACTTTTTGTGATCCGAACCTAATTTGTATTAAGGCCGACCAAAATTATTCAATTGATTCAGACTCTCATCTTTAAATTCCAGCCAAACTAACTTCAAAAGGAGAAAAATGCGCATTTTGGTCACAAACTAGTTGCAAAATATATTATTATAAATTACACATTAAGTTAGGCACATGAAAAGTTTGGCATCTGAATGAAAACCATTCCAAAGTCATTCCACAGTCGAAATTCCCAGCTGGGCTAGGCAGGAAGAACAGCTGAGCCGTTCCAAATTGTAATAGGTATTACTAATTGATTCAGATGCCAAACTTTTCATGTACTTAATTCAAGTAGGTTTGGCTCATGAAAAGTTTATTCCCTGAACTAGGCCTAAGTGATCTGGTCCTTGGAGAGAACTAAGACCATCATCTTAAGTAAATTAATAAGCCTCAGCTCCCGGAAACTTAAAGAGGATTTGTGGTAATTTCAGAGTTTTCTTGTTTTGTTTTGTGTGTGTTTGCACTGTTACTAGGGGCCTTATCACATTGATCAACTGACGTATTCACTTTGCAAACCACAATTTCAAGCCCACAATTAATAATAATACAACAGGCCACAGAGATAAAATACGGCAAGAAGCTTTTAATACCAATTGTAAATCAAAAAATATTGCAGCTCAAAAGGATATAATTTACTATATTATTTTAATGAGCTACTCATTGCAGCTGATTAATAAATAACTTCTTGCAGGTTATTTAAGTGCCAGCACTCAAAACCACTGACATAGTAATATACATTAAACTGGTATCCCATGATCTAAAATAATAATTGTGTGTTTTCACATGACGTCATGGTGGCCATACTTGTGTCCCAGAACAATGAAATGGTGGCCATGTTTATGTCCCAAACCAGTCTTGTGGGAGTTGAACTCTTTTCTTATGTAAACGTTTTCTTTTGTTCTAATAAATTTGCATAGATGCTGCCCACGTGAGTGAAAACACAGAATACTGTTACTCTCACACAAAAACAGGGAATTTGCATATTTTAGTATGACATCAGGGCTCATGATGAAAATAACTGGAACACACTAGCTAGCCTAACAAGTGAAAACATGAAGACTGGTAATCATTTTGAGCCCTGGACATGACAGGTTACAAAGAATTTAGCTTTCTGGATGGCTAATAAAATCTTAACTTTGAACTTCAGAGTTCTAAGAAATGAAAACTTAACGGATTGTGAATATCAAGTGAGAGTAAATGTTAATTTGGACTTTGAGGTTGCTATTCACTAGGTTAGTTACATCTCACGCAAGTAAAATAATTATTGTGATAGCATTCTTTATGAGCAGGCAACATCACAAAGTATGCCTATATTACATCAGGGCCCAGTTGTTTGAAGGCTGACTAGGGCTAACTCCGAGTTACATTTTAATCTGGATTTCTTTTTCTATTGTTCAAACGCATTATCTCGGATAATGTTTTCTTCTATTTTTAGAGCAACCAATCATCAAGTTGAACACACCAGGAACTACGCTGAGTTTGCTTTTTAAGCTAAGTATCATGTCTGAATTCAAATTTCACACTAACACTGGGTTATCTTAACCCAACCTTGAACAACCTGGCCCAGAGAACTAAACTGAGTATTACGTAAGTATTATTTACAAATGTAAAGTGAAAAAATGAGGAGAATGATGAGGAATGATTTCAATAGAAAAATAACCACCCACAAATTTTCAGCGATTAATCAGTGCCCTTCTTGTTGTAAAAATAGCCTGCTTGTGAATTGTTATCTAAAAAAAATTAATGTATTGGAATACCTCAGTAATTTTTGTGACCAAACACCATGTCTTGCTGAAATATATACTCAATTATTTTGCAATATTCCACTCAATTGTAAATGTCGGTGCACTTAAATAATTTAATATAAAGCTATACAGTGACACAAAATTGTAACTAAAACATTTTCTTGGCACCACCCAAGAGACAAATAACTTAAAATATTATCGAATAATTCCACCCAAATTGTTACAAAGTAACATTGCCCTATAGAAAAACACTTCATTAGAAAAGCCACCTCAGAGAAATATGTGGGTATAAATGTACATACTACAGCACCGCTACAAAGGTCACATTTCCTCTTGAAAGAATAAATCAAGGCACAACTTTTGTAATAATATAAGGTACTTTTGGAAAGCTAAGTGTGCTTGCAGGAAATATTCATACCTGAATGGGCATGAGGAAATTAACCAAAACAAACCCTTGAAGGATATATGACAGATATTTTCTTGTACCAAAATTTTCAATACAAAATCCAAGTAGGACAAAGGAGGCATTAATAAGTTAGTTTTCTCCATAAAGGTTAACTTGGGCCTCTATTAAGTTGCTGCATTTGGTTTAATTGCACGTGATGCTGGAAAAATGGCTTTAAGGAATACTGCTAACTGACGCCTTACTAATACTTAGGTAGTACTTGCCATTCCAAAATGGCCTAATGAAGAATTTCTGGAACCAATGCATAAAACATGTACGTATGCATTAAGTGTAAAACGAACGGAAAACATATCTAAAATATCACAATAAATAATTTAAAATTGCAGCAAAACAGCGAAAGCACTAACTATACAGGCAAATTTTATGTGACAATTTCTTCCACACCACTGTTAAGAGTACTGAATTTTTTAAATGACTGCATAGAAACATTAGTTCGCCACATAGAAGTTGCTTCCGTAGTGATGTACGTATATACAAAAGCGGTGAAACTTGTCACAAAAACTTTCCTGTCTAGATGGGACTAACAGTATCGTCATCACTGATCTTGCCTTTTTCATTCAGGAAGAACATTAATGTGATGTACTATAAACGCTGGTCAGTGACACCAGTTTAAAGCTAGAAGAAGTTGTTTGCTGTTGGATGAAGTCCAGTTTGCTGGGTGCTCTCTGATGCTACATCATAAGCATCTATATCCCCATCTCTTGTACTCTTGTGCACAAGTTTCTCCATAAGAAATCTCTTATCCCTACCCTCCTGAAATATCAAATACAGTTTATTTATAATTGTGGGTGACTAGAAGACCCTGCAATCCTAATCTCCAGGCTGCTTAAATAGCACATGCGCAGCACATAATTATGTAGAGCTCTAGCATTCATTTGGACTTCCACTAAGAATAAATGGAATGCACAGAATGCAATCTTATAAATCTGGTTTGGACTTTCTATCACTCATTATCTGGCCCCAGTTGTTTAAAAGGTGGATAATGCTATCCACTGGATAAAATAATCTATATGTATCCACTGAATAGTGCAATTGGTTTCCCTAATACTATCTGCTGAAAAGTAATTTATATGGTGGACAGCACTATCCAATCTTTGAACAACCCAGGCCAGACTGCTATTTTGACCTTCTATCAATGAAATGATGAACTCTTCTTATTACTTTATCAATATACAATTCATAAAATACATTTCAGCTTGTTTTGATGTTATCAAAGTAACAGAATTGCCCTGTGTTGTAATTTTGATTCCTAAATATAGCTTTTGCAATACTGTATGTGCTTACAAGTATGGTCACACAAATAAAGCTCGTTGTTGTTGTATCAAAAATAGCTAAAGGAGCAAAAACCTTAAAATTCTGTAAAAACTATATAATATTTCTATGAGATTACTACCTAAACTACTGAATAGAGAATCTGCACTTTAATAAATAGTTTAAATGCTTTCTTTGTTCTGAAGGTTTAATTCATTTTGGAGACTTTTGCAAGTTTTTTGGTTTCAGAAGGTCTTTATAAAGGTCTTGTCAATGAGGGTGAACTTAACACACTGTCAAAAAAGGAACTAAACATGCCTTTTTTAGATGAGAAAGTCATGAATGAGGCACTGCTTTACAAAAAAATGGTAAATCGAGAGTGAATAATTTATTCTTAACATACCAACACAAGCTGATCTTTTAGCATTTCTATCATGTGTAAATGAGACTTAGTCATGGATCTGAAGTAATACAGCATCAAACTGTGAAATGTAAAACAATAATACGTGTTAGAGGATCAAAATTATATTGGTAATTTAGCAGTCAGTGCTTTGAGAGGAAGAAACTATCAAAATAATAATATTAAGCAAAACAACATTGCAAAAAATAACATTGCTGCTGCAACAAAGCAGAAAATATATAATATTTACTGTAAAACCACGTTATGAATTTTCAAAATAAATTAATGTATAATTTGTCACTCTTAAAAATTTCAAAAGCCCCAAAAATGATTCAGATCATAACTGTAAGTACTCATAAATGAGTTCCAATCTCCAAACAATGTTCTCCCCTTGGAATGAACACCCAGCTAAATATAAAAAATAAATGGACCCTATCTAATAAATGCCCCAATCCCCCCTGCAAGGGGAAAAAAGGAATTGTGGTGCTGAGTTTAGTGTATACAGCTTGACATTGAAAGCAAAGCACATACTCATTATTTTATGTTTTCTACAGCATGATACTCTTTTTTTTTGTTGTTGTTTCTTGTTTTTTTAATTAATGTTACAGGCTAAATTCATGTTAAGTAAAAACAATGTCAGCTTGAGACCAATATAAATGAGGAAGTAAAAGGCCCCTCAACTCAGAAATTTAAAATAATTTATTAAGCTTCCAGGGGACTATTCTGGGCATTTGTGGTAACCAAAGATAAAAAAGAAACGTATTGAATCTTGTCAGTTGAAGAAGTGGCATTTCTGTGTAAATTCACATACCCGATCACTAACAACACTGGGAAAATGAAGGCAGCTGTACTTATGTAGTTAATTATTTCTTGAATCCACTGTGGCCACGAATCAATCTCATCACTCAGAACACCAAAGATCCTTTTACTTCCAAGGCAATCCGCATTACTACAACAAAAAGGAACCAAACGTTGTTAACAAGGTACATAAGCTCTTCACACCAATGTTTTTTAAGATTCTAACCATGTACTTGAAGAAAGTGTTATTATTTTCTAGGAGGAACCCATTCAGTATGAAAGCTCCTTAACCCTCTGCAGACAGAAGCGTCATAACAATTTGCTACTTATTTTATCACACTATCACAGTGACCTACAAAATTGCAAGAGCAAGTTTCCCAAATCAAGTGATTATAGTGCAACTAAATTAAATGCATGCAATTCAGTCTGACAAAATGAGAACTTCTTCAATTACTTGTTCATTTGAGATGAAAATTTATAAATTCACCTGTCCTTCCAGCAAACTGTTATTACTAGCCCAGAGAAGTTGTGCAGGCTTACCAGTCCCCCTTTTTCACAAACATTAATTTTGTACTTTATCTTGGCAATGTTGCCTGCCCGTCAGACGTACAACTCGTTATAAAACCATTACAGCCTGACCGGTTGCTCCACTGGCCCAGGCTATCAGATAGCACTTTTGTCACACTCTGCAGGAATGTGGCACAGTACTGTTATTAACAGTAATTATTCTTAATTTTTTGTTTCAAAAAATGAAATATCTAGTTTTCTACAAGTCATACCTAAATGGTCCCTGACATGATGGCCTCACTCTGATAAAAATGATAATAAAATTAAGGATCACATCAGTATTTAAAAGTGCAAAACAATAGTTTCACATAAACGTAAGTCTGAATTTGGATAAGCACCACTGCATTGGCAGCTTTTATCATTTGTCTGCCCCCTGAGAAATCATGTGACATTGCTTTTTTCCCATCAGTTCTTTTAGCAAGTGCAAAGATGGCGAGTATCGTGATGAATTAGGTCTATTTCTTCTAACAATATCAATACATTATCAAAAGAAAGCGTAAAAATGATCACCTCAGGGAAAATGCTTTGATTTTTGATCTTTTTTTATATTCTCTCAACCAATTCATTTAGAAAATGTATGGAGATCAGTTTGGAGAATTTGCATGTGGATATTGGGGCTTAAAGGGTTGATAGAATCACCTATCAGGGGTAGGTGGGAGGAAGCCTAAGTACATGACCTTTAGTTTTCATTTTGTTTGTACTTATTTTGGCTCTAATTAAACAAAACAATGTTCTTTTTTATCAAGAATATACCGCTTACCTTGTAATGCCCCACCCAACTGCAACAAGACACATAAGGAAGGAGATCAAGAGTAAAACTGTGAAAAGGTAATTAGAACGTGTTCCTTGATAAATCTTCTGTGAAGGCTCATTGTTGTACATCAGAGAGACCTAAAGGGGAAAGGTCAATATTTGTGTCAATGGACTGATGAATAATTATACTACTGACAGTACAAATTCATGTAACTTAGTTTTGATAGGTGAAAATCAATCAGAAATCACACTATCCACTAGGCTATTCAAAGACATTCAAAGCCTCCTCATTGATCTGATAGGCTTTGCAGCTAATTGTTTTTGTTTTGAAAGGCTTCCTTTGTTCAATGTGTAATCTGATTGAACAGGTCTCTGAAGTGGTAGTGATTGTTCACTTTTTGATAACTTACACTCTGGCTTCTTACAACTACTCAAGACCAACATTTTTAATGATAGAAGTTAATTATGAACTGGTCAACATACCTTTTCAACATAAAACACAAGGAAGAGCTTAATGACACCCATTGCTGGCATAATAGGACTAAAGAAGGTTCCAATCCTAAATATAACAGTTACAATCATGAGTGAACTTATTTAATTGTGAAGCATGGCTCATCAATAAAAAGTCAGTTAAACAGGTCCACAAAGACTTAATATTTTTTAGCCTACGCAGTTGCAATCTCAAAAAGTAGGTAAACTAAATGTTCACTGTCTTTGGAAAAAGATCTTGACTAATGCACAATCAAAACAGCCTTAAAATTATGGTGTATTTATTCTAAAAAAACAACTCGATCATTCATCGCAAGGAACAGAAGTTCAATGATAAAAATTGCCACAGCATAACAAATCTCTTCTTGTTTTCATTAACTCAAGAACACAGCCAAACACTTACCAAATCAAACATTCGCCATAAACAAGTGTCAGAACATGTTTAGGAATGTCAAATTCTGGAAGTCCGAATGGTAATTTCTTGAAACAGGAAGTGTGCTTGTATAAGAGTCTGTAACCAAAACAAATTAGGTGCAAATTATTTGCTGGAGCTACTGCCAAACATCTATGATGGTACTCTCATCCTTGCCTAGTCCCTAGGCCTCATTATTATGCACGGTCAATGCATTTCGGGTCATGTGGTCCGCAAAAGTTTTTGAGGCCTAGACAAACTCAGAGAAGTGAGACATTTTGTCTCACTTGGGGCGGAGCTTTTGGAAGCGGGCGAGCTGTAAATAACTTTTCCGCATTGATGAAAGGTGTGCAGCAGCCATGGAGAGTATAGGGGATAAAGAGTTAAACCGAGCATTTTTCTTCTATGAACGTTTTCATTGTTGAAATTCCTTTGGCCTTTCTTTTTCATTTATGTCATTAAACTAATTTGAACTTTATTTCATCTCAAAAACTATTTGTAGGCTAAGCAAAACAGCATCGCAAAAAAATTATTTGATCAAGAATCGGAAGGTTAGCTAAAGAAATAAGTTTATATTTATTCTTGGATATGAAAAGCTATCTTTCGTTTCTCTATTTTCGCTTGCTCCTATAAATTTCTTGTTATCATTTCACTTCAAAATATTTCATGTAATTTGAGTTTTGGATTTGGAAGCTTATCAAACTAATCGGACAGGCTCTTGAATTTGGTCTCTAAATTTGGTAGAATGTCAACAACTACTGTTTCAAATCTTTTTATCAATAAAGAAATATATTTTAATGGTTCATTTGAAAATGAACTAAAAGAGAAATTACTTGCACGTTATACAGTAGTATTCTTTCCGATTCAAAGTAACATTTTTGTTCTTTGATTACAGAAAGCAGGTTAGTTATTTTTGTCTCGATCTTTAAGCGAAGGATATTCACGCGCAAAGTTATTTATAGATTATTTCAGTTGAACGTGGGAACTTTTCAAAAATACAAAAATGCTCACGCATGCGCACTCCGAGATTGTCTAGGCATCTCCCGGCCGTTCGTCTTGGATACATCACCAAAATGCATTGACCAAGAGGGCTTGGAAAGACACCGTACAGGGACTAGGCAACTCTCATCCCATGACGACTGTTCTACAGACATGTGATTACTATACAACCGTGTATAATCGAGCAGAAGATGAAGCCTGTTACTTAGTTAGTCAGTCAAAAATGTTTTAGTTTAAATTATTCATTTAATCCATTTAATTCTACTCAAATCCATTTAAACTAATATAAATTTTGCACAGTTGCATTTCGTAAATACATTTCAAGTGCCTGTACATTAGAGACCTTAAGATTGAGGTTTTTCAGCATTTCCCGCGAACATCAAGAATTCACGTGACCAGGGCCTTGCCGTCAGGTTTGCTGTTTGAGGTTCACGTTTGTACAGCTAGACCACACTCCAGAGGCAAGTGATATACTGCAAGGTTTTTTGAACCCTAAAACATCACAATCCCACGTTTGAGACTATAGAATTCTTTTGCTTATTGATTATCGAATTCTATTTCAAAAAAACTTTAAAATTTTTTCAGACAACTTCTCTGCTAAAATAGAAGTGGATGAATGAAAACAAACATGACTGCCACAAGCTACCACCTGCAAATCTTAAGTTCCAAATATGGACAGACGGGTAACATGAAACCGTTAACCGCACACCGCAGTTTGGCATTTGAAGTAAAATGACCAAACCATGATCTCAAGGTCTCTATTGTCTAATAACAATTACAAGTAACTTTTGAAAGCAAAAGACAATGATTGTACAGTCATGTAATCAACATGGCAATCACTCTTGTATGTGGGAGTTTACTGTATTACAGATCATCAAAAATTAATACTCACTTCCATATTGTCATTACTATAAGTGCTGTGACAACTTGGAGGAAAAAGTCTATCCAAATTAACATGTACATCTGAGATGCAATCTGGTTTTCCCAGTTCTGAAAAAATGAATCAAGATTCAAGAAAAATTCCTACAGGGCCAAACATTTGAGTTTTTGCCAAAACAATAAATTAACAAATCATACCACTCATGTAACTTACATGTAAATCAATTCTGCACTTAGCCTCAATGGAAGTCACCATAACATTCCTGGGAGTATGTTATGTTACAGGTCAAAATTACATTCAGGGTAAATTTTTTTACCCTGCAGGTTGATTCTCAATAATTAACTTTTTCTCCTAGCTGTACCCTAATTATTCATGAACTAGGGCTAGGAGAAGGAAAATTGAGAATCAACCTGTAGGTTAAAAAATTTCAACCTGAATATAATTTTGACCTGTAACATATACAAAGGTTTGCTTGGAAGCTCTCTCTCTCTCTCTCTCTCAGTTGGTAACCAGTATATTTAACTACATTATACAATGTAAATTCAATCAAGAAATTAATCAGCCTAGTCATCTCACACTGAACAAAGTGACGCTAACCAGTGGAGTCCCTCATTCTGTCTACTGAAGATTATGTTAACTTGATATACCTCCAAGAATTTTTTGTTAGCAGCATGTGTCAATGACATCATTTTAACAATGTATAACAAAGATTCAATACCTGTTGGCAGCATGTCTCTGGACTCTCACTGCATCTCTTTCCCACCTCTACATAGAGTGTAATCATCAGTACAGCTATGGAAGCCAGCTTTAACAAGACAGTCCTGGAAGATAATTGCAATCTGACATTAATTTATCATTATAACAATCTTGCATGCATGATGGCAGAACGTTTCAATAATACACACAGTTCAAGCTACAGTAGGTATTTATATTGAAGGTAACATCCATACTCAGGATAAACTATCACATTTTGATTATGGAGACATCATCTGGGGCAACCAAGGAAACTCTATCCACTCATGGATGACTTGCAAGTGCTTCAGAATAAAGCTGCCCATATAATTAGATCTGCCGCCATGCACATCTTCTTGCGACACCCAAGCGAAATTACATTGGAAACCACTACAATGTATTGCACAGAAGAGCTGAGCACAGTGCCAATTTTGTTTATAAATCAATTAATAACCTTTTTTCTTGTGCCTCTCAATTTTGTTTTAATTGTGATTTTCATGCATGATTATAATACCCAATTTAGGACCAATCTTAGGAAAACCACAGCCAAAAGTAGGTGGGGCCATTGGACCAGTATCAACTTTGCTGCAAATGAGTGGAATTCCCTTGATCTATCACTTAGGGAAGCCACTTCTTTATCCAGTTTTAAACAAAAACCTCTCCAAAGTGACTTTTAAAGTACCTGTTAATAAGTAAATACTATTACCTACTTGCATGTTATTAAATGTATGTTTTAGAATCTTTACTAGTTTTAATTTAGTGATGTACATCTCACTTTTTGACCCTCCTGTAAATTACTACATACATACATACATACAACCTTTATTTATACACAAAATTAATTCAAAGCTACAGGCTTGTGGGGTAGTGTTGAAGCTGGCATCCTGAAATAAAGATAACTATCATTCATTCAAACTAGAGTTTTCCTTTGTTTACCATAACTAACTGATTCTGAATCTAGGAATTATGAATCAAGCCATTAAGTTGAATACTGTTTTAACCAGAGAATGGGTTTCATCAGGTAGAATGGTCTACCATTTTGGTCTAACAACATGTGAGAAGGTTTGCCTTATGAAATTAAAATAATGCTTTATGACTAAGTTACCATGACATCCCAAGAGACTCAGAAAGACCGGAAAACACTGAGTAATAAATAATAGTGTGCACCAGAATGTCAGGCAAACTAAACACTTTAAGTACCAAACCTACTTCAATCTATTTTCCTTCTATGCAGTACCAGCTCTAACATTAAATCTGCAACTTACCGAAACAAGTTAATGGAAACTTCAAAACTTGGACTCCAGTCTTCAAAATTAGAAAGAGAGGTAAACAGCACAGGTAAAACCAAGTTCAAAACAGTGATAGTCAGTGAAGGTGCAAAACTCAACAGGGTCTGTGCAAAGTTGCCCATTTCTGCTGCTTTCTGCTGGTTACTCTAAAAAGACACATTAATACACAAAATACACAATTATTAATAGTACAATTAGGAACCTAATTTTCAGTTACATGTAATTTCAAGTAAGAAGCAAACAAAAGAGCAAGATGGATTTGAGTTTGTTGACCTGTTTTATACTAAATATAAAATGATTTTTTATGCAAGCATTTTTATCCAAACACACCAAAAATATATCTGTGACTTCAATGAAATTCCCTACTTTCCTTTTCTCAGATGAGCCCAATTTTCTTTTTGCTAGACAAAATTCAATCAAATACAAAATTAGGAGGTACTAGCAAGCATGTATCAAAATATCTCTGAGGAATGAAGTTTGTGCACTGCCCTTTTGTGTCATTTTGAATCTTGACTTCTCTGGTCTGTGTTTCTGCTTGTGGTAGACATTCTTCATTTATGTAGTACAAAGTGACTTCACATTTCCACACATGACTCCGCTAGTTAACATATTGTGAAGGAATCGAACTTACTTCAAAGGCTAAAGGAAATTTGGATTTTTTTCCCTACACAAGAACACACAGTTTTGCTAACCTGTTTGTCAGAAGGACCAAGACTTAAGTGTATGGCCAGTCCAAGTATAGTTTTTTTTAAAGCAGCACAATTTACCACGTGTGCAAAATGAAAACAAGTAAAGAAAGAGGGTACTTACAGTGTTTGTAGAAGCTTCCACAGCAAAAATAATTGCATAAACAGCACCTCCTAGCAGGATTGTCACAAACAAAGAGATGATGGCTCTTAAGGAGTAAAGCCGGCATTTCTTGCCTGTTGTTCGATTTTGAACTCTGAGAAGACGCTCCTCTTCAGCTAATTCTGCCTAAACAAAGATAAGATACTACCAGTATGACACCTTTTGTTGGTCACTACCTCAAAAGATATATTATTATACTTTCAATAATGCAGCTATCAGTTTTAACACAGTGAAAACATTAAATATCAATACATTTGTCAATATGATTCAAATGAATTTTATTTTAAGGTAATGCAGAGTTGTGCTCTAGCAGCAGGACCAATGGTCCCTGCTGGAACATTACTTTTCTCATAAAAATCCTATGCTTGACACCCTGGATTTCACAGGTTCAGAGCACTGGGCTGCCTTCAATTTGTCTTAGAGCAGAGTCTTGTGTCTCCAGTAAGATATTGTGTAGCATAGCACAAAGTCAAAGAAAATTTATCAGCACACAAGACATAACTGTTCTACGAAAAAATGTCAGCAGTCAAGAATGTTGTCTGGAAATTGAAGTAGCGGAGAGAAATGAAGCAATTTTAAGACCTGTGTCACTGCATGTTAGCCACAGTCATGGCCAGATAATATTTTTGGCTTAAAGGTTTCCGTTCATGTGGAAGAAACACAAATTGTTTTGTTATGCAAGACATGAGGTGTCACACCAAAAAAATGCCAGGAAAGTAGACATTTTCTTTTTCAGTAACTTCTACCAAAGAAAGTGGAAATCATTAACAAAAATAGTGTTGACAGTAAAATGTACGTTACTTTACAAAAAAAAGTGTCAACTAAAAATTGCTAAATTTTGCATGCATTCGAAATCTGCGAAATGTCAAAGAACGTTTTTGCTAAAGCCCTTGAGATGCAAAGGACACGCGATTTAATTGGTAAATGCATTACAAGCGCTTAAAAAAAAATTTCTGTTACACTCTCTCACTCCTAGAGTGATACAGCACAAAAAGTAACTAACACCTGACCCCTTCATTCATATTAATTTTACAAACACTTACCCTAACAGTTTGGACAATGTTCTGACTTTTAACCTTTGCAGTATTTTCATCACTAATGCAGTAGTCCCAGGAGGCAAAGACTTTGTTGCAAAATGATGATGAAGTCCCACCACTTTCAATGTAGCTTTCTTCAAAATTCTTTGCCAAGCTGAACAAAATAACAAAAAACCAAAATTTATTATTTCAAGAGTAGTACATTGTAAAATCATCAAATCTGTCATGTGGAGAAAAAGCCTGGCACTACATGTACTATAAGAATGAAGAAGTCGCACAAATCCATCTCATCTGTCAATGATACACTAAAATAAAATAATTTTAGTGGTCCTATAATTCATCCAACTGATATGACCATTGTGCCAAATGTGACCCTATAGGTCCAAAAAAAACTCTGTTGTTCAAAACTGGGAAACTTCACAACAACGTTTTTGCTTAACACGAGTATAAAAACATGTGAATGAAGTTTCCTTATTATGTAACTGTATGACTTTCCACTTACTTGCGAACCATAAGAATTAGACTGAGAAAGAAGTAGCTTCCCCCAACCAACAGGTATGCTAAAGGAAGGTTGTACTCTACATCTTGTTCCGATCTTAGCTCAGTGTCTGGGTAACCAGCATAGAACATAAGTGTAGTGTTAATCCATCCCTGAAATACATGCAAGTAAGCAAAGACATAAATAAAACATTATAAATATTCAGCAAACAAGTGGCTGTATCTTTTAAGTACTGCATGACAACAAGTTATGCATTATCTCACAGCTGCTTATCAGACTATAACGTTTTAGCTTGTATTTATTACAAATTAAACAAAAATAATTGCAGTGCAAAAAAGTAGAACATTATTATTTCATGTTCACTTAAGGCCAAGGCCATAGTTTTAGGGAAAAGGAAAAACTTAGCTGACTTTTTAAAAATAAAATACTATTCATTTACAGTGTAGCAGCAATGCCTTGTTTTCCTATCAGAGGAGCCAAGACCAATTACTATTGTAGTTACTGTACTGCATCCTACCCACTTCATTCAAAAATCTTAATCATCATCATCTCTGGTGCTATCAATCACTACAACCAATAATGCAGAGCTACACAGACCATCATCATCTGCATCTGACAGTTAGTAAGAGGCTAACAGTATTCATCAATTCTTATTGGAAGGTATTGACACAAAGAACTAACCATTACTCTGATTTCATAAAAGGTTAAGCAGTTCGCCCCTGAGCCACCCGTAACCGCCCATGCCGGTCCACATGCTTTCTAACGTTTGTCACAACATCAGTTTTAATGGTCAAGGACAACTTTGCCCGCTTACTTGTGCAGAGTGAAGAGATCTTTCAAATCATACAAGAATGAGCACAATTCAGTCAAGCAAACAGGATAAAAAAGCCAGGCAAAAAACCATGTAACATTGACCTGAAAATTTCCATGAAAATATTGTTCCACTACCCACCTACATTGTACCTTTCCTTTCACCTAATCCTAAAATCCTAAAAGCCTTTCCCACTAAAATGAAGCCTTCTAAATGCCCAGCAAGAGAAAAAAAAATGAGGCAAGAAAAGTGAAAAAAGAGGGAATGGAGGGAAAGAGAAAAGTAAAAGTCAAGACTGCTGTGTCACTTTTAAACCCAAAACTATCTCGAGATTTTGCTTTCCGTGCATGCCCAAACTTCGCACGCTGATATTTTGCATCTGGATCAGAAGGCCCCAAAGTGTAAGATGTGTAACCGGCTCTTTGGTAAGTCTTAGCTCTTAATAGCACCACAGTGACCAGAAAACTGATCGACTAGCTGTAAAATGCATTTTTTAGCCAAATCTCCACGGGCGAATGGGTTAATGAACTTAGTTACAATCCAACCATAACACTATTACATAATTATTAAAGTGTAGTGTTCTTTTAATCACTCTTTCAATCATTATCCCCTAATGTTTAATAACACATTGCTTGCTAACACTAGGAATAAAAGTTTGAGCAAATGGCTCCAGAGAGAATGGTTTAATACCACAGCTATCAGTGTGTTGTGGGTTCTTGATGCTACAACATCTTAATATGTCTGGTTCTAGGTTCAGCCCAGTCAAAATTAGCCAGCAGCTGGCAGATTGTCGCGTCCAAAGAAAGGTTAGGATTTTTCTGCCTCCTACTCTGGTTGTTCTGCCTACTACTGCAAAACATCTTGACTGTGCTGTTGGCTACATTGTACATTATAACCTCACCTGCCCAGTTATAAAGTTTATAACTTGGTCTGCTACAGATCTAGAGCTTTCACTGAATGACAACAGCTGGTCAAAGTTGCATGAATTTGAGTTAGCTGGGGTGGTGATGTTGCCAATAATTACAGCAGGCAATGAAACTAAACCAAACTCCAAGAAAAAGATCACCAAATTCAGGAACATCAACCACTTGAGGAAAACAAAAAATGATAGCACACCATTTCCAAAACGACCTGCAAAAAACATCAAAACAACATGTTTTTGTTATCAAAATGTGACCAGTCAAGGTTTATTTCAAATCCAATGACCCTGGCATTTATTCAAAAGTTAGCATCTAATTTACTACATTAATAGAGCAACTGAGGGGCTTCAGTGGCGATTTTGCTGCAAACAAAGTTCCTCAAAAAATTACAGAATTTTCATATGCAGGTTCTTTTTGTAACGACAATATGAGGTAATAAAGTGCAAATATCATTTTTTGTGAGAGAAACTTTGCAAACTTTGCAGTGAGTGTCGGATGCACTGAAAAAGCCAGGGAAACAATGTGTTTGTTTCATAAAATATAACAGAGTTGGAAAAATGGACAACAAGCCATATTTTCCCTGCACAAGATGCTACGTAGTATGAGTAGTTTTGTGAGCAAATAATTTATGCTCCCTCTCATATTCAGATCAGTATTAACTTAATGGATAATTATCACTTAACTTTACACAAAGATTAACTCTTAAAACAAAACTTTCAGTGCACATGTATAATACACTAATTCCAATATTTAATATGTGTTCTAGACAGACTTGACATAACATAATATGAAACATGAAATGACAATTAACCTTCCACTTCTTTGAAATGTCCTTTCCACAGTTCAAGGTCACGACTCCATTCAGATATCGAAGATGTAGTCATTGTCCAGTACTTCAGAGCAAACAAAAAGAAGTGATTAACAAAACAGTCTCCATTATTTTATAATATTATAATGATACAAACAGCAGCAACCAGAAAAAAATTAAAGACCCTGCAGGAGTAATCAGAGATTATGAAATGCACTCAAATGTTGTGGTGGGCTAAAAGTCGGTAGTTATCATTAATGTCTGATATTCATGATTAGTATTATTTAGCATGAACCCCAGCATGCAAAGAAAGTAGTGTCTGTTAGCCTGGGGCTAGTGGATTTTGCTATCGGGCTAGTGAATTCCGTTCTTAACTTGCCCAATGGGCAACTGAAGTATTTTGAGAAATTCACCTTACAGAAGAACTGTGAAATCAATTATTCTGGTCATCAAAAAATTTTGGGGACTAGTTGAAATGAGGTTTGGGCTAGTAATTGCTAGCTTCTGCTTGCCTGAATGGCAAGCTGTAAAAATGACTTTATTTGCACCCCTGTCAACCCCTTGGAATCTTTCTCAACAAAATTGGTAGCAAGAAAAAGAAAGTAAAAGATACTACAGCACTACAGTAATGCTGATAAAGACACATAATTTTTATACTTCCGCAAAGGATCAGCAACTTTAGGAGCTTAACAACTTACACATGTACTCTGTGTACAATGTAGATCCATGCTAAGACAATAATTAACATTTTCCCCTATGTTACTTTATAAATCCTGGTATCCTCATCCAACCAAGTAGTCTTTTAGGTTAAGTGCTATTAATTGATTGGGATTTCAGTGGGCCTCACTAAAGAATAAGATTGTTTAGTTACTAACCATGGCCACTCGTAATTTAAATGCCTTCCATCTGGATATATGTTTTTGCCGCTGAAAATTCTTTACTGATTTCCTACAAATATATATTCCATATTAATACCAATACTATTTAAAACAAGTAAAGATTTAACTTATGACAGTCTACCACAGATATTTGAAGTGTGAAAACTGACAGGAAGGTAAAATGAAACAATAATTCATAATGTCCAGTCTAACCCTGCCCAGTGTAAATGGATTTATCTCCAAATCAGAATAAGAATAAGGAATGAACATAAAGTCTTCCTATCATCTAGACACCCAAAGTAAATTTACATGTGTTTTTGCTATTCTCCAGCTGCCATAATGATAATAACTACAATAATTTTAATAATGAGTTATTATATGATTTTCACATGTTTGAATGGCAGGATAAAGAATACCATAAATGATCGATTAAGTGCCCCTACTCAATTACGCACCACTCTCGAATAAATACTGTGGTGCTTATTTGGTTATTTACAAATTAACACCCAACCTTTGCTAAGGCATGCATGATATCACTTGAGAAATTAAAGACCTCGACCAACTCGCGAGATCTAATTTTTGATGTAGGGAAACTCTTGAAACCAGGTTCATATTTAACAGTTCGAGGTGTACAATATACTTATACTCTCGTATAAGCACCGCACCTATAACAGGGAAAATGAAATAAGCGCAGCACTTAATCGATCATTTAAAGTAAATGTGATGAAGATCATCGCAGTTGAAGACCCAACTTAATGCAACTGTTGCCTTTTGTGACTACCACAATTTACATTTCATTGGCAATGTTATTTAACGTCCTTGAATAAAAAGTAACGTTAGTCATCTGCCAAATGAGATTAGCTGCTTAAACAAGATTTTTTAATTTCAAGAGGTGCTAAGGAGGTTTGGAAATTCCAGTGGAGGCGACAGTAAAAATGGAAGCATCTTCAAAAAACATGGAAGCCAGTCAGGGAGCAAGTTAATGGAAGACTGAAGACGTATGAAGACTGTACAAAAGAAGTACTGCCTGGAGAGGAGATAAAGCAGTAGCGATGAGGATGACCAAGACATTGCCTCAGAACAGTAAAAAAAAGGGATTTTGTACACGTTTTGGTGGTAATAAACTCGTTCTTTCTTGATTATTGACATAATGTGAGTCACTTAATTTTCGAATCATGTTATGTGTGCAACACTTATTGTTCGCATCACTTTAATTTTTCAATTTTTTTGTATCGCAAAATTCCCGAAATGTCACAAAAATTTCATGTAATAAGGTATATCCTTGTACCATTATCTCTCAATAAACCTGGTGCCAGGACAGGAGTACTGTTGAATTCTACTCTACAGACACCTGCTTAGTATGGACACCCACATACTACAATGGGCCATCTTTCCAGGTGAAAAGGTAGTCACATATATTCTTTAAAAACAACTTGCTTCATAAAACACTAATATGGACGACAGACTCTTTCTGTGTCACGAGTCACAAACTCTCATGTATTGACAACCCTATGTTTTACTGACACTGGTCAGTTATTTGGCACTGACTAAGACTGAATGTAGTTCTTGCTACTGAGGACCATGTTATTTGGCAAGACTACAAACAAATTTATCACTTATCGGAAATATAACGTAATTTCAATACTACATCCTTCCGTCAGTTCATTTGTTTAACCAAAGTGAAGATTAAATAAAATAGTTACCAACGTTGAGCAATGTCTGGCAACGGCTAAATTTAAACCCAGCTGTGAGGGTAGCCAAAACAAGACATTTCCCACTGCCGGAGAGTATGGATGAATGAAAGATAACTCCTTAGATTAAACCAACTCTGTCAAAAGAACAACTCACAGGAACTTTAATGCTAAAATGCCGCTTCCAACACATTACTCGTTCGTTTCCAAACCGTTACTATTAAGGCTTAATTTGATGAAGAGAGATCTTTTGTGTATTTCTTTCAGGAGCTGTTGTGAGATTAGAAGTTTTGCTTTTGAACTGTTTTTGCGGAACATAAACTGAAATACATATTTGCTCGATCCTTATATTACACAGTTGTATTAATTCCTTTGCTACATTGAGAAGAAATATCCCCCGGCAAATAAATGGATCAGCGCCCGATGCGTCATAACGGGTCAGTACTAATCTCATTGCATTTCAGTGACAACTTGAGCTTAAAATATATTCACGCAAACTGAAGAACGAGATTCGGCACAGCCGGTAGTATTTTTAACTGATCTTTGATTTGATGACCATAACACTGCTAGCTCTACCAAATTTCTACATTTATATCAACACAGAACAGAAGAAGTGAATGAAATATCTTTGCGTGAAAACCAGATGCCACCGTGCGCCGCGAGCACAAAAAACAGAATGACAAAAGTTCAGCGTGAGTTCTCCGTAAAAACAAAAACATTAAGCTTAAACCCAACCAAAAGCTAATGGCATGTTCAAGCGCAACGCAAGTAGAAAAATAAGCTGAAAATGCTGTTCATTGAATACAAAGCTTACTTGTATCGTCGTTTTGCCGACATCGGTTGGTTTATTTCTTTCGGATCGACCATTTCGTCCTCCCCCATTTCGTCAGCGTAATCCTCAATGTTTATAACCTCTACGTCTTTTGCTGCTCTCACAGAACCTCGTCTCACTGAACTAGAACGTCTTCTTCTCGTACTCGTGTTATGAAGTGATCTGTGAGCACTGCGGCTTGGAAGCTGGCGTAATCCTCGGTTGATGTCCCTCGCATCATCCGATCCATCGTACTCTTGATCTGGGAAAAAATCAACTTCTCTTTACAAATAGAATTATGATTGGCTTCATAAAGTAACAGAGAGAGAAACATGCTCTTCTCTTAAACTAGTGTGAGCTACTACTGTCCCAAAGAGGAAGAAATCACTGACGAAACAAAGTAAACATTGCCTACCCGGAGAGTGCATGTTGTGCATTTCCAGGGACTTAGACATGTCGACTAATGGTGTTACTCGACCGTTCATAGCCAAACAGCAAAAAACGTTAAGATTTTTCTATGAGTTTAACCATTTTGTCATCTTTAACCATCTTCCACAACCACAACATATCATCAGTGAATGTCGTGAATTACTTTAAAAAAAAAAACTCTCACACAAACGTCTTGCTGCAAACTTCCTTGAGAGTGATCAAACTTGCAAGGTTAGCCTTGGCCTAAAAAATAATATAACGCAACATCTGATTGGTCGACCTTATGTTTTAAAGAGGACGTTTCATTGGCTATTTCAGTTGCCAGGGTGTCCAAAGCGGCTTTACGAAGACAGAAGACAGTCCTTTACGAAGTCTTTCCTAAAAGCCATGCAAGAGAAAAATCTCTGCTCGCAGGGTATTCAAAAAGGCAACCAAATATTATGTATTCGGCTTTTCGGTCTACACAGCTCAGTGCATCCGCATGACACAGCGCTATAAATGAAATTGTGGCATAATTTAACACAACTAGCGTAGCGTAGCGTTTTGGTCACGTAATCAATCTGTAATAAAACTCAAGTGGGCGGCTTTCGTAATACTTGAGATTTACAAGATCAATGCGGAACCGAGAGACATCTATAATTGCAATTTTCGGCGATTACAAAACATCCTGTAATCACGGTGCAGAACACGGAATGACTCTGAATTTAGTGATTAGGGTTAGGAAACTCATAGCCTCCAAGAGAGCTAGCCCCTTTTTCCTCCGCGGCTTGTAGCTTCTGAACGGGCTCTCTGTTTGGGGAAGGGGTGAAAAAGTCGTAGCCTGCGTAGCAGTCGTCGAAAAGGGTAGGGGATAGGGAGGAGGGGAAAAAGGGAGGAGGGGGTGGTTCTTTCGCGCTTTTCTCCTTCCCACTCCCCTTTTTACGCCTGCCACGCAGGCTAAAAAATCGCAACTGCAGGGAAGACTAAGGTTGAGAGCCTGTAGACAAACATTTGAGTCCGCTATTATACTCCGCCTTCTTATCCTGTAATTGCCTATCATCTGTCAGACAGATCCTTATCAGTCACTTGGATACATTGAAATCAGTGAAGTTTCCTTTCCTGTTCCTTGCGATTTTTTCACTCTTGCCCCAGACACGCCAGACAGAGAGCCTGTTCACAGGCTAGGAAACTGATCAGGTTCCATTTAGGGTAATTAAAATGTAATTAATCTGGGAAAACAGACCTGAAACTTAATTCACTCAGTTTCCTAACATTCGTGTCGTAACGGTAATCACTAAACTTCCGAGTCATTCGGTGCCCTGAACGCCAAATGCAGAACGCCGAATGCTATATGACTCAGTGAAGTTTAGTGATTAGGGTCAGTTAACTGAGGAATCAAGTGCCATTTGGCTGATTCAGGATCAATGGGAAAACTGACCTGAAACTTGATTCACTGCCGTTTCCTGGCCTATCACCGAACTTCAGGAAACCTCACTCGAATAGCTTCAGGAAACTTCACTCGAAAAGCTTGTAAATTACTCGCCTTCGGCAATCCGGGATGAACTTTTGCGTTTCGTGAAGCGTAAAGGGTCCCAAATTTTTGGCGCGATGCCTGATCGGGACCAAATTTGCCGCGTGAGGCGTGATTGGGCTTAGCAGCAAGAGCCATAATGGTTAATGATTTTCATAATGATCTCCGTTATCGGTGAATATCATTTGAAACGGTGAGAAACACAGAAATTAAAACTAGATAAATCATGACGTCATTTCCAGGTCCTTTTTCCCGTTCCTCAAGCTCGTCTTATCTCAGGTCAAAATCGTACTATGACCTGTATTTGCTGTATTCGATGTATTCTAGCATGTTCCATGCCTTCAGATAGCAAAAGACAGGCGAAAAATCGACGAGTGAGATATTGCCAGGTTAACTTATTAGTGCAATCGCGCGCACCTCAGTTACGTGATGGCCTAAAAAAGGTCAGCGTGATGCGTGATAGGTTCCCTTCCTCCCGCCCCCCCTGGCCGGGTCTTGGCCACCCTGTTTAGGGAAAAATAAAACGACAACTACCAAAGTCGATTCTTTCCTTCGACTAAATCTAAATGCGGTCTACAGTGACCTGGATAAGCAGAGAAGGAACTAGTGCGAGAGATAAAAGACAAAGGACACCAATTTCGTTCGAAATAAAACATGAAAATTTTATAGCGGCGGTCGGAAAGTGAGAAATGCCTGAAATGCTAGCGCTGCCACCATACGGACACACTTCATTATTACGGACATCGGTTTGCTTTGTCCCTGGGGAAATAAGAAAGCCCTTACATTTTCTCTAAATTCAACCCGTTAATACGGGTACTTTCTGTGGCCCGTTGGTGTCCGTATTAACGGGATTTGACTGTCAGTCGTAATTAAGCGGGTGTCCGTAAAGGGAGGTTTGACTGCAGTTTTTCCTTTGGTTCCAAAGCATCCCTATCAAACTAGAGACCTCGAGAAAGAACCGTTCCTAATGGAAAGAATCGAACAAGAAACAAAGATACTTACCCCCCGAGGCCAAAGTATACATCTCTTGCGACAGTGACAAATCAGGGTTATCCTCAATTGAGTTCTTTGAGGCCATCTTTGCCGGATGATTTTGTTGTTGTTGTTGTTATTGCTCTCACTAAATGATTTTGAAAAACGCCGCAACGGAGTATTCAGCAAAAATGGCTGACGATTCTTGGACAGTCTTCAGAAGAAATTGTGTGTCTGGCTTTTGTTTACAGTGTGAACCGCAGCCGTGAATCGAACCTGTGAAAAGAAGCACAACAATAATTAAATATGACTTGGAGTTGCAAGGGCACAACACCCATGCAGTTAATGTAAATTACGCGTCAATAGTCAGTTATAGCCAGCTATATAGCCCTTAAGTAGAAGTTTCTAAACAATTACGTACGTTTGGCTAAGGTTCTTGCTAAAAAAAACGTGTCAATAAGCTAAGTCTTAAGGAACTTTCTTAACTGTTGTACGATCGAGTATGATAGCATTTCAATATCATGATTACTTGCGGTGTTTCAGATAGTAACGTCAGTTGACGCACTTCACGAGACTCTTGAGTAAATTGAGGTTTTGTCACTTATGAAAGTATCAGCACAATATTTCACTTTGGATGAAAGTAAACATCACAAAGCACAAGCCACGTTCATGACTGCAGTTGGACAGGATTGCAGTCCATAACTCTGATTTATCTGGGATCCCGTGATTTTCTGGCTGTTTATGTTCATTTCGTCCCAGTTTTGCTTCGTTACTATGGAAGACCTACCCTGCCACCACGAGAACGACTTCGTTAACGCTTAAAGCCATGCGAGAAAGAAAGCGCTGTTCGCAGAGTCACGTGAGTGGAAGACTGCGTTGAATATGGAATGCGGAAGTATTGAAATTACGCTTATGAATATCTTCCTCACTTGTGGATTAAAGTGCGCCTATTTCCCTCCTATAACGGCTTGTTTGCGGTCTCTCAGAAGTGTCCCACAAAACTCTTTAGAAACCAACCTTTAATCGTGGTCTAGCCGCTGTCCAGAAATTTTATTTTTCTTTTCGAGGGACTTGGTGAAGCGCGTTTTTTTAATTTATGTATTTAACGCTTTGTTACAGCACGGAAAAGTACACATATTAATGAAAACAAAAACAAAAAGAAAAAAATGCAGATTTATATAAAACATAATTACATATACAACGGATAAAACTGACAGTTACTTAAAATAACTGAGGTTTAATTTAGCCTTGACTTCGCTTAACTTACATAGTTTTGTTTTCTCAATAAAAAAGGAACGGGTGGATGGGGCGAAGCGCGTTTTACGTGTCGTAACCTTCGTGCGCTCGCTGGACGATCTGCAACTGAATGCTAGATGTTACTAGAATGAGGAACAGGATCTGGAAACAAGTACGGGGAACGGAAGAATGGATAACGAAGTTACTGATAGGGAAAAGGTTTGAATCCCGAATCCCGATCAGTGAATCTACCCAGGGTGATCCCGTCTGGCTGATGAGCTATGCAAGGTGATTTTAAAAGCCCAGTCGCTGTATATTAAACAACAATTTGCAAAAGGTGTACAGAGAAACATAACCGACTTTTTTAAGGCTTCAATAACTACAGATAGCATAAAGATCGTTTCTACTACATTTTGTACTCTAGTTACTGCTTACTGCACTTGCAAAATAAACTGCAGAAGAGTCGGTTTTTTTTCTCAAAATCAGTAAAGAAATCGGTAAAGCGTGGCGTAAGAGTCTCTCCCCAGTCTCGCTCTCCGTTTTCAGCCTCGTTCCATACCTTTTGTTTGACTGCTCGCGTGTACTTGAATTCGCAAAAATACGGACTGTTTTTCAGTCTACTTGCAAAATAGCGAAAGAAACTCTCAGAATTGTGCTTTGCGTTACAACTTTTTACTTGCAGCATTGCGCTGTAGCTTGTTTCGTTTTAAAAAGGTGATTTGTCTACGACTGTACTAACTTTGTAGCTGAGATGTACAATGTTGTATGCTACTGAAAGACAGTGTCTTTGTACTGTGAATTAATAAATTTAAATGCAGTTTGAAGACGAGTGTAAGCCTGGTTTAGCCACTGAACACTTAAAACTGTAAGTAGAGTCATAACTGTGACGTCATCATAGTGACCTCTTTTATACGGTTACCTCTCTAATACGGACACTTTGCTCTGTCCTTTCGGTGTCCATATTAGAAAGGTTCGACTGTATTACCTTTCAAAGTTTATTGAATTTTGCTTTCTTTATTACACATCGTAAAATGGGCGTAAAAACCACCCTTAGAAACCAAATACAGTGATTAAATACACTGACTGTTCTACAATTACTTAGATAGCTCTTATTCCCATTTGTTAAGAGAAAAATAGTTTTCATAAAACATAATTGAGTAATGAATGTAAGTCGATCCTGATTCTTTAAAAGAGAGGATAATGGAAAGGCACAGAAAGTACGAACAAATAAATGATCGTCCGCCTAATAAATTACACTAAGGATTTATTTATAAGTGACTATGGTATATAATATTGAATTTCAAAAAAGACCCTTACTAAAAACACACAACTAATTAAAAACAAATCGAAACGTTCTCAAATAAAATAAGTGAGGGGATAAAAGAAAGCAAACAAAGAGAGCAATGATTGAGAGAGTGAGTTGTTGAATGAGTAAACGAACGAACGAATGAATGATTAAATAAATGGATCGATGGACGGACGGACGGACGGACGGACGGATGGCTGGCTGGATGGATGGATGGATGGATGGATGGATGGATGGATGGATGATGGATGGATGGATGGATGGATGGATGGATGGATGGATGGATGGATGGATGGATGGATGGACGGACGGATGGATGAACGGACGGACGGACGGACGGACGGATGGATGAATGAATGGATAGAATTGAACTTTACATCGTGGTGGAATAACTTTCATATATTCCATAAAGTATGTTATAATAAGGCCAAGGGCCAAGGACATTCGTTGAAATTTTCATGAGACGAAGCCTTGGACTGGGTGTATTAGGATCACGATAAATTCGGCGTATGTCTCAATTAATTTTCGGGGGTGGAAGCGGAATCATGAATCATGAATCATATTTACAAACCACGTAAGAATCTTGAATATTTGTTTTAAAAACCTGGGAATCATGAATCTTTGCACTTCGGCTCGGTAAACATGAATAACGAGACTCAGAGAAAAGCTGAACAAAATACACATATAAATTAGTTGCATTCGATCCAGGTAATGTGGGATATGGCGTTTCTGAGAGTCCAATTTTCCAAACATTTTCAGGGGGAGCATGCCCCCGGACCCCCCTATATAATTCGTGGAATCGGGGCTGATAGTCCTCTCGTTTCTCCAGTAACCTGGTGCTTAACGTTCAGTTACAAAAAGCCTCCATACCTAGACCAAACAAATGATGATACCGAGTGTGGATGAAGTAGAAGTTTGAACGTCGAAGAAACTATACAAAACGAGACTAAGTTGCCACTGAGAAAATCATTAAGTCAATAGGTGATCAAAAGTCTTCGTGAATAATGATTCTAGAAGAAAATTCTTCTAGGAATCATAATCATCGAGGCAAAAACTGCAGGAATCGTGAATAGCAAGATTCAAATTAATGATTCCGCTTCTAGCCCCGATAATTTAGCCTGAATGAGATTCGATCGACCAACACAATCTAAGGCAGTCTGGTTCAGAAATGTGTGACTGATTGGTTCGACGCTTAATTAGTTAGACGGCGTCTTACCTGACAGACAAACTCAATCTAGTTTAGTTCGACCCAAATCATACGGGTTAGGGTGGGAAACGCCTAAAAAGTCAGTCGTCTCATGACGCTAGCTGCAATAACGACTCAAATGATTCGAGTAGTATGTTAGTTGATACGAACAAGGCTACAAGTTTTCCAGGCCTTCCATCACAACCCTACAATAGAAAACCTCTTGAGGGTTTAGAAATTTACACCCCTTTGAGGCGATGTTGCTTGCTGTGCATTGTTTGAGGTCGAGAAGTTGTCATGGTTCACAGCTGAAGTGCTAGCCGTTCTACTGCTTGCAAGTTTTCGTTTAAGAACTGTCTTGTCCCTACCCTCCTGAAACAACAGACAATATACAGCTAGGTAAGGCAAGTGGATTAAAGATAACAAGGACATGTGGATTCAAGCAATAAAAAGTTGGGTTCAAGCTCCGTCCTTGTCTCGATGGGCCCGCGTTACTGGCCCCACGACCGTAGTACCGCGGGCACATTGAGAAACCCAAGGCTGGAACATAAGCTCATACACGGTGTGTTAATTAATTAAAAACTAGAAATTTGTTGGGACACTTTCATCCGACGGGGCATATAACGTGTGAATAAGAACTGGGATACCTAACTAACTAAATTTCTGACTTTTAGGTTAAAAAAACTTTGATAACTTCTAGTCCCTTATCGAAAACCCGCTTTGAAATCTCCATTGTCGTTGCCACCACAATGAAATGAACTTGTTACCAAAGTTGGCTTTTTGTTGTTGCCCACAGAACACTGAATCTGAGCGATTTCTTCAACTCTCCTGGAGAGGGTTTTTTTCTAATTATCGGGAAGTTTGAAAATAACAATATTTAGCTGGTCTGAGGAAACGATTGTTGAAGTACAACAGAGGGCTTAAGACATGAGAATTCTACGACAGTATTTTGGACGAAATGCTTGAGCTTATATTTGGCTGGATCTAAAAAGTAGTCAGGATCAAACGTGCATGCCTTAAACAAAATACTCGAAGAGGAACAGCTTGCTACACTATGAAGGCAACGTACCAATGCTATCTGATCCTTTAAAGTTTCAATCACGTCCATTAGATATGTTGTCAAAGACTTGAAGTAAAACAGCATCAAACTGCAAAAGAAAAACACGGTGTATAAGAACTTGAGCAGAACAAATCTCAACAAGAAAATAAACCCGACCTTATCCTCTTTTCATACAGCAAGGGTATTTTGGATTTGGAGCTTTATTCACCTTCCCAGTTCGAGACGTTTCCAGCAACGTTTTAGGCGGAAGTATTAAATCTTGCAGCCGTTTGTTTGGTGCATGGGGGCAAGTTTGTGCCCCTACGATATAAACGTCTGTAAAATCTCGCGACTTTGGGGAGTAAGATCTTTGCTCTCTTTGGACCTGTCACTTTTAAACCTGTTCAGTTACTCGGCAATCATAGGCTCTTCGTGTCAGCATATTCGCTTACTGCTCTTTATCAAATGTTGAAGAAAAAGCGGGGAAGGGTATATTTCGCGCGCAGCCTCCAAATAGCGAACATAGCAGCAGAAACGCAGACACATGAATTACAAAAGATCAGTAACTATATACTAACCACACTACGGTCAGAATAGGAAACAAGAATGTTGCTGTGGTGCCATATCCGATAAGTTCACGAACAACTGGAGGCCATGAATTCATCTCCTCAGTGAGAACATCAAAGATCCTCGCATCATCTATGCAATATTTATTGCTGCAAAACATCACAAGTTATCATAAGGTAAGGAATCCTTCGTCACCTTTGTTAAAAGTCTAGTAATTCATTTAACGTTTTTGCAGACGGACAATTACTCTAGATACAAAAGCCCTGTTATTAGACGCACAACAAACTATGCTTACTGTAAATCCTCCATTAAGGACCTTCTCTCTATTAAGCCATCCCTTTTCAGGAAAGGAAAGTTATTAAGCCCACTCTTCTCTTTTAAGAACTTCTCCCGTTCCTAAATGATAGACTGTATTTATTAATCACTACTTTAACACTTCATGTGGGCTGACATGGTATGGTCTATTCAGGTCCTAGAAGTTCAGATTTGTTTTTGATCTTCGTCTGCGTGACTTCCAACTTAATGTGCCTGAGTTTTCCACATTGGCAGGTCTATACGTTGTTTATGGAGAACTGGTAACATCACCTTCGCATTATGACACCCCTCAAAGTGATAGAAATAAATAAGCCACACAGAGGGGCTTTATGAAGGGTTTGCGGCATATAACCGTCCCCACCTTCCAAGAATATACCGCTTTACAAACCACAAACATTCACAATTCTTTCCCTTGAAAGGTGAATTTATAGATATTTACCTGAAAGGTCCTAGGCAGGATGGTCTCATCCTGGAAAAGATCAAAGAAAAAAACTTATTTATTTTACATTTACATTTCGTTGTTAGTAAATTTAACTTTATGAGCTTCTAGACGATATTCTAAGTTGTGTCAAGTACTGACAGGCTTTGTTTAGCCAGATTACTAAGTATATGTACTACTGACCTCTAATTAACACTTAGTTGACGCGCTATGGAATAACATGTACTACGTCTTTTTGTTTACTCATCATTGGATCCAAATTGAATTTTCTTAATTAGGACATGAGAATTTAAAATTTCGCTGCAAAGCGTAAGCATTCAACAAAAAGAAAACGTACGAAAAAGATAATCTGCAGGACAGAAAGAAATGGTGAAAAGTGTACCAAACATTGCAACTTGACTTAGAGACTTGTTTGAATTCTACATCAATTTTTAAAGTAAGCAAAAATTATTGGGCTGCATACTCACCTAGTAACGCCCCACCCAACAACACAAATGCACATAAAGACTGAGAGGAGAAGTAAAACTGTCACAATGTAATTATAACGGCTGGCACGATACACCTTCTCTGGAGGTTTATTGCTGAACATCACGGACACCTACAGATAATCAACAGAATGAGGAAAGTGTTATCATATGTTCCTGCTGAGTGCTTCTGAGTTTGCACTTAATTCCATTGCTTCAAAATTCCACACATAGTAGTATAGTAAGGACTAGTTACTCCTCTTTTGTTGTGGAATCTCATTAAGATAGGACCATGTGTTATTTTTAGGTGGTTTAACTGGCTTGACGGGCCTTTAGCTATTTTTAGATAGTGCGAGTCATAATTTTTTATTGATTGACTGAAAATCATCTAGACGTTCATTGGTTGCTTCATTTTATCGAAGGAACATGCACTAACATCTCTGCCATTAAAAGTCACTGATCCGTCACGTAATGATGCAAGTATATTTTCTGCAGCTGTCATTGTCCCGTTGCAGACAACTCATTTTCCTGGTTCTGCTTTACCTGTTTTCGGCGACAAATTGTGTGTATTCACCATGGCGAAGCGAATTTACCTCTTTTTAGCACGAAAAAGGATTTCTACTCTTTTCTTCACCAGCTACCACCACCACCACCACCACAATTCTATTGATTTTCCTCCACCACTACCACCATCGCATATAAATTGTTTTCCCTCCACCACAACCACCACATTTCCGTTATTTTCCCTCTTCTTCATAACCACCACGTTTCCATTGTGCTCCTTCCTCCTCCACCACCATCACCACAACTTTATTACTTTCCATCATCTATGTTGACGTATTGCACCGCGAGTTAATGAGATTCCACTGCCAAAATAGGAAGTAACCGATCGCTACTGTACTACTGGCGTTGTTACGGAGCTAATTCAGTTCGGTACTTATGGGCAGGTATCTTGCATGATGGCATTCACGATACACGCGTTTCCGGGGTAAGGGTGGTTTCACTAAAGAGACATTTCGTTGCATGCACAGTTTAGGCCCTGTTCCATGCCACAATTGAAAATGCAACTTTATTTTTACGGTTGCGCTTATCGTTTACACCTACCCGGAGCGGATTTTACTTTGAAAATATCTCACTGCTTTGCGTTTTAGCGCCTACAGAAGTCATTTTGAAAACGGGACCTTTCGAAAATGCTCTTCCAAATGGATACTGAACAACGCACTTTATTCGTTTGTGACTGAAAGGACGCGTTTTCAATTTTTTTATAGGACAGGTGTGAAATTTTCAGTTTATTTACAACGGATCATTATGGACCTCTGCATTTTAAAATTGATTTGTAAGATGATAGTCCAGCATAATTTACTCTTCACATGGATTAGATTTAAATACTTAATTATCCTCTCCCCTTCTAAGGCTTTTCAGGGCAAATAAAACAAATAATTCAAATGGAACATAACGTGGTTAAGAATCTTAACTGGTTGGAGGCAAACAAGCTATGTGTTTTAAAAGCGTGGCCGAGGACTTGAACTCGGGGCCTCTGAAGTACAAGTCCAACGGCCTAACTGCTCGGCCACGCTGAAAATTATGATATACATTAGAAGTTACTGATAGATTTTAGCTTTATAGAACAAAATAGTGTTATGGTTTGCGAAGTTCCGAGAGTTGCATTGGAGAAACGCTATTGTGCCCAATTAGTTTATACTTATGTCAACATTCCAGTCCTAGCAGCATGCAAGACGTTTGTCACAAGAACATAGCTTAGTGGCCATAGTTCCCAACAGTCTCTTGTAGCTCACAGTGGTAGAGCATCTGGACGTCAAGTAACCAGAACGTCACAGGAGTAATCGAGCTGCCTGTGTGACTGACTAAAAAACATCATTCTCATGTATTCCCTGGGCTTAAAATTTACCATCTCATCTCTATCATTCAGTTCATACCTTGGTCACATAAAACATAATGATAAGCTTAACAGCACCCATTGCTGGCATTATAGGGCTAAAGAAAGTTCCAATCCTGTAAATAAAAGAAAATAGACCTGAATCACATCGACTGCTCAGGCTACGTTCACACGGCACACGGAACCGTTAACTATATTTGCTCTGTTCACACGAGCCTTGAACGGTTAGACGTCTAAATTTCCGTTCGGTTAAGGTGGTTCCGTGTAAACGGAACACCTAAACGCACGAATTTTCAACCGGTCGAGAATTCGTCGGGTGCCATGTAAACTTAGGCTCAGTCAAATCTACCGTTAAGATCACTGACACACATGCAGAAAAGTTTGTCTCAGTGCGTACTTGGTTCAAATTCTCTGTGCTTGAAAAAATGTCTTAAAGTCCCTTTTTCATGTCCTCAAGAAATTTACTAGCAAGTTTGATTGCAAGTTCCAAAGGATTTTGCGCAAACAGCAAACTACTCGAGTGTCGGCTCTGAAACGTTTCCAGAGGGGTAAATTTTTAAGCTTTTTTCTGTAAAGTAGTAAATTAGAGCTTTCAAGTTTTCCCTTTTTCTTGACGTCGAATGAAGAATGTCCGCCTTTGTAATGGATTGGCAACCGCTTCCAAGCTTCGAAGAAATGGTTCATCCGTTTAATGTGAATCCGGGACAAGGCAAATTTACAATGTGAATCCGACTCCAATTCACAGTAAGACGGAAAATTTACAGACTAATTATCCATCTCTAGCGTAAAAACGGCCGTTTGGTATTGTCCATAATACTTGGTAAGAACTTATTCGATACAAAATTCACAAGTCTTTTCTTATCTATGGAAAAAAGGCTACACGGAGTTTATTAAAGGGAAAAATTTCTTAGTCCATGTTTATTTCATTTTGTGCCTTTACGTTCGCCTTTGCGCCTTCTGAATCCGAAAAATGGTAGGCGAAGAAACACTTTGTGGATATACTACTACAAAATCGTAAGGTTTGAATATTTATCATATAATCATTTTAGAATATTACTTTTTTTTGTTCAAGTCCTTGCTCCACTTCCAGATTTTATTGCCAAAAATATGGGCTATTATTGTAACGGCAGTAACGATTGAAGTTTTTCTGATTATGATGACTCGGAGTTATAAAGGGGTGCCCTCTATTGACTATGCACATCAACTTTTTTCAAAGGGTTGAGGTTTGAAATTTAATTACTCACCAAATGAGACATTCACCGTATGCAAGGCCGAGGACTTCTTTAGCGATGTCAAACTCCGGCAATCCCAGTTTTCTGAAATACGATACGTACTTGTACAAAAGCCTGAGAAAGATAGATATCAATTAACACAATCTCATCACCAGCGTTGATCCACGTTTCGTGTACCACTTATGACGTCATCAGTCTCGATGACTCATGAAAACTTTGGCGTCTAACTTCCGCAGAGGGACGGGAAAAAGCGAAAGAATCTTTAGCTACGTGCAAGTGGACGCAACAACTCACAACATTCTTGGACCAACCATGTTGTTGTGTCCGTTTGCATGTAGCAAGAAAGTTTGACTGGTTTCAAACTATGTGCAACAACTCCCAAAAACACGCAAAAAAATGCAACCAGATACAACCGGGTGTGAAAACGGACGCATCATGTAATTAAACTTTTAACATCCCACAATGTTGGGAGTAGTTGGCCAACAATGTTGCATCCGTTTGCATTAGGTTTTAGGAAGCTGTAGTGCTCAACTTGTAAACAACGCCTGAGTAAGTTTTTATTCTTTGGCTAGAGGACGGTTCCGCTAGCTTCAAACAGCGTTTTTCAGCAAAACAGAGTAAATAGCTTAATTACAACTGAGAACACTATCCAGCATTAGAAAATCGAGAGAAATTTGCGTCCTTCCGATGTTCCGAGTATTTAAAAGCGGGGCTTGATAGTAAAAGAAAGAAAAGGAGACAGTTATTCATGCCTCAGGCAAAAAAAGCGCCGCATTCTAGAAGAAAACTACAGGCAGCGCAATTCGGTGATGTGCTTTTATTCGGGAAAATTACGCTGTGGCGTCCTTTAGGAGAGGAGTTGTCTTTCCCTTGATATAAGATGCTTTTGTTCAAATTCGCTGCAACAATAACAATGAATAAGCTGTTGCAGCAGTGGAAGCTTTACTTATACATGTCTCCAATAGATAACACCGAGAATACATAAACGTTGCCTCATCGTCATAAGTCAAAACGACTCCTCTTTCCATCATGCAAACTACATATTCGTACGTTCAGTGGTTGGTTTAGTCGGATTAAGTTTGCGATAGGCGATGATATCTTCAGCCACTGAAGCACAACATTACAGAGACAGATATCACTTAAATAAAATACTTACTTCTTGATGGTATTGACCACAAGCAGCGTAAAGACGTGAACGAAAAAATCCGTCCATATCAAGGTGTACATTTGCGATGCAATCTGATTCTCCCAGTTCTGTAAGGCGTTAAGGCACAAAACTAATTATTTCGTTTATTTGGTTACATTCTGTTTCAATAAGCCATAAACCCAAATAATTTTGACCTAATAAATCAACCATAACTGTTAACCTAGCTATTTCAATTAGAGCCTACTCCTATTTCCGTACACTGGCACCCTTTAGCAGCTCTGACAAGACTGAAGGGCAACACAAGAGACAACAAACGCTTGATAACAGGTTCGAGCAAAGTCAAATATCTATCTGCTTTGATCAGTGTTTTGAAAAAATCTTTACCTGTTGGCAACACGTGGAAGGTTCATTTCCACATCGGTCATTCACGGTGGTGTAGAGTGTTATCATCAGAACAACTAGCGATGTCATCCTTAACACAACCATTCTGTGGAAATCAAAAAAGAGGGGTCGCTTTGAAGTTTCTTCAGTTGCAGTTCTTTGTAGTTCCACAGATACATGGACAGATAAGTACAGTACCGGCTATTTTTGGCCGTGATAAATGCTCTCAAAGAGCTTTTGGAAACAATTTTCCGATATTATAAGCACTCAAATGAAGTGACACTTAAACTAATTTATCTTCACGCGACAAAGAACATTTATAGATGATCATTACGAAAGAATCAAAGCGTTTGACTCTGACCAGCTGCTACTACTAGTTCTTGGTTTCGCCCTTTGGTCGTTATAGAGTGACCGCGACTTTCCAAAGGTTTTCACCAAAACGCGCACCATGCAGTGACACCACTGGTGATGACTAAAGGGTATGCCCATGGCGTACATGCCTATTAACACTACTGTAGTCTCTTTCAAGTTACTCGTTGACAGAAGGCAGACAGCAAGCGGCATGTGAGTATAAAGCTATTTCAAAAAAGGCTGGCGGAGAGATTGGCGAACGGCGAATGTCGAACAGAGGTTGCACGACCGAAAGGAACTGTGGTTACGCTATTTGAAATGCACAACTTCATAGGTTCCGTTCACCTTGCGTGAAAATGAATACACCAACTATGAACGTTTGTCTGAGGGTTCTTGACTCCAAAGACAAAAGAAACTCACGCATTTTTCAATTGAAAGACGTTCCTCGTTTCCTGGTATGAACGGCCTATTGTCTCCGACTTTACATCGCCAGTCACAAGAAATTTAGAAATATAGCGCTCAATTGTTGTTCCCGAATGAAGCCTCTGCAACTGAATGCTGAAGAACATGGGCAAACCATATAACCCGCCATCGAATGTCTTCACTAAACGAAGGCGGCATCATTCACTAGCTTAGATAGTTGATTATTTACCATCAATATTCAAACCCACAGGTCCTTTCGGTCGTACAATCTCCGTTCGACAATTGCCATTCGCCGTTCTCTCCGACAATCGTTTTTGAAGAAGGTGTATATACACATTCCAAGAAAACTAAATATAGGTACTGCAGGGGTTGCAATAAGCACCGACGGCCAACAAATCGCGTCAAATGAAAACTCAATTATCATGTGTTTTCAACAAGGGACTGGTTTTACGTTATGCTTTACTCATGTGAACGCTATACATCACTCAATTTTTCACAAGTTTCTTTATAGGTTTACGCAGAATTTGTTTACATGCAAAAGAACTTAATTTAGTTGTTATTATTTGTTCATTGGTTGTAGGAATTGATTGTGTGGCTGATAATTAATCGGAACTTGAATAAAAACTACATTTTCTTGACTTAAAAACACGCTCTTTTGTCCTCAATTTAGTCCCCAGAACACTGGAAATCGAATTTTAGGGCTCTGAACTTTCAAAATTTTCTGGGGAAACAGATCCCCCCGACCCCCCATATAAAAAGGGAATTAACGGTTCCTTGTTGATACAGTCGGTTACTCTGTTCAAACCTGCTAGGTACTTCAATTGCTGGACGGTGTAGATTGCCGGGAAAAACGAAGAGATACATTTTGATTTTTTCGCACACTCATATAGCTCAGTAACTACGGCTTAATGAAATAAGCAGTTCACTAGCAGTGAAAGGACGACACAATCGTGAGACCCACCCATCAAATAAAATTCAACTTTGTGCTGATTCAAACAAGAAAGGATCACCTGTTCATCTGCTTTTTTAAAGCAATTTTACTGTCACGCCAGTAAAATGTAGTTAATGGAACGTGACGCTAGTTATCAATAACCCATTCATGGCGGCTCTTTTTCAACAAAGCAATTGTGTAGTCAAGCTGCCAAGGTCAGTGAACTCTAAGATGCATTGTATTCTAGCGTAGAACTTCCGGCCTTGTTGTCTTAAGCAGGCTAGTACGAGCCACAGCATTGGCCATTATTTTCAAAGCACTATTCATGGCTAAGAGTCTGCACATGCAACTCTGAGCTGTCTTATAATACAGCCTTTGCTACTGGCTATGCCAGCAGACATGCGTCTAGCTATAAAAGCCTAGTACAACTGTTCAGAGTTCACTTGGGTTCCAGTGTTCAGCAAGGTTTAAGCGCTCAGTATACTATTCTTGTAAAATTTTTACGGTAGTTTTGCAATGCCGAGTCATTCAAAGTTAACGTGTAAAAAATTTTTTCGGGGGCTACTACGCGTCATCCCCTTTAGATGTCCTTCAGTCGCATCGCGAAATCCATTTGCACCTTTCCTCGACCCCGTACACGTGCCACACGTTAGATCGTTCTGGCTTTCATGGACGCCTTACGAAGATCCACGTGGGAGTTGTGGCAATATTTTGAGGAACTCTCTTTTAATACCCTACTTTACCGTGGACCGGCCATCACGCATCCTTCGGTCGGATTTTACCTATCCAGTTCGTCGTACTGGGATCTCTCCATTTCTGGCACTACGCTCTTGACCATTTTTTGAGCAAGAACACTGGGCTTGTGGCAAAACAACGGGACAGGCAACACACCAACACATATCCCATCTCCATGATCAGGTTCCTCAGGTTCTTGTCATCGCCCAGCTCACTCTGTCGCCGCCTGCCTTCTACCTCTACCGCCGTTTGGGTGCCGCTGTTTTCTTAAGCGAACATTTCCACTGGAAGCTTCTTCTCGCTTGATTCAGTTATGTCGCCGCCTGCTTTCTACGACTTCCACATCTACCGCTGTTTGGGTGCTGCTCTGGTTCAGGTACGGCGTTTTTTCTATATCTTACTATTTTCCTCATTTGTTCCGCTTCGCAAATAGGTTGTTTTTCCTTCGTCACATTTCTTGTCACAGTTGTGCGGTTCCCGTTGTTCCGATCTCCTGTTAGCCCGCATGGCGTTACACAAAACAATGATAGGTCTGGGTTCTTCCCCAGTCCCCCCCGTCTCACTGCCATTCTCGCGAGGTTCGAACAGTATTTATTTGTTTCCCTATTTCAAATGTTTTTAAAGTCTGCCGAGGCCCCAGTCATCTCGGTTTCAGAGGCTGCATTAATTCCCCCTGGGGACGGGCATACAAATACACTGCATGTATTTTTACGTCTACGTGTTTCAGAATCCCAGGTTAGCATGGAAAGGGTAATTTAAGTTCGTGTTGAGTGTTCTAATGTATACGTTAAAAGGTTTAATTAATCTGTATGCATGGAATTTCCGTAACAGATAGCTTGTACCAGATCAGCTTTATTAATTGAGCATTTTGTGTCAAGTAGTTCATTGTTGAGACTGCGTAATAAGTATCAACCTGGAAGGATAGGATACTCTTCTCCGCCGTGAAAACTAAACATATACGGTAATCATTGTTGACATTAAGTATATTTCTTCAGCACATAGACATGGTGCTGACCGAATGCCTTTTAGCTAAAATATCCGCTGGAAGCCCTTTGTTCTTGATACCGTTCCTTGGCAAGCGAAGCAGTTTTAAGTTTAATCTTCTTACTTAATCGATGCTTTAGGTGCATGTTTGTTTGTGATGTCATCACTGTTAATTAACTTTGATACCTTCTCTTAGCGTTATTTGCGCGGTAGGCTAGTTTCGTATGGGGAAAGTGTTATATAGCATACCCTTGTCCACCCTGTTACGTCCCGTGGCTCTCTGGTGCAGTCGCTATTCTTCTAGAATCAAACAGGTCATTGTCGGCCGGTCTTTAACAGTGCTTACTATTTGCTCTTGCAGTTTTTTCTTGTCATTTCGATTTAAGGTAGAGCAGTGGTTAATTTTAGCTATACTAGTATTTGTTCTAGTTATTTTGTTCGCGCGGGTGTGCAGGGTCATTTCCCGGCCTCTCTGCCATGATACTCTTTCCTGCTACTGTGGGACCATCGTATATGGATACATAGGGCTGAGTTGTCCCTGTTTTCCTCCATTCTCCCGTACCTTTGGCTCTGGGTATACTTTTCAGACCCTGTTGCCTTCTGGGTCAGGCTAGTCCATAGCTTGGCGTCGCTACATTTTGCCGGGCTAGCTACGTTTCATTAATTATGGAATGTGTCTTTTTGTAAATATGTGTGCGTGTATATTCAGTCATATGCAGAGAAATTTAAGCCCCAGAATTTCATAGTTTTCTTGTTTGTGTTTGCTCACCGCTAGTATACGTTTATTCTCAGTTTCACTGGGATCAGGTTTTTTGTCCCCTGGCATTATGTCTTTGGTTCTACGCACATGCCCCTCTTGCCTTGGTTAACGTACCCCAACCAAGAGCCCTTGTGGTTATGTACCCTGGTATAACCATACGGGGTATACCGGGCCACTTTTCTTCTCTCACGTAAATGGATTCTGTAATTATAATAGTTACCTGGGGATATACCTCTTAAGCTGTTATCAACAGTGCAATTAGCACAATCTATTCCCGCTTGCACACGCGCAACTTGCATAAATGTCGTTGACTTGACTTGAATTACAACAATTATCATATTATACTTTACTGATCCCTTCTCAGTTTAACTCTGTGTTTTTTGTTTTGTTTTGTAATTGCATACCTGCACTGTTGTATTTCCGCATCCCACCCCGAGGTTCGTCTCTCCAGGTGACCTAGTGTCCGTGTCTCACTTACCTTCTGCCTCCACTGGCCATGTGGGATGTTGTGTCATTTATCTCTTTGCCACCAAGCAGTGGGATGTCTGAGTCGCCTGCCGTCTGCATTGCAAGAGTTCTGTTGCTGCCTTCAGTTGGCACCTGGTCCCTGGTACATCATGGATTTTGCACGTTATGAACTGTGTTTAAAACCTACTGCGTAACTTGTTTTTTGCTGGCACTGGTTGCCCCGTTCTCTAGGGGTTGTGTATCTGCATTACTGGGAGAATACGTTCCCTCTTTTCCCCAAGGGTTTTTTTTAGGGTTTTCGTATCAGGCGGATACACCTCAAATCAGTGCCAGCCCATCAGACGCACGCACGGTTTGCGCTTATTAATAATGTGTTCATCCTGGAAAGCTGATTGGTTTTCTGGGCTTTTTTCCATGATCTGGGCCGCATTCACGCTAGCCTTTCCCGCCTTCCTCGTTGTAGCGAGGTTACGTACCTGGGGCTTGTAGTTTTTTAGTTCTGAGTTTAACCTCAGCACGGATTGCGCGACTTTCTCCCCAAGTCTGGCTGCCCGCAGCACTTTCTTCTTAGCCTTAAGTCGATGTCAAACTGGCAGTTTTAGACTGGCCAATCTTTCGTAGTAGCCCGGCGTTCTTTACCGATAACTTTTCACCCCAGCCTGGCGCGCTCACGGTGCATAATAGTATATCTAAAATCGTCTAAGACAGACATTACTAGGGAAAGTCAGTCACTCACTATAGTTCACACCTTGTTCCCCCTTTGCGCCATTGCAGCTATGCAAGAGTATTTTCTCTAAGCTAGGCCGCCGCACGGATCTTTGTTTTATTTCCAATCAGGTCGTTACGTCCCCCGGGGCATCGTATACGACCTCCTAAAAGATAGTGCGAGGGTCGCTGGCCTCCCTTATCAACGCCAAAAAAGGCATAGTTTTTTCATCGGTGCGGCCTCCGTTGCAGCCGCCGCCAGCTTGCCAGCTTGGCTTGTAAAGTTTCTCAGCTGCTGGTCCTCGGTCTGTTACCAGCTGTATATCAAAACTCCTCAATCTACATTAGAGTCTGTGGCTCCCAGGATGGCTATTGTTCCTGGACGCTCCCAGCCAATCTAGCTTCCGTATTTTCTATTTGTTTTATTCGTTCTCTTGGTTGGGCTTGGGGGGATGCATTGCCTGGCATGCATCAGTGGCGGTTAAGTCTGCGCAGCGACTTCCCCCAAGCTTGTTGGGCCGCATTGCCGTTTAACATCGCCTGCAAACCGACACTCTTGTCCGATCCAGCACGTGCTGTATTGCATTCAGCTCGTAGTGCTGGGGAGATAAGTGAGGTTCTTTGCTCACCAATACTCTTGTCCGATCCAGCACGTGCTGTATTACATTCAGCTCGTAGTGCTGGGGAGATAAGTGAGGTTCTTTGCCCATGCCATTGCCGGAAGTCGCACAGGCTAACCTAGCGCAAGGCAGTGCTCCCCCATTATCGCCAACTTGTCATTATTTGTTTTATAATTAAGTCACTTCGCGTTTAGCATGCATCATAAAGGAGCAGAGACATTAAAAGCAATTTTACTGTCACGCCAGTAAAATGTAGTTAATGGAACGTGACGCTAGTTATCAATAACCCATTCATGGCGGCTCTTTTTCAACAAAGCAATTGTGTAGTCAAGCTGCCAAGGTCAGTGAACTCTAAGATGCATTGTATTCTAGCGTAGAACTTACGGCCTTGTTGTTTTAAGCAGGCTAGTACGAGCCACAGCATTGGCCATTATTTTCAAAGCACTATTCATGGCTAAGAGTCTGCACATGCAACTCTGAGCTGTCTTATAATACAGCCTTTGCTACTGGCTATGCCAGCAGACATGCGTCTAGCTATAAAAGCCTAGTACAACTGTTCAGAGTTCACTTGGGTTCCAGTGTTCAGCAAGGTTTAAGCGCTCAGTATACTATTCTTGTAAAATTTTTCCCTCCCTCCCTCCCTTTGGAGACGAGGTTTGGGCTTTGTTTTGTGCTACGCCTTCAAATAAACTAGGGACACTCCTCGCAGTGCGGTTAAGTCTGCGCAGCGACTTCCCCCAAGCTTGTTGGGCCGCATTGCCGTTTAACATCGCCTGCAAACCGATACTCTTGTCCGATCCAGCACGTGCTGTATTGCATTCAGCTCGTAGTGCTGGGGAGATAAGTGAGGTTCTTTGCTCACCAATACTCTTGTCCGATCCAGCACGTGCTGTATTACATTCAGCTCGTAGTGCTGGGGAGATAAGTGAGGTTCTTTGCCCATGCCATTGCCGGAAGTCGCACAGGCTAACCTAGCGCAAGGCAGTGCTCCCCCATTATCGCCAACTTGTCATTATTTGTTTTATAATTAAGTCACTTCGCGTTTAGCATGCATCATAAAGGAGCAGAGACATTAATGACTCTTTATGCAACAAAAAATCGCCAGAGAATGGATGAAGGAAACGTACCTACACATGTTGATTGTCACTTCAAAGCTGGGACTCCAGTCTTCAAAAAGGCACAGTTTCTTGAATACGAATGGTAATACCACGTTCATGATGGTGATGGTTAGAGACGGTGCAAAATTCATAAGCTGGACCAAACGTGGATCTTTTTCCCAGGCCATTTGAAGATAATGCTTTGGAAAGATCAAGATGTCAATAAGGCTATAGCATTATGTCTTCAACATTTTCTGAAATGGGATATGAAAACCCAATACTTAAAGGAACCTTTATTGAATTAGGCGTATTTATAACAGTGAACTTTTCAAACCTTATATATTTCCAGGCGAAAAGGTTTAATTACATATTCAAAAGACCGTCAATATTTACTACAACCGAAATGAGCACAAACAGATACGGGAAAAAAGAGGGAAGAAAACTAAATTCGTCGTGTTTTGTTCACCTCTTCCTCCATAAATCGTAGCTTTGGGAGTTTTCAGGTGATAGTCGTGGAGTAAAATCAGGGAAATACACTAAAAAGTATGAAGAACTGTAATGCTGTTGTTTTGCACATGAAACGATCAGGTTTTTTACGTTATCTTTGGCGTGGTCGCCGTGGTTGCTTCAGTTCCCTTATAGATGACTTTACTAGATCCTATGTCACTAAATCTTTAGAAATAATGTTAATTGAATCATGTTAAATGTAGAGACGATCATCATTCAGAGCGGTGCGGCGTTCTACCATTAATAGAGCTAACAAGCCAATGAGGAGCTGGTCATTGAGTTGGGTCATTATAAACTCGTGAATAGACGAATATGAACTGTATCACAAATACAAGAAATTCATCTGTCAGAACTGCGGAACTAAGAATTAAATTCAAAGAAGACCATTGCAGTATATTCAGTTTATTCTTTTGTCCCGCAATTCTGACATACGAATTTCATATATCCATTGTTTATTGCAACATTTATTGGTGATGACCGAGTTAATGTACTCACCGGGTTGGTAGAAACGTCTACAGAAAGATAGATCAAGTAGATTGCTCCTCCCACTAGTACAAAAACAAGGAACGAAATGAAGCATCTCAGAGCGTACAGCAGACATTTCGCCTTTTGTGATCGAGATTTAACTTTGTTCTTCCTCTCTTCTTCAGCGATGTAGGCCTGTGGACGATAACCGGGTGTAATTTCTCGCTTACATAATCAAGTAGTACGCTAACGTTAAAGCGCCCTATCTTGAGACTACGTATACCTTTGAATAATGGACGGTGATGTCATGATCTGGCAGAAGAGTGATGCCGTTTAGTATTCGTGTATGCAATAAGTCATCCGAAAAAAATTGTATTATCACAATTATCACACCCTTAGCATACCTTTAGGATACCTTCAGGATACCCAGGTATTCCCTTTCAAAGTTCACTTGCTGTTTTTACTAGATATTTCACGAGTTAGACGTTTTAGGCAAATCCGTTCGACTCTTCCCGAATCTACAGGTTCGGCAGATTACTTACGACCTCGTTTAGAGGGGTGTGGACAAATTTTTGAGCGGACGAATCTTTTACCAGTGCTAATCATTTACACGGAGCCGTGAAATTACTGTTACAGGTTGTATTGTTTACGAGAGAGAGTCCGACTTATCAAATGCGCGTAACTAGGCTTCTGCGCAAACTGTGCAAAGACATGCCCGGTTCAGGTGTTTACACCAGTCTGACTGAAGCGGAACCTGCAACGCGGTAGAAAATTTTGACCATCTTGTGATCAAGTCAATACCTTGCACACTTTCATTGCCGTTCAAATGTTGCGTTGCTTGGTTCCGCAGGATCCGTGTAAGCGCAAGGCAGCGCAGATCTGTGAAAGTTTTTGTCCGTTCAAAAATTTCTCCGGACTCGTGTAAAAGGGGTTAAGAAGACATCCTGTAATATAGTCGACCACAATACATGTGTTCTCTCCATTTGTGTTTATTGGAAACCCTCAAGAAAAATGGTAACCAGGAACAAAAAAGAGAGAGAATTTGTTTAAATTGTAGCGGTAGAGTTTATTATTTATTTAGGGCTGCCACAATAATACCAAAACGAATAATACTGAACGAATTTACCAAATTAAATAATTTCTGGTCACTTTGCCTACCCTGACAGACTGCACAAAATTCTCCCCAATGAGTTTGGCCGTCTTCTCTTCAGTAATACAAAAATCCCATCCAGCGAGGACTTGGTTGCAAAACGGCGTTGTTCCAAGTTGATTAGAAAAGCTGGCTTCGAGGCCTTTTGCTAACCTTAAACAAAGAAAGTATGTTACAGCGTCTTTCAGGAAAGAATTCGGAAAGGCTTACGCCAGCATCTTATCGTACATCTCCCCAAATGACTGATCGTAGACTATGATAAACGAACCAAGAGAGAGTATTGGGTTCCTTCATTGGGTCGAGTCCTACAGATTCTACTACTCAGCATTTTAGCCATTTAAGTATTAAATAGAAAAGAAGAGTACTGTCTCACTTACACTGGACGAAAAAACGGATTTACCTCTATAGCAAATTTGGAGGAAATCATCTGCAAATGCCACATTTGCTTAATTTTGCTCAATTTTGCCACATGACATAGGACCAACTTTGCCATAATTTTGCATCAGTGGCAAAGGTGGTAAATGCCGAATTTGCCTCAAATTTGCCCCGTGTGTAAAAACAAGGATAACCTTTACTTTATCAAGGCATTTACAGGGGTGTCAAACTTGATAGCAAAACTGACATTTGTCAGGTTTTTGCCCAAATGGGCAAAAGCGATCGAAGATGAATTTTTGAATGCTTTTGCTCTCTATAGCAAATTCGGTCAAAGTAGTAATTTGCCACATTTTTGCTCAATGTAGCAAAAGTGACCAAAACTCATTTTTCAACAGTTTTGCCCAGGATAGTAAATCTGAGCAAAAATTCACGTTTGCCACTGTTTTGCTCAGGGTAGCAAATTTGGCCAAATACCACTTTTTTCTCAAGTTTGCTCAGGATGGCAGATATGATCAAAACAGTAGTTTCCCATACTTTTCCCCATTGTAGCAAAGTTGATCAAATATCAGTTCTTCTGTATCTTTGCTCAGGATGGCAAATATTGCCATGATAGCAGTTTTCCATACTTAAAGTAAGGTAAACAAAGTTGATTAAAATATCACTTTTTTACACTTTCACTCAAGATAGCAAATTTGATCAAAACATCATTATCCAGATGTTTCTTATTTTTATTTGGTACCATAAATGACTCACAAACAATTAAGACACCAAAAAAAATTTCAAGAATAAAATGACTTTATTATCTTTAATATACACTGTACAATAAAAAGCAAGATAAATTAAAAGAAAGTTCCATTGGCCTCTGCAGGGCACTGCATGTACCACAAAATATATGCCTTTAAATAAAAAGCACATACAATGTGAAACTATCTAAATTCATAAGTGTATAAGAATGTACATTGGGTTTGAAAGTGCAAGTCAACACTAGCTCGTTCATAATTATCTAAGGTTGGTACAGGTAAAACGTAACTCCATTTGAGTGGTATACTTCAAATATACTCTTTCTAGATTCAATTGATACTATTGGCAAATGGTTGTACGATGACAACAAGTACACATCACTCCCAATGTAGATGTGACATCCTTACTAACGGACAGAACATCAACCACAGGAAATAAAATTAGCCTCAAATCATTATGATAAGCGATATTCCTCTAATTATTATTTATAAGAACTTGCTTTCATCTGATAAATATTATCCACTACCCAAAATAGGCAGTGAATAATATCATATAGTGTACCTAGTGCTATTCACTTACCCCAAGGGGAGATACATCTGTATGATTCATTTTTAACCAAATCAGTTATATAAAAATATTTCTTGTAAATAAAATGAGTTACTATGCGAAAGCTCTGTGCATTTCTATGATTTGGGTACGACTTTGATATATTTCTACCCAGCAGTAAACACTTATAAGGTTAATTTTGTCACCTTTTTAGCATGTACATGTATTTTATTTTACAGGTGCTTTATTTACTGCTAAACCTCTAAAATTAGCATGAAATGACACCCCAATTTTACTCTCATCCTATAGGTAGCCAAAAGCTTTTCAAGTTATGAAAGCAAATCTGCTATCCACTGATTTGGTTAAATACTTGTATTATTATTATTATTATTATTATTATTATTATTATTATCTAAGTAGTAACTTTTTTATCAGTTTGAATTATTATTTTTAAATAGTTTTTTTATTTTTTTATTAACTTTTTGATGCTTTTTATAATTGTTATTAGTAGAATTAGTATTAGTATTCGAATAACGGTTTTTAATTGAAATGAATTTTTTTAATCGGAACTATGTGGGTTTTTTTAATCGAAATGAATTGTAAATAGTACTTGTACTGGATAGTTTTTTTTTTAAGCAAAATTTAATTGTAAATAGGCCGGATTTTGTAGTTAGTTTTCTTATTATTATTATTATTATTATTATTATTATTATTATATCACTGTAAATAATATGATTTGGTGAAATTCTTGTATTATTATATGACCATAAATAATTTATTACATTTGTTTTTTTTACTAAAATCAAATTATTTGCTAAAAATTTGAGCAATTTTTTTCTGATTCACATGATCAGCTGTTTTGCTTGCAGTATTGGACTGATTAAATATCCAAATTATCCAAACACAATCTATACACTATGAAAGTTCTGTAGAACTTCTTTAATTCATCATCATTATTATTGTTATTGGCTTGCAGGTGATTAAAATTTAAGCCATGCTTATCAAAACACTGTTATCACACACGGTATTTTTTTTTTTGCATAAAACATAACTGCACTCTTTTTTCATAAAATATGCCAAGAACAAAATAGGATCATGGCATTTGGAGTCCAGTAATTACTCTACTATGGGGTGTATTGGCTAGATTTAGTCCTCGGAGTGGCACTTTTTAAGGCAGTGCTTAGGGTAGCCCTAGGATTTGTCACCACTGCGGAAAGTGGATGCAGATGTATCTCCAATTACATATGTTGGGTGAATGGACACCATGACTGAAAATACAGCTGCATTTACAGGCTACTAGATGGAAGGTTTTTAAAATTCAGTAAAGTTGCCAAGTTACAGAGTGATTCGGTGCAAACTAACAAGGACAGCTCTGCAAAGATGGCAAATTTTGCAGACATTTGTCTGGTAAGGGAAAGTTTGTGGCTCCACCATACCATACAAAGGTCATTGAGATTATGTGACTTTGTGTCAACACTTTATTTCAAATCGGACTAATCACAAACAGCGTAAGAACCTAGCCAATCACAAAATGCTGACATACATGCATGTCTTTGTGACGCAGTGGGATTCAAACATGATATTGTGCACTAATTCTCAGACGGCATGCTCTATACAGAAGGTTTAGAGTGTCTGCAACACAGGCAAGATCTTCATTGGATTGTGACAAATCACTTTGAGATTTGGTAATTTACCTAGTTTTAACGTGGCTCCTTCCCATGGGTGTCAAAGGATATTCACTTACTACATTGTAGGTCTTCATCAAAACTCAAAAAATTGTGCAATTGTCTACTGAGTAAATATGGTTCTAGGAACTTAACTGAAAAGGAACTGAATCATGATGCATGTCAACTTCAACTTGAGTGTTATTATTATTTTGTACATTTTTATCTAAAATGTCTTCTTCTTTTCTGAATGTTCTTCGAAAAATTATCTGTGTTATGCTTATGATCAAGTTCCTTTTTCTATTGTAAGTGGTGGGTGCCAGAGCAAACTCAGGAGCATCGTCTGGTGCTCCTTGATTTGATGCTGGTCTCACTGTGTGCTCTATTACCATTATTTTCACTTCATTGACTTTGACACCATGCAACTTTGCGGTCCAACTGGGCCATTAAACCATTAACCTCAATGCTCTGCCAGGAAAGTGGCCTTACACAGAGATTTTCCCTGTTTGGGAGGTCCTCATCTGAACCTGAAGAATTACCTTCATGCCACTCTGATACAGCTGTTTCAGACAAAGACTCCTCTGATGACATATATGCAAAGGACATACATGCAAGGTACTTGTCCTTGTCTGACTAACTGATGCTAGTTGACTCCCTCAGAGCATATTGGCCTTTTAATTTTTTTTCTGAAAGAAAAATGACGAACCATGATTTAGCAGCCAACAAGTAACCCACAGTTGGTAAACAAGCATGTACTGCTCATACTCAGTGTAAATGATTGGGTTGCAGAACAATGACACAATGCTAAAAGCTGAAAACACTCTCTTAATCAAAGGAACAGTTTGAGGATATTTGTGAGAAAAATTTCTCCCCGCATTTTATTCCTACTAACTTTTTCATTAAATATATAATATGTTTTTTGGAACAGGTGTTAAAGTAGAGAGCAGGAATGCCTCTTTCTGTTGAATCTGCATTTGTTTAATTAAGACTCTTTTAAGTGTAAATAAAGACTGAAATAAATTAATTCCCCTGTCATTCAAGAGCAGAACTGATAGTGTCCCACAGGTCACCAGGCTCTAACAGAGCACAACCATGACTCAACTGTACACATAAACCGTAAAACCGGTCAGAACCTGAGAAACGTAACATTAAGGCAACCCACATGTTGCTTAGAACAATAATTGATGAATTGTGGTTATTTGGCATGATAAAGCCAAAGCATTTACTTGCAAAATGAACTAACAAAGATCCCTCGACATCATTGAGCTGTACAAAAGGTATAAATAATGAGGTATTGTCGTTTAAAATGTGGAACAGTAATACAGTGGTCACTTGGAAAGACACTTATGCTTCAGGATCTGGCAAGTGCCGTCATTCGCAAAATGAGCCAAAATTAAGATCTCACAATATCACTGACCCATATTTATAAAGCATAAGAGTTTTGGATGGTACAATTTATGAAAGAAGAATCACTTGTCATTTAAATGTGGAACAATAATGCGGTGGTCACTCAGAATGACACATAGGCTTCAAGATCTGGCATACGCCGTCACTCGCAAAATGAACCAAAATTAAGATCTCACAATATCACTGAACCATATGTGTAAACCATAAGAGTTTTGGATGGTACAATTTATGAAAGAAGAATCACTTGTCATTTAAATGTGGAACAAAATACGGTGGTCACTCAGAATGACACATAGGCTTCACTCGCAAAATGAAAAAAATGCCGTTACTACTAAAAAATGAACCAAAATTAAGATCTCACAATATCACTGAACCATATGTATAAACCAAAAGAGTTTTGGATGATACAATTTATGAAAGAAGAATCAATTGTCATTTAAATGTGGAACAATAATACGGTGGTCACTCAGAATGACACATAGGCTTCAAGATCTGGCATATGCCGTCACTCACAAAATGAGCCAAAATTAAGATCTCACAATATCACTGAACGATATGTATAAACCATGAGAGTTTTGGATGGTACAATTTATGAAAGAAGAATCACTTGTCATTTAAATGTGGAACAATAATACGGTGGTCACTCAGAATGACACATAGGCTTCACTCGCAAAATGAAAAAAATGCCGTCATTCGCAAAATGAACCAAAATTAAGATCTCACAATATCACTGAACCATATGTATAAACCATAAGAGTTTTGGATGGTACAATTTATGAAAGAAGAATCACTTGTCATTTAAATGTGGAACAATAATACGGTGGTCACTCAGAATGCCACATAGGCTTCAAGATCTGGCATACGCCGTCACTCGCAAAATGAACCAAAATTAAGATCTCACAATATCACTGAACCATATGTGTAAACCATAAGAGTTTTGGATGGTACAATTTATGAAAGAAGAATCACTTGTCATTTAAATGTGGAACAAAATACGGTGGTCACTCAGAATGACACATAGGCTTCACTCGCAAAATGAAAAAAAATGCCGTTACTCGCAAAATGAACCAAAATTAAGATCTCACAATATCACTGAACCATATGTATAAACCAAAAGAGTTTTGGATGGTACAATTTATGAAAGAAGAATCAATTGTCATTTAAATGTGGAACAATAATATGGTGGTCACTCAGAATGACACATAGGCTTCAAGATCTGGCAAGTGCGGTCACTCACAAAATGAGCCAAAATTAAGATCTCACAATATCACTGAACGATATGTATAAACCATGAGAGTTTTGGATGGTACAATTTATGAAAGAAGAATCACTTGTCATTTAAATGTGGAACAATAATACGGTGGTCACTCAGAATGACACATAGGCTTCACTCGCAAAATGAAAAAAAATGCCGTCATTCGCAAAATGAACCAAAATTAAGATCTCACAATATCACTGAACCATATGTATAAACCATAAGAGTTTTGGATGGTACAATTTATGAAAGAAGAATCACTTGTCATTTAAATGTGGAACAATAATACGGTGGTCACTCAGAATGCCACATTGGTTTCAAGATCTGGCATATGCCGTCACTTTCAAAAATGAGCCAAAATTAAGATCTCACAATATCACTGACCCATATGTATAAAGCATAAGAGTTTTGGATGGTACAATTTATGAAAGAAGAATCACTTGTCATTTAAATGTGGAACAATAATATGGTGGTCACTCAGAAGGACACATAGGCTTCAAGATCTGGCATACGCCGTCACTTTCAAAAATGAACCAAAATTAAGATCTCACAATATCACTGAACCATATGTATAAACCATAAGAGTTTTGGATGGTACAATTTGTGAAAGAAGAATCACTTGCCATTTAAATGTGGAACAATAATATGGTGCTCACTCAGAATGATACATAAGCTTCAAGATCTGGCATATGCCGTCACTACATAAAATGAACCAAAATTAAGATCTCACAATATCACTAAACTATATGTATAAACCATAAGAGTTTTGGATGGTACAATTTATGAAAGAAGAATCAATTGTCATTTAAATGTGGAACAATAATACGGTGGTCACTCAGAGGGACACATAGACTTCAAGATCTGGCAAGTGCGGTCACTCACAAAATGAAAAAAAAAATTAAGATCTCACAATATCACTGAACCATATGCATAAACCATAAGAGGTTTGGATGGTACAATTTATGAAATAAGAATCATTTGTCATTTAAATGTGGAACAATAATACAATGGTCACTCAGAATGACACATATGCTTCAAGATCTGGCAAACTTGTGCCGTCACTTGCAAAATGAACCAAATTAAGATTTCACAACATCACTGAACCATAATTATGTATAGATGTAAAACAAGAGTTTTTGACTGTAAAAATTTCAAAAGGGAAATCATTTGTCATTTGAAATGTAGTAGAATATTAAATAATAAATTATAGTGACCACTGCTTTGTCAAGTGCTGTCACCTGAAAAGTACAGTAACCCCAAAGATCTAACATATTAACTCAGCTGTACAACAAGCCAAATTTCTGAATTATGGACATGCTAAGGTCACATCACCGACTTATATTGGTGTAAAAGAAATGTTTGCCTGCACAGCTCAAGATCCGGCTACTTAAGATTATTCTATTTAATAATGAAGACGATGCGCAACAAAGAGTACAGTTATTTCTGCAGTAAACAAAAAGGAATCAATCAATGGCATATCTGTGCATGCATCTTAAATTTTAAGATTTATCTTTGAGGTTTTAAGCTTACGCAAAGTTATTAGAAAACCAAAGTAAGTAAACGAACCACGATATCAAGAAGAACATACCTTTCTGCAATCCAGCTGAGTTGATGACTTGGAAACAGGCTTTATGTGAAGAATATCGCAACTGATCACTGTCTCTCGAAAATAACAAAGGTATAAATCGTAAAGAACAGCTGAATAGAAAGACAGGCTTTCTATTATCCGAAAATAACAAAACTACTCGTTTTGCAACGCTGTATCGCTTGTGAAGTCCGCGTGAATTTGAACTGTTCAACGAAAGTTTATTTTACACTATTCTATTGGTTCAAAAGGCGCACGTGACAATGTAAATCAAATCGCGCATGTGCCAAAGTCACATGGAAGCCTGGGCAACAAACATGGCGGCTGCTCTTGCGACGGAGTGCATTCAGGACTACATTCACCCGGACGATGAAACTCTGCAATCTACTATTGAAATGACTCCTGGGTTCAAACCTTTCACATATTGTGCATTTTGTTCACCCAAATTGTAAATGGTAACGTTTTACGTCAGGGCCTCCTATTCCGAGACTTCTTGTGATATTTTTTTCCGTGCCACCGACACAACGCATTCGACGCTAAACGAAAAAAAACGAAAAAAAAGGGGGATGGCCTTACCCGAAATAACCAGCTGCAGCAAGTAATATTATAAACTTTGAGAAGAATGTGATGGTGATTGAAACGGAAAATGCAATGGAAAATCAAAACTTGCGTGAAATAACACTGTGAAGTTTGGTAAATGTGCAAACGTTGGTTAAAGTGGTCGTAAAGATAGTTCTTTGATCATATTTTGCTTAAATTTACGCCTCTAGTAACCATAAATTTACACAGTAACTTTGCTATGCCAGAAAATATCAAGCAAACATTCAGTTTTGACGTTCGATTTTTACACACAGAACAAAATGGTGGCAAACTTGAATCTAAACACCAAATTTACTATGGGGAGCAAAAGTGAAACAAAATATCTGTAAACTTGAAATTTACTCCACATTTACGCCACCCTTGCAGAAAAGTAAACTTTCACTTTCGAACAAAATTTGCACCAAGAACAAATAAGTAGCAACATTAGTACCCTAAATTTACAATAGATTTGCTCAACTAGCAAACTTAGGCAAATCCGTTTTTTCGTCCAGTGTTATTCTCAAGGATTATTCTCAAGGTCCGTTCAAAACGATCAATATTATGTATTCAACATTGTTGAGTTATAGTGAATCACCTTCACTCAAAAGTGTAGAATGAAATCAGACATCACTGATGTTGGACCAACACGAAGAACTTGGTCGTGGGCGTTTGTAAACACCGGCCCTTAAGTTATATAATGTACTTATTTTTGCAGCTGGTTAATGACATGGTCCAAAAGAATTTAACTGGACAGCAAAAAATATGAATGCAAACTCAATTCGCTTCCAGTGATTGTAAAAGAATCACTGTGTTGCTTGCTCTCTACTAACAAGAGGTTTTAGAACCATCCACCTGCCCAGCTGCGGTGAAACCGCTAACGTTCCTCTCACCTGTGCACCATAGTGAAAAGAATGATGAGGAAATAAAACATTCCAACAAGAAGATAGGCTAAGGGAAGATTATACACAACGCCGCTGTCAAATGTCAACTTAGAAGCAGGATATCCAGCGTAAAACATCAGTGTAGCATTCACCCAGCCCTGAAATTAAAACATGAAAGTATGACATGAAATAAAGCCAGTGGATCGATCAGAGGCTTGCGAGCTTTCCTAACGTTAACACGAAGCATGAATCGATCGGGCGGGAGAAGAAATGCTTCCCGCAATGGTTCCCATAAGGCACCTTATTTGCCCCCAAAATTTTGCATAAGCATTGTTTTCAATTTCTCTTATAGGACAGCTGTAAAACCAAGGAGAAATGAAAAACAAAGATTATGCAACATTTGGGGTGGGGGCAAAAAAGGTGCATTGTGGCAGATGTGCAAGTGGCGTATTCACAGATCCTTTCCCTTGTTCTTAGTAACAGCACCCGAAGCCTCCTTCTCTTTTTTATAGTGGCGAATGGTTCGCCGGTTATAATAAACTCTGCAACCAAACCATGATCCCAACCAACCGGACTAATTGTCGAAAATCGCAAAAACAAATCTTAACCCTTTTTCAATACAATCTCTTTTTCTAATTTTCTAATGATGTAACCGATTATTTTGTGTATTTTGGTAAAACCAGCAGATCGGTGGCTAACCTTTCCTGAGATGAAATCGACAGCCATATCTCCCACGGACGCGTTCTCTAAACTGCTCTGATCAATACTGCAGGTGTTTGTACTACTCAGAGAATTAACGTCCGTATTAGCTATTATAGTGGGTAAAGAAACCAATCCAAACTCCAACATGAAGCTTACGATATTCAAGAACAACATTTGCTTCATTAAAACGAAGAAGGACAACACTCCACTCCCAAAACGGCCTGCAACAAAATACAAATTAAACAAACGCGATTGAGATCTGCGCTAAGGAAGAAATGTAAAGGAAAGTCATATTTTCCCGAAATTCTGCTTGTGTACCGTGAATTTAAGCAATATGTCCCAAACATCAAGGGAGGGAGACCCGGACTCGCCGTAATGAGCAAAACAAACGCACGCTTCACGTTTTATTGTTGCGGTTTGTGAATTCTGTAAAACCTTCCTTCAACTCTGGTGCAACTTTCCCGGGCTTTTCCCTAAGAAAATGGCAAGTTTTCTCTACCTGTTGATAGCACTTTTACAGAAATATTAGGATGTGGAGTAGAGGGATGGGGGGCTGGGGAGATCCCTCAAGCTTTTTTTATTGCATGGTCTTGTCTATTTTGTGCGCGTGACGCTTTTGTGCAGCGTGTTTAGGTGCTTAGGAAATGGAAACAGAATGAACAAAAGAGACTAGCCTGTTCCAGGGCACGGGTGAAAAATTAGTAGGACGCGATAAAAATGGTTTGCGCTCGCTGCCTACGATTTTTAAAACTCGCTTCCCACCAACGGAAAGCCTGGAACAAGCTACAAAGAGAAACACATTATCATGAAAGCTAAAAGCAAACAACAATGCAATCAATCGAAGCCAAAACAAGAACCAATCACAAGTAGGCAGAATGCGGCCCTTGATTAAAAGTGGACGAAAGAGTTATCATAACATCGGCACTGTTCGTTCATTAATTTTACTGAGACTCACAGACATGAAATGCAGTTTTCAAATAGCGCCTACTATATTTTCAACAATTCGTAATAGTGATTGATTGCAGGACAACAAAATGTATGTACTAGTTGACGTTTCATCGATCACTCGGGTCACTCGGGCCCTCGGGTCACTCGGGCCTCAGCCCGTACCTTCCACTTCTTTCAAATGCCCTTTCCACAGCTCGTAGTCGCGACTCCATTGTGACAACGCTGATGTGGTCGACTTCCAGGACTACAATTGAAAGGAAATGCGGCAAAAAGCTTTTTTCAAATCAAGAGGTTGTTCAATGGGGAGAACTGAGAGGGACAACCAAGAGAGCTTACCATAATTCAGAACTGGCAGACAAACCAGTAGTCAACTGTCTCAACAAAGACAATGGGATGGATGCTATTAAAACGAGGAAAAGAGAGCAGGGAACTGACGAACTCTATTAGTCTATGATCTATTAGTAACTTCACTACCTGTTCCCTGTTTTGTTCCTATTTTTCTTTAATCGTTCCCCATGTTTTGTATTAACACCCATAAGAAACTTAAAAAGGCACTGCTCTGTTTAGAACTGTATTCTAAGGTTGGCCGTGCGACTGATCAGGGGCACCCATCGACAACTTTCGGAAAATATCTGTTCGGAAGTCGGTTTGAGATCTAGAATTTTCGGAACTTTTGTTCTAAAATTTTTTGCTTGCCTGCCTCACCTAGGACATCTAAAAAAAGCTAAAAAGACATCTAAAAACTGCTATAATTGCCCATTTTTCACGTATTTTTACCCTTAAAAGGTCACCTAGAATTTTCGGGAGCCTTCTTTCTGGCTGAAATTTTCGAAAAGGTAAGTTTTGATCCCTATAATTTTCGGATCACTAGACTTTCAGCTGGGAAATCCGAACAGATGAAAAATTTTTAGGGGATAAAAATATTCCTATATCTACCGTTTAAATACTAAAATACGTTCAACAATGCTAAGTTTAAGTGGTTTTGAACTCTATTCTCGTCGGGTGCCCCTGACAGATGTCCATGCAGAAAACAACTACAGAAAACTCGAAATCGGTTTCCTAGCAAGTGTCCCCGTGCTCTTTAATGCGCAATCTTATATAAAAATAGAGAAGTTTATAAAAACGCTCCCTGCTCAGAAAAATCCACGGTTACGGGGTGACTGAAGTTTAGATTATCTGACTTTACAGTTATACGCTATAAAAATGCACTACTTACCATAGCAACTTTTAGCTTGAAAGCCTTCCAGCCAGAAATTCGTTTCACTTTGTTCCCCTTATCATTCTTGACTAATTTGCTGCAAAATAAACACCAAACTGTTATTTTTAGATGTTTATTTCTTGATATATAATTCAGGGTCGAAAATTGGTGCGCGATTGCCTTACACGAGTGGAGAACTTTCGCCTTTCACTCCATCACATTCGCAGTTGAGAATACTCATTTATAAGGTCAATATTTTTTACCTGTTAGAGCAATTTTCAATTGAGTGTTGAAAGTAATCCAGGATTGAATTGGTTTTGCTTTACTGTGTTGTTTGATTGGTCTAGAAAACTCGCGCCACCCTCTCAGCCAATCAGATGTAAACTTAAACCAATCGCTCCTTGGTCACTCGCGTTTTCCCACGCTTCAGGCCGGTTACACGCGTTTACTTCGAGTTGCCATTGGCTCCCTCTGATAATTTCCTTTACTCTGATTGGCCGTTGTGATTACTTTGGTTTTGGTTTTCGACACTCAATTGAAAAGCGCTCTAAACTTTACGTTGAATAGCAATACACATCAGTATTATGTTAGATTGGGTGTTAAAAAGGGGATCGAGCCTCTTCCACATCCTAGAAGCATTGTGTAAAGCAAATCAGTCTCTTTGTTTTGGCTCAAGACTCCACAGTAGTCAAATAACAGGGGTTTCATTTTTATTTCAATTTACTAATTAAAAGTTCATTTTCAATTCCAAATTAGAGAAGAAACGGGTAAGGACCGATGAACAAAAAGGATCACATTTTGTGCATATTATCTCCTATTTCTTAAGTCGCTGTTGATCTCTAACATTCTCAATGCTTTATCAAAACGATTTTGTTTGCGTTCAAAGCAATTTTTAGGGCATTTTCAATAGGAAGAAATCTGTTAAAGTGCTACTACGATGAAAATTTTTGTTTTTGTTTTCGAGTTTTTTTAACATAAATCTTTTGTATATGTTCAAAATTATACAAATAGCGAAAAATTGGAACGATACTTGCGTACGGGGGCTGGAAATTTCCCACTGAAAAGTGCGTAAATACCGTCCGCCATTACAAAGTTGAAACTTTGGAGAACTTTGGTTCGTTTTTCAACTTATTTCTACCTTTGCTGTTTTAGTTGGCTCCACTTAGTTTCCGGCTCCCCACGCAATCAAAACGGGGTTGAATTTAATAGGAAAATTGACAAAGCAGAATCCTACATATGAGATAAGATAACTTCAGTCAATTAACAGCGAATACACTTTCAACTAGCAGAACTACATCTATGCGTGGGATAAAGTTACTGAATTAAACGTCGCAAGAACGTAAAAGGATGGCAAATCGATCGACCATCTCGTTTCACAATATTGTTTAAAATTCTTAATTGAAAACAAAGAACAAAAAAGTAATCGGGACCAATTGTAAACAGAATACAATGGACCTTTAAAATGGTAATTAGCAAATACTTCTTTTAATGCCGAGTTCATTAAAACCTAGAAGGGAACACAAATGGTAACTCCTTACTAAGGTGCGATTATTTCACTTTACGACACTGCAAATCTGACTTAACGGTTCATACATATTTCAGCAACTGTTTGCTGTATATTCATTAAAATTCTCTTTTGTTGGTTTTTAGTTCACATATTTTGCAGAACTCCAGTTAAGTAAATACAGTATCACACTAAAGAGATAAAAACCAAGAGAAGTGTCCAAAAGGTGTTTTCTAGTGTAGAAAATCTAGTATCCTTATTTTGGATCAAGGCAACAGAAAACTGAGCGGAACGGAAATTTATGATGAAGGGATGGTTTCACGTCTTTCAATAACAAGAAACAAAAGAACCAATACTTTTTTATCCCAAAAATGTTCTTTTCTAAGGGAAAGTCAATTTCTGAGTTCCCAAAATATTAAGTTAGTACTTACGCGTAACGTAGCTTCAGTGGTACTGGAGATGCAAGCACCCTCGTTCGCGGTACAACATCAGTATCATTCGTGAATCCCTCGATATCTAGAATCTCACTTTGATTGTCCAGTAAACTTGCTCTCCTTATAGAATTCCTTTTCCTTGCACTACTACTTTCATGAATCGACCTCTGAGACCGGTAGCTCGGAAGATCGCCGGCAGTGCCCGCTAGCTGGTCGCCTTTTTCGTAGTCTGCAGGCCAAGAACCATCATTGTTGTTCTCAGCCAACACAGCCTCGGTATCTTTATGCAAATAGAGAAAATTGCAGAAGATTTTGTCAAATAAAGTTTACACTATGGACAAATTGTAACGTTACAGATAGAACTTAAACCTGTGCAAACAACTGAGCTCCATATAACACAACATTTCCAAATATTGCAACAAAGCGTTTGACCTTAGTGTCGAAAAAAAGCGGTTTTACTTTGTGTTTACACTACAGGCTAAGCCCTAAGCAACATTCGGCGTCCCTAGCCCCTTATTTCGATCTGCATGTACTTATCAAAATCGTATTTGTTTATTTCTAGGCCCCCTCATAAATCTTACGTCCCGAATCGCCAGTTTTGTTCGAATTTCCAGGACAAATCAAACTTCGTCGAGTTCGAGGTGTGTGAAATAGCTTGAGGAGCATCGTATAAAATCTTGTCAAATTGTCCAAATACACTTCGGATCTTGCTCAGTAACCGACAAATCGAAAACAATTTCGTTCAAAATCAGTTCAACTTAAATCAATAAATGAGTGCAGTCGCTTAGAGGGTTTTAATCATGTAATCTCTGCTCTTATAAGATCTGTTACAAAATCTTAGCTGATTTATCTTGACCCAAGCGATTGCATTGCCGGACTCTCAGACGAGTTGACAATAACGTGATCAATATTTGCGAAGATGATAAGTAATCTCAATTATAAGAAAAGTTTGCTAAGACTTACCGATAACGGGCGTTATGCGGTTATTCATGGCCCGAGATGGCAAACGCTCCAGAGGCGAGTTAGGTATTCGAAACTACAGAAATATTATTGTAAACCAAACGCCGGACTTAAGTAACATTTCTTAGCCTTTGTCTTTGTACTTTTTCGGCATAAACAACACATACAATAGTTGAAAGAGATTAATTATGCACGGCGGGCTTATCCTGGAGGGTCCTTTGTTTCCTGGAAAATCTGGAATGGCTCTCTGGCGAGCAATATATAAATATATATCAACTGTTGTGTTATGGCCTTTAATTCACTTGCGAAATTTTGAAATATGTCTATAAACAAGTTGTAAGGTCTTGTAATGTCTAGAGAGTGTTTTTGAGAACGTTACAACTGGTTTTTGCCCATTTAGAGATTCCTCAGGAGCCACTGAGATCTCCTTAAAATCAGCTTGGTGAAATAGTGAGATATAAAATTCCTTGAAACTTTCCGACGATTAATATCATTGTAGCTGCAATGTTGATACTAAAAAATAACCTTTTTCGACAGGTGACTAAGGGTGACGGTGAACCCCCTGCTTCGTACCCAGACGTAGCTAGACGTCTTTATCTCGACCAAAATGTGCGCGCAAAGGAAGGCGGGAAGGACTGTACCCTTCCCATGGTCCCTTGCAGTTCATCCCGAGTCACTCGCGTTTCGAGCTCGCGAAAACGCTGCGCCTGAGAAGCAGGCTGGTTAACTCCATTGAGACCCTCCTATCACTTTGATTTTACAGACCAAGAAACACGTCGCACTAATCAAATAATTCCGTCACATTTTGTGACGAGGAGCTTCAAACCTAAACGGCAGCACTGGTATTTTTATCATAGATGTTTGCCGCGTTTCATAACCAGTCCTCCTCTACCTAGTCTGCTACACAGCAGTTTTTAGTGTCGTCACGCAACGCTCCTCCCCACTGTGGGGAGGAGCATTGCGTGACGACACTAAAAACGGCTGTGTAGCAGACTATTCTCTACCGTGCTTAAACGAAAAGCTAGACTTGCCTACAAGGCGAACACAAAATTTTTCACGAGCGCGAAGCGCCAGCGGTAGATTTTTTATGTTTTCTGTGGCAAAAGAGAGCGAGAGATCGAGAGCTCTGGGGCCAACTACCGGAACCGGAAATGAGAAACGAAGGACTTTGAGAAAGTCTTAACGAAAAGCTAAACGGGTCCACAAAGGAAAATATGCATCTATTCCTGTTGAGCGTAAACGCCCAAAGCAATCATCAAGGGTTTTTAACTGGGGAACTGCAGTTAAAAAATTGCCGTTAAGCGGGAAAAAAAGTTACATCACGTTGCACATTAAAGCAGTGTTTTATAGTTTCTGTAGTGTTTTTGACATCTCATAACAGGTCAAAGCAATATGAACATTTACAACTTCGGTTTCACTCATGTATCTCGTTTGTGCTAAGAGTTTATTAGCTATTTAACAACTTGACAAATATGCACCATCTAGTTGGGGAATCCTGATAACTTAACTCAACTGAAGCATTGCACACTTCGATCTAACTTCCCTCGGAAAATTGGGCTTGACATGAAATTCTACAGCGTTTTCCAATTTCAGCCACTTTAACCCCAAACAAATTTGAGCAATTTTGTCGTTTATGCCAGAGGCAAATTTCCATATATTAGAGTTTTAATTTCGACCTTGAAATAAACCCATCAAGTTGGTAACTTTAGTCCACTAATATCCGGTCGTTATATAGAGAGCAAGAGATTCTGTGTAACTGTAGGATGGTAAATTGAACCTGTCGATGCGATCGCTTTAATGAAACTTTTTCACTTGCTGATATGTGTTTTTTCACTTTTAGCAAGATCCCTAAAATGTGATCCTTTATTTGCCTATAGTTACGTGTACTACTCTATACAGCAAAGGAAAGCGTATAGTTTCATTTTGTCTTGAGTTGCCTTCCTCATATAGTATTCATTCAGTGACAATTATGCCAAATGGAAATCCTACAAACGATTTTTGCTGGGTTTTGACGATAAAATAAAAACCGTAACATCAAACTGAACTGAACTGAAACTACAAAATTGCATCGAGCGATCGCATACGAAATTTCTATTAAATAACTAATTTCTCATAATTACATGACTATTAAAAATACTTATCCTAAGGCAATGGAAAGCGACATAAGTTACGCAAATTAGGAATTGGAAATTCAAACGCCCCGGGCAACAATATAACAAGGATGATCACAGTTTTACGCAGGTCAGACAAGCAAGGCAGCGGACGAATTAGCCTGCGAGCAAGCTCTTCATTTGGGGGGTATCGTGAAAAGTCGACTCGCGAGAGGCACGCGAGAGAAGACGAGACACCGGGGGGAGGGGAGAGAAAGGAGAAAATTTTGGGCAGGTCAGCTAGGCCCGTTATCAATCTACTTTGATTTCCGGAACGTAATTTTTCAGCTAATGGTATTTCCCTTCGTCAAGACGAAGTATAAATGAAACTTTATGAGAGGTCGTTGCAAGTTCTCCTTTCCTAGGCCCCTCGCGGCTTCGCCGCTCGCTCGCCCAAATAGGAGAGCTTGCTCGCACGCTACAAACGAATTTTTGACCGCCTGAAAAATCTGACCAGACACTCTGTTCCCACGGAACTTTGAACGGTTAGACGTCTAAATTTTCGTTCGGTTAAGGTGATCCTGTGCGAACGTAACACCTAAACACACGAACATTCAACCGGTCGAAAACTCGTCCACTGCCGTGTGAACGTTGCCCAAGTATAACCAAGAGCCTCGCTTGTGAACGAAATTCTCTTTCCGTGGGCAATACATTCAACCCCACTTCATCGAGAAATCAAGTTGCAAGCCACAAAGCGAGTCGTCTTGGTAAAATTAACTTGTCTGAGGTAAACATTAGAGCGATTTTCGTATAACCTTGAAAAATGGTTTCTTAAGTGTTCGTTATTTGTTTTATCAGCCAATGGCTGAAAAGATCAAAACATAGCCTCTTCGTCCCCCCCCCCCAAAAAACCTAATATGGAGAAGCCATTTCTCGATTGGCCAATCGTGTTGCAGTATGACGTCAAAGCGAAGTATCGGTTGATTTCTAGAAAGTTCTCGGGCACGAAGTTTTTCACCCGAGGTTTTGCTTAACCAACCAAAAGCCACGCGCGTTTATATCCGTTCGATAAACTAATCAAATCGCTCTACATCCGTTCGTTTGTTGTTTCTGTTTTGTTCGCGCGTTTTCATTTCAAGGTCATACGGAAACCGCTCTATTTTGAAAACCACGAGAAAACAGAGTCTGAGCGGCAGGTACAAAACCCAGGTCACAGGCCACAGGTCACAGGTCACAAGTGCAGGTTAGAGTACGGTAAATAAACAACACTATGAATGTCTGCTAGTCCTAATCACTATTATTTATCACCAGAGCAATGACCTGCACTTGTGACCTGTGTTTTGTACTGCCAGAGTATGAGCTGGAAACCAGTGTATTTACCCACCGAATACTGCGCTACTTGCACAACACAAGTTACTGTCAGTGCAACTAATTACGATATACACACTAGAATAACAAAATACCGGCACAGTCATACCAGTCAATTGTATACATTATATTGTACCAAAGGACCACCACTTGTCACTAAACCATGCTGCCGTTCTGTAGTAGTAAACACGAATATTAAAAGAAAAATTCTCAAACTGCAGCACGGCTGAATGGAATTCAACCCAGCCATTCAAGTGGTGGTCACAAATAATCCCCTCTGGGAACAAATTCAATTCTATATCCCCCCCTTCTTACCATAAAATAACTTGGTATTACTTTATGATAATGGCTCGTTCGTTCTATTTGAATTACATTAACTACATATTTAATTATTTTGCTTTGGGCTTGCTATCAACTACAGCAAAATTCTTGTTACTTTGTTTGCGCTCTGTTTCTCTTAACAAGGAAAAAATTCATATAATTAATATGCTACTATATCAGAACCGATGATTGAAATAAACAGTTACCTAGGAAGTGAAAACATTGGGAACACGAAAACATACATGTAAGGACGTTCGCGCAATTGTTTAACGTATTTTCTCAATCAACGGGTATGTTAGAAATAACAGTTTGTTCGGGCCCGGTGTTTATTATGAAATTGGCTTTATAAACGCCGTATTTCTCGCCCTTATAGTTAAATAAATGATCACAGTTCTTTTTTACAACGTCCCCTTTTAGAGCCGGCGTTTGTTCCGGGCCCGTGAGAAAATATGGTACGCACTTTCTTACTGCGCAAGTAACTAATGTGGCAATGTTACACTGAGTCGTGCATAGAAAGCGCGAACTACGTAGAGAGATTTTGGGCGCAATAGTTCTTAGATAAAATAAATGCTTTTCTCCTCCGTAAAGCCAAAATATTTCCTTCGAGTGGCTAACTAATGAATATTTTCAAGTTTATATATCCTGCCAAACAGTCGGTTTTACAGGTTTAGTTTTGGAATGGGAACTACATTAACCTGTTCCAATTGTTCAGATGGTGGGGGCGGAGCAGAGAGAAGTAGGCAGAAAAACAAAGCCAGGAGGTTAGGCTCCGTTCTTCAGTTCGCGACACTCTCCCGGCACTATGGTAAGGCTCGCAACATGCTAGAGACACATGACCCACCCCATCTATTCTATTATTTCTACTCACAGACTCACTAGACCTGAGAAAAGACAATAATTTGTATCTCAGCTAATCCACGGCCTAATACCTTTAGATTCTAAGACGAGGACGACTAAGAGGACAAGATTTTCAAAGTGACGGAAACAAGTCATCAACTTTGAAGTTTTAATTACGTGCTAATTCGCTTTGCTCAAACGAACGTAAATTATTTACGGCTTAAATAACCGCAAAAGCTAGGCGAAAACAGATATGGGTGGATCGCGTGCGAACCCTAACAAGCGAGAGAAGTTTTAACATTCTTCGATCAGGAGAAGACTTCAATAAGATCTACCGTGCTCACTTGTCTGGTGAATAATCTACAATGACGCTTTCCGAGGTGATTTTTTTTTAGAATACGCGAAACAAACTTCAAGTCAAATCTTGCCCTCGTAGTAGCCTGCGCCATAGACGAAACTAAACTCTGATAAAGTCCGTGTGCGAAACAGCGCCGAAATCCTTGTTCTGCTGGGCCTCCACTAGTCTGCTACACAGCCGTTTTTAGTGTCGTCACGCAACGCTCCTCCCCAGGAGGAGCATTGCGTGACGACACTAAAAACGGCTGTGTAGCAGACTAGGCCTCCACCTGCGTACAAGGATTTGAGTACGCGTCATAATTGGCCTTAGAAAAAAGCCATTGTCGATTTGCCAAAAAGGATAAAGAGAAATTCGAAACGCACTTCCTGGAATTCGTTGAGTCCGTTGGGGGCCCACAACAATGATCACGGCGGTACTTCGCAGACGTTACTAACCGAGGCTACGTCCTCGTCATCGAATCTTAAAGACTCTAATACTCTACTTCCTTCCTCGCAGTCGCTTCCACAAAAATTTACTTCTTCATACGAGTTCTAAATATTTTGGGAATAATAATTAAACCATTACCTAGTGGCTAACAAACCAACCAATATCTCTTAGACATTGATATCACCATCACTTGTGGTTTCCTTCTCCTTGGCTGGAAATTCACCATTGACATATGAAAACCCATGGAAGTCATTCTGGTTGATGTTTGCGATGAAGGATTTGTCACAAGGAGTCAAGCGAGCTGCTTCGTCTGTGAACTCCGGATCAAAATTGTCAAAGGAACGTTTGGATTTCTGCAAGTAAAAAAATGGCAACACTACCACTGAAACGTTCTTCTTCGCAACCTTCAACAACCTTATTTGTTGCAAGACAGGTTTGAAAGTGGATGGTAAAACGCGCAACATCGCTATTCAACTTGTTTTGCAGCAATGTTGCAAGACAAGTTGCATGCTTTTGTCCAGGGGGGGGGGGGTACTTTAGGAATTTCTGGGTGGGGATGTGCCGCTGGGACCCTGGAACCCTGGTAGCCTTAACCTATACCAGAGCTAGTTGAGCTGAATTTTGTTACCCTATACTAGAGTAAACTCCCCAAATCCCCCTGTTTCCCTAGTCTGGGTAAAATCTTCAACCAACTGATCAATTTCCTGAAAAATGATACCCTATTCTAGACCCAAACGCTCTGATTTATAAACCCTATCCTAGAGTAAACTGCTTGAAAACCATACCCTTCACAGCGGCACATACCTATATAGCCCATATATAGCAGTGCCCCCCCCGGGGCTTTTGTTGCCCGTTTTACCGTGCCTTTAGGTACGATGGTAACGGTTCATAAATTTAAGTGAAATGGAATTTTCAAATGTACTGCGGTCATATGGAGATTCGTATTAGGCCACTGACTAATGGAGAAGCATCAAGTACTCCTTTGAAGGCCATTTGCAACTGCACAAAATGTGCTTTTTGGCTTATTTATTACCTCCTCAAGATCGTGATGAAAATTGAAAATCGAGTGATCTCGCAACAGGTAAATGGCTCCTTTTATTCAAAAACTTTTAATCAAGTAGCTCTGCGGCTCGTCAGTCAAATAAAACAAGTATCTTGACAAGACTGAAACGGTTGAAATTAGGGTTTTTGAAAACTGTTCAGCCTAACAGTTTTTCAAAGTTGATCCCTGCTGCATGCAACTTTAAAAATAATGCTCAGGAGACATATTTGTTTCTCTCGGATCTCTGATTTTGTCATTTACATGTAATTTCTTTGCTTACTTAAAGTTCCATAGCCATAGAGGGCGAGTAATTGGCAAAATTAAACAAAATGAACTGGCCTGCCGTGACACAGCCCCTTTAAGTTACTGTGTCTTTACACTTTAAGACACCATCTGCCCGAACTCCCGAAAAACGCAAAAAGTCCACTTTCGGTTAACGTGCCTTGCAACTGTCTTTGCTTTTTGAAGCTCTCTAATATCACATATGTCGCACAGCGTTTGGAAACTACTAACCATTGGTTAACGGGTTACCGTTAATTTCGAGCCCTGGCGCCAACAAAAGCTTCAGAGGAAACCAGCCTTCACTTAGATATAGACAGGACCAGATAACCACTGTTGGCCTAAATAGACAGATAAAATGCCACAAAAAGGCTATCAAGGCTACTTACAATTTTGGGTTTGAATGGCGGTTGAACCTCTCTGTTCATGAGCTTTATCCAGTTAATGTGTCTAAAAAACACGTGATCTTTGATGTTCTGTTCTCCATTTTCTCCACAACCCAAACGTTTGGCTGGGTGCTTGGTCAAGAACTGAAAATATGAAAAGAGTAATGTCAAGAAACGATTAGCCTGGGAGCAAGCTCTTTATTTGGGTGAAGCGTGTTCTCTCACAGCTCCTTCCGCTAGCTATAATTGAAGAGGTTGCTCGCAGGCTAAGACACGACGCCATAATTCTACGTATCAATTGCTCTACTGAGAAGTATAGCAGAGCCACTCTTCACCTCATAGCGGGTTTACAATCAAAACAAGTCCGCAGTATCCCAACGTAGCCACAACGCATCAATTCTCTGAACCGAACTTTGATGACTAGAAAAACCTTGGGTATTGCCAGCAAAAAGAATTTTCTTGAGCCGAAAACTCTAGCGTTGTCTGCTTGCAATAAATTCCATCATGTAAATGAGAATCGAAGATCTCCAGCAATACAAGTCATTTTTTTCAGTCCGTGTGTAGAAAGCCAGGCTACTTATGAGTGTGTAGAAAATAAAAAGATCAACCTACTACGGAGGAGATATAAACGGAGATATAACACATTTCTCCCTAAAGGTGCCTTAAACACTTCGACAGAAAAGAATCTAGTTAGCCTGACCTTGTCAAAGGTCGCGCAACATGCAAGAACACAAACATTAGAGAAGCTCATACAGGCTTACCCCTTTAACGATGAGAACAGCCTCTTTGGATACAGCCTTGGGATAAGAAACACTGTGCTCAAGAATGGAGTTAAATAATTCATCTTCATCATCACCATCAAAAGGAGGCTAAAAGAAAGCAAAAATAGAGTATTGCCATGACATGAATTGTTAGCTAACTTTTTTATAAGTCTTCTTCACAAAACATATATGAATACAAGGCTGTCACTAAGATTTTACGTTGCCGGCTAGGTACCACAAGTAGGCGGGGAATCAAATAGCTAGGGATTTCACTGGATATTTTTTCTTCTATTTTCCTATGAAAGTAGCATGGGAAATACCTGGGGCCCGTTTCTCGAAAGTCCCGGTAACTTTTCGGGCCCGAGATCAAATATTCAAATATTTTTCCTGGCTAGCAGACTACTCCATTTTGTTTCTATTTTTTATCATGAAAGATGCAAAACTTTGGACCTCGATCTTTAAAAACGGCGACAGCTACCTGGCCCCCACTTCTTGATGACAGCCTTGATGAATACATAGCTGTTTTGACACTGGGAATAGCACACAGCTGTACCGATTATCATAAAGGGATGTAAACTGTCCATGGAAAAAAGCCCAGATTTTGTTTCTTAAAAATACTAAGCAAAATGAGGGGGGAAAACACTGTAGGAATTGTCCGTATGAATGGGGTGTCCGTATAAAGCGGGTTGAACTTAGAGAAAATGTTAGGGCTTTCTTGAGAACTGTCCGTGATAACGAGGCGTCCGCAAAGCGGGATTTCACTGTATTACGATTGGACTTTATACATAGGCTTGTGAACTGTATTGATGATAAACGTTTCTAGGATATAATTAGTGACAAAACTCTTTCATTCTGCTCATGCAAGCATGCTCATGACATCCACAGGAATACTTATGGTGAATATCACCCAAGGAGAAGCAAGATTGAAATTTGCCGATTTAATGCGGTAAAGGTAACGGTATTAATAAGAGGTGGTGGACTTTGGAACACTGTACTAAATTACCACATAGTGGACATACACAGACAATTTTAAACAATTTTTTGTGCCAAAGTTAGGCCTGGTTCTCATATGCCGCCAAATGTACCTCCAACATAGCTGCCAAAGCTGCCTGTGATTCTGTTCCACCATAAATTATGAGAACCCACGCCACTGGCAACAAGAAACATTGCAGGTCTTTACATCGGCATGCCTCCAAAGTAAAGACTGGGCTGGGTTGCCTCTGTTGCCAGCAGCTTCTATCCTTATATCAGAAGGGTATACCAAGCGGCAACGGAAGCTCGTAGCTTGGTCGCGTATGCGAACCAGGCTTCAGGAAAAGCAATTTTTCATTAAAGATTTCATTTTTAACACATCATCAATTTAAACGCAGAAGAAGAAGTCTCCCATTTTATCTTTGCTGCATGTAGACAGGAACTTGTCAGCAGATTTTAAATATTATAACTGTATGGGTGTTAAAAAACATAGCATACGTTGTTATTATTGTATCTTTGTTTTCAGTTTTTTTATCTTAGGGCACTTTTCATTAGCCAGAACTGACCGGCCAGACCATTCCCATCGTAATGAAAATTCACTCTTTATCAAAACTATCCAGCCACATTAGTCAGCTCCTAAAAAGTATAAACAAAGGAGACGGCTTTTCAGTGACAACTCTTGGAAAAAGCTTACTGCTTTGTCAAAATGACTGGTCCGGTCTCAGTTCGGCCAGCCAGTTCTGATTTTTGGAAAGCGCCCTTAGTTTGGTACACGACCCAACCAGCGAGTAACTGCTTTAAAATGCATTGTATAATTCGTTTTATTAAAAGCCTGGAATTGAAACGGTTAGGAAGGTTAAGAATTCAGCAGGAGGTGGGATGTAACTGACCTGCCCAGCTAACATCTCATAAATGAGAACACCAAGAGCCCACCAGTCAACAGAGAAACCATATGGCTGGTAAGCAACAATCTGAAAACAACACAAGTCAGAATATAATAAAATTACATAAATTTATGCTGGTCATTGAACAGTTCATGGTAAAAAATCTCTCAAATCAAAGAAATAGGCAGGGGAGGGGTCGAAATCTGAATAAGTCAAAATATCATTACATAACTATGATACAGCAAAAAATAAATTGTTTAAAGAAAAAAAAGATCTGTCTAACCAAAGAAATAAGGAGAGAGGGGGAGGGGCTGAACCAGTTATATTCTTGACAACGTTTTCTACAAAATACAGTTAATGCATATGCCCAATGTAAAAAAATGGCTGCAGGATAAATATTCTTTTGTTTAAAGTAAAATTAGCCTAAGTAGCCTCCTGCAGAACAAGGAACGAGGCTAGTTGGGCTAATTGAAATTCAAACAAAAAAGTGTTAGTCTAGCAGCCATTTAGACATTGGGTTTATTGCATAAACACGAAAGCTGAATCTAACAATTTGTTGGTTTTACCTCTGGAGCAATATAATCTGGGGTCCCACAGAATGTTCGTGTTGTCTTGCCATTCATCATGTTCTCTTTGCACATTCCAAAGTCAGCAATCTTAATATGGCCATCACTGTCTAACATTACATTGTCCAACTTTAAATCTCTGTGATAGTAATATAAAACAAGGAGTCTCTACAGGCTTACTCCAAGATCAATTTTTTCCCTTGGTATTCCATGCAAAAATGTTGTTTTTGTTTCATGTCTGTAACTTCTAAGATTTTTTTAATCTCAGGGCTCTACTCTAGCAGAGCCTGGTGGCCCCTTGCACCCAACTTTTGCCCCATAATGGAAGAGGATAATTAAGTACACTATTTTAATTTAATAATTATTAAGAACTAGATTTTGCCCTGGATGTAAGACAAGCCTAGAGTAAGAAAGAACTGACAAGAAAACATGTAGATCTTAAAAAAATTACTTAATAACTCAAAAGAAGAGTCAAAATTTTAAATAACATTTTCTGTTTCATTCAGAGAATAATATTAACATTTCATACTGTTATATGCTCCCACTGACTGTTACTGTATAACATCCAAACGTGCAAGTTACCTGTACACAATACCTCTTTTGTGAAGAAACAACAGCCCAAGTACAATCTCTGCTACATAGAAACTGTCAATCAAAATAAAATCAGCAGCAAAATATATCAGTTAGGGTCCAGTTTTAAACTAAGCAAACGCTTAACTTGGACATAAATTGCGAAATAGGCTACATGGACTTAAACATTTTAAAAATGAACTGAAATTATCCCATTTGTACACCAATACGTTTTTTTTTTTCGTACTGCAAATGTACCCTACTACAAAATAGGTTATTACAGTGTACTTACACAGCCTGTGGTTCCCTAAATCTTCCAAGTTGCTGGATGTGGAACATTAGGTCACCACCATTGACAAATTCCATGACAAAATAGAGCCGATCCTGAAGAAATACAAAAATTGTAAAAGCCTTTATTACAAAATCAAAGTGTTCCCAGGAAAAAAGCCCAATGATGTCCCAGGGAGATGTCTTCCTCAACAAAATGCATAGGGGAACAGCAAAACAATTGGGGTGAAACACTTTACGTGAAACCAATCAGGGTGTAGTTTTTAAGCTTAATTTGTCCCACAAAGATACATTCACCATTCTAAACCAGAAAGCCAAATAAGAGTTCCATTGTGTACAGTCAACCTTCTATCATGGTGAATACTCATGACAACTGACTACTCAATAAAGCATGACAACTTAACCCCTTCACACCTAAACCACTTTGTAACCACCCATGTGGATCCACATTCCTTGTCAAAAGCTTTAACAGTGTTTAACAGAAAGCTTTAATACCCAACCTATGCAAGAAAAAGAGATCTTACTTATCAAACCATAACTGAATGAGGGATTACTTGGCAAGATTTAGCACAGAGAAAAGGCGACCTCTTTCATTCACCTCTGACAGCGAAAAACTCAGAATTAAACACTAGCATAATGTGGCAGGTGCAACTCACTCACATTTGTATCATTCTAAAGAATTACAAAAACTAACAAGTAATGGAAAAACTTTGTCAACACAAAAATTGCTTCTGGCAATTCATTGGTAGTTTTTTAAATCAAATAGCCATTGCTGCATAAGTCAAACATCAAAAGTCAGAAACTCACATAAGACTGGAAGCAACAGAAGAGAGAAGTGAGAAATGGAGGTTTGCCACGTAATGCCAAAACTCTTTTCTCTGTCATGGTACATTCTACATCATCATCTTGTACAATAACATCCTTTTTCAGCACTTTAATGGCATAAACCTCATCTGTTCCTTTTCGTTCAGCTAACATGACCTATAACATAAGCCAGAAAAAAAAGATTCTAAAAAATAATGACAAACTAACTAACATATGCAAAATCTATTTGGGCAAAAGTGAAAAAAGTTAATGACAAAATAACATTAATTACATAATGTGTATGTTGCAGTTCATTTTTAATTTCAGTTAATTTTTGTTTTTCCTTTGTTTTAAATTCATTAGCATACATTACCATACCCCAAAACAATGGAAAAATAAAAATTAACTGAAATAAAAAATTAACTACAACATGTACACTGTATGAGGTTTTATCCTAGATGTCACCTCCACCAAAATATATGTTCAGATCATACCAATACTATTTAAAGAGACAGAAGCCAAAAATAGCCATTGATAATATATTAAACTGAAATTTACCTGACAAAGTAGTAAACCTATTTTCTACTATCTTTCTATGGACAATAATGGTTTCAGTTCTACAGTATTCACCCCTAGGTCCACAAACCTTGCCAAAACTTCCTTTGCCAAGAACCTTAAGGAAGTGGAAATCTTCTGGCCTGTACCTAACACCACCTTCAGTGTCATGACGACTTGACTGAGCCTCGCGGTATTCTCTTTCCTGTCTGTCTTCCTCTTCCTTTAGTTGCGCTTGCATAAACTAAGATACAAGAAACATACTCTGTAAGGAATACAGTGTACATGTACCATGCACCCCAAGAGACTTAACTACTAATCCCAAGGAAAACAGATAATTGTACATGTATTTCCAAAAGTACATGTATTTCAATCTGACTAGGGAAGCATTAAGATTCAAGGGGCACAAAACTAACTATATATAGTTTCTTATAATCCCTAGCGACACAGATTTTGGTACAAACATGTACGTTGCCCACTCAGAGACTTTTGGCATGAAACAGCTTTACTTAATTCTGTAGGCAGTTATGTAACCTCAGCGTAACCAAAGAGAGCACATGCTGATGGGACAAATTGCCAGCTACATGAAAAAAAATGTATAATAATTATTATATATATTATCAGTGTTCTTACCAGGATTTTTACTTGGGGTACCCACAGCCCCTTCTCCTAGAGAATAGGGGCCTTGGAGGAAAGGAAGGGCGACAAAGTGATCAGTAAGACCACCATCTGGTTAGCTCGGTTAGGAGAGCACCGGTCTGCCGAGCGGGAGGTCGAGGGTTCAAACCCTGGCCGGACCAACACTCAGGGTCTAATAACTGAGAAGAAAGTGCTGCCTTTGTAATAACATCTGCAAATGGTTAGACTTTCTAATCTTCTCGGATGAGGACAAAACACCATAGGTCCCATCTCACAGCACTTTCACTGATTTGTTCTTGTGGGACGTAAAAGAACCTACATCACTATTTGAAAAGAGTAGGGGTCGTAGGCCCCTGTGGTGTGGCCAACCTTTACAGGTTGTGGGGTTGGATAGGGATGGCACCTCGCATGGGACCTGAGTCCCGTTCGTGCACATTCCCTCTGGGCAGGCCTGTGTCCGGAAAAGCTGGTAAATAAGCTAGTATAGGTAAACACACAGAACAAATAACAGAATAGGGTGCAAAGAAATTCAGTTTTGCAGCTTGCCTTTCTGGTAAGTTGAAGTTAGCGTGTGCTAGCCAGAAAGCCATTTCCACTAGCCCCCAACTCCCCTCCCACACACAGAAAAAAAACAATTCTTGACCAGCAGGATTGATCACAGTTCCTCTGTGATTTAAATTCTCCCAAAAGACTTCACTTGCCCATTGGGCAAGTTACAAACAGAATTCAGTAGCCCAAACAGGGCTCGAAATTAAAAAAATCCTCAGGTCGCCTTTTGGCGACCAACTGGAGAAATGTAATCGCCAGATGTAAATTTTTAGTCGCCAGTTTGTATATATGATGCAGCTCGTAGTCAGGGCTTCTGATATTTCGCGCCGTCGCAAGGCCGCGAAATTCACAAAAACACACAAACTACCGCGAAATTCAGTAGAAATCTTATCAAATACATGTCTGTATAACATATTTGAAACTTTTCTCAGCTATTGGGGCTATTTACTTGCCCATAAACGTGTAAATTTATCCTGAAACTTCGTCACTTAAACGTGTAAACAACGTCCCGAAACTCCGAAACTACCAGGCGTAGATTATGTTGCGAAAAACTGGGCACTAGCCATGATGTTAAAGGCTTTGCCATTGGTTCAGTTCCGGAGCGTATTGTTGTTGAAAGAGCAAATGATGACCTCTGTTAGAAAAACATTAAAAACGCTGGTCTGGTCAGCGCGAACCCGATCGAAATCTAACGAAGTTTTCCCTGAATATAACCACAAAATCGGCCTTTTTTGACCGATTGATTTTCAGCTAAGTTTGCCCCAAATCCTGCGAAATCGGTTGATTTTGGTGCGAATTTGACCCTAAAAATCCTGAGAAATTTGATTTTTTTTCTGCGACCTATCAGAAGCCCTGCATAGTATGGTGCGATCCATCAGATTTGAAAATATCGTGGATAGAGGTCGGTATAAACTTGGAGGTAAACTGGCTCTGTTTATGCGATTTGGCACATTTTTAATCATGAAAGCAAAGCAGGATAAGATGAAACTTTTGTTTTAACTTTAGTCTTTTAATTTAAATCTAAATCGTAGAGAAATCTGGTCGCCAGTTTGGCGACTAAAGTAGAATTTTTAGTCGCCAAGGAGAAAATGTTAGTCGCATTGGCGACCGTATCAGTCGCAATTTCGAGCCCTGCCAAAGGAAAAAACCACTAGCCCGGGGCTATTGGACACTACTTTCATTGCAGCCTGCAGCCTGGTTTTCCTATGTTAATAGTAAGAGTCCATGAATACCACATTTACTGTAGGACTATCAGTTTGAAATTTACCTTGTATTTACTTCTCAGCTCTGATACAGCTTGTCCTTCATCATCATCAATGATGGGAATGTTATAAAACTTGCCTTCCTCTTTGCTCAAGAGCTTGAACCAGCCTTCTTGTCCTTGCTTCCACAGCTCTGATACTCCAAATGAAAGGGAACCCATGAAGTCATTAGATGTGGTCCGATCCCAGTCCCACACCTGAATTGACAGACGTCGATCACAATCAGCTTGGGTGATGGGACTTAAAAAAGGAAACAAAAGGAAACATTGAATAACTTTACTTCAGACTATTACTTTGACTAATGAAACCGTGACACACACACAGAAAAAGTTATCCAACCACAAAGCTTTTTTAAAAAAAGGTCTCAAAAGTTCTTGGTAAACAGAACAATAGCTAAACATTTGACCTTGCTGACCCTTGAATCAACGCTGCCCTTGACTAAACACTGCATTAGAAGAGATTAAAATTTAACAAAAGCCTGCAGCATTAATTGTTAATGAAATATATTTATTACTTTCAGAAGGTTTATCCACAGCTGTGTAGTATCCATACACTTACATATCAAATGTCTCATTAAAAACTGGATTGAGGGTTTTTCTAACTGTCTTAGTCTTCTTTTTGCTTGATTTGTCGGGGTCAGGTATGAGCTTGATCTTGACATAAGGATCAGAGTAGCCATTAGGATCCATTGGAATTAGATTCTTTGCTTCACGAACTACAAGGGGAAGATAAAATAGCCTGTTACACATGTATTATCAAAGCCCAAGAAAACTGACTGAGTGGTGCTCTCAGGTCTGAGTATATGAATATAAATTAGATGCAGATGGTTAGCTAACACATAAGTGCTGAACAATGCAGGGCTGTCTTCTAGCAGAGCCTGATGTATGAGTCGCTTTTAGTGACTTATTTTTCACTTTGGTAGGCTACCAGGAAATCTCAACTTTTACACCAAACATACATGTGCACTCCAGATTAACGAGTTTACAGATTTTTTACAACACAGCCTTGTTAGGAACTAAGAAATGTCCTGTATGTCTGTACATGAGAGACTGGATATCTTCCCAAGAGCGAATTTATAAACCACTCATTTTTCATGGGGAGAGCAGGGCTGGTGAGATTTGATGAGCAGTGCATGTAATATCTAATGATTCTGCATCTTTATCAGATTTTTTTATAACTGAACCTCCTTGTAGTCCTAATAAGTAACCTTAAGATCGGACGACGGCGACGGCAACGGGAACTCCACAAAAGCAATAGGTTTAATAACTAAAACAACAATTTGCACGTACATCATGCTTTTTTGTACATTTCTTTGCCATCACTGCACGACTACGACGTGAAAATGCCTAATTTTACGTTGTACAGAGGAAGTACACAAGCGACGACGAGATTTCCTCTCTCTTTCTGCGCTTGGCTATGGTTCTTAGGAATTCAGCTTTAGGATGGTTCACCTACAATTGAAAAAGTTAGTGACTTGGAGTAATCGTGATGAAGATTGAAAGAACACGAATTCACTTTTTCAGCGACATTTTCTCTGCCGTCGCCGTCCTCGGATCTTAAGGTCCCTATAATTTAAAGGATGACAACCCCTCTACCCACCCTTCCACCTCTTAAGAAAAAATCAGGTCAATTTACTTCACGTTGTAGTTTACACTATTAGTCCTAAGAGTAAATACCTTACTGAAATTTACTGGTAGGAGCAGAGGGGCATTAGGGTATCTTCCCTTACTGAAAACTCCAAAATCAAAATCTAGAGAAGTGCTAATACAATTTGTGGGAGCCCTACTTTACACACCAATTTTTTGCCTGTTGTACCCCACCCCCCTCTTTTGAGGCTAGAAATTTTTTTGGGTTTCTGCATCTCAAAAACACTGCACCCCACCCCACCCAGAACAGCCTTGTTAGGAGTTTGGTCCATATGGAAGAGACATTTATTGGAATATTCAAGGCACCTTGCGGAAAAAAAGTACACTAGTGCCAGAAGGAGTTACAGGAAAAGTTAAAAAGTGTTGAAAAGTGACAAGTGTGAAAAGCCTCTGGACCAGTGCGCCATCCCTTTGATAGCTTCTAGCCAATTACAATCCTGCTTAAATACCAAAACATCCAGAATCTGGATGTTTTGTTGATTGGTTCCTTGGTGATATTGAATGTTTCAAACGCTCTCATTGGATTACAATCACAATAGGCGCATAATAGGGACGCAGGTGGTTTGAAGGTGACAAAGATCAAATTGAAACAATCCACGCACATATCACGTAAGGTTTTGCTTTTTGGAAGAGAATTGGAAATATCAGATGCCTGTATGAACATAAGATTTAGACCAGGCTACAGCCGAAGTCATTGGAACATTCAATGGTGTGGAGGAAGTGAATGTGGGACTAAGAGAGGACATTGTAAATTATATTCAAAGAATCGATCGGGGGGGTGCTGTTCCAGTTACTGCCTGGCATATGCAGCATGTAAAAAGTGGGTCGGTAGGCAACACACGACTTTTACCTTGTGCCAAAATGCTGCTTGTTCCAATTTATTTTTTCTCCAGTGGGTAGATCATGACTGAGCAAATGTGCATTATTTTTCCCACTTGTTTCATACCGAAAGGTCGTGACGCGCATATTTATTTTCTGCGGTTTATTTCGGGACAGCATGATTTTCCCTCTGATGCGGAGTCAAGAGCATTTTCTTTAACCTCCTTTGGAACGTAAACATCTTCATTACGGCTAAAAAAAAATTTTGTGCTTCCTGGATCTAAATGACGAAAAGTGATTTTCTTTTGTCCATAAATGTGAAGGTTTCCTGCAATGCTCTGTCATGCTGGGCCCAGCTTGTTAGTAGTTTATGCAGGAAGTTTATTTTTCCATAGTGATTTACAGATCCAAATTTGGAAGAATGGATTGCAGCTTAAATTGAAGCTACATAAATTAAGGAGAACTGCACAGTGACAGGGCTACTATTTTAAGCAACAATTTTTATCAAAACTCAAGCTTGCTATTCTGGAGATAATGTGACTCTTTGGGCTGGAGCACGTGGTTCCTCCCTTGGTAATTACTTTTGAATTAGCTTGAGACCGCTGATTTGATTGACAGATTAGAGACAAGGTCAAGGTCCATCGAGCACGGTAAATCAAGGCACTCTGCGCCAGAGGTTTTTTTCTCACGGCTTCAGCCAAAGACAAGTTGGCCTACGGCCGACAGAGCTCCTCGTAGCACACAAAGAAAAAACCTCTGGTACCCAGGGCAGATTCTTACAAAATACAACTTGGTAGAAATGCAATGACAGCAACAAAAAAAGGTCATTCCTGGTTGTTTTCTTTTCCTTGCTCAATACTGATGACAATCCTCACACTGTGTTCAAAAATAGTTCTAGTAAATTTAGATGGCAGCTTTTTGCTAACTGTCCAGCAATCACTGTATAAGTGGTAGTATTAAAGCAGCATGTTAAATCAATTGGTGGAAGAAATGCAGAAACTGTAAAATTAAATCGAGTCTCAGGCAAACATTAAAACACACAATTTGGCAACAAAATAAGGTATTTAGGAGGAATAAACAAGTTATTGCACAGAATATCGAGCTTGACAAAATATCAAGACAAATATATTTTTGGGAAAAAATGGATCAGGTACTCACGGACTGCATTTAAAATACATGCGGCGGATGAGTGAATAGCACCTTTTTTTTTACTTGTCACATTAATTTTAAGAGCGAGAGCAAACTTAAATTCACTTAGTGTCAAAACAAAGTCGATGAAAGCCTGAACCCAAACGTATATTTACACGAGCAAAAGCAATATTAACTTATCGATAAAAAAACCCTGTCGTTTAGTGGAAACAAAAATATACTGCAGGGAATAGGAAAAAATTCGGCACCGCAGGACGACGTCCACAAAAATATATATTAAAAACCGCCCCCGCCAATCTAAATTCTTCATATTCTTATGTTGGCGAGCGAAATTAATTTTTGTGTTTATCTCGAACAGAGCAAATTTACTGCAAACTCCAAATTAAGATTCACTTAAAAGTAACTTGAAGTTATTTTCTAACGATATTCCTCGGTTTAGCACAAGAATACTAATGCAACTTTCAAAGCAGGTGATAAAAATATACCACTTAACGAGCTTTTGCATATAGTAAAAGTGCAAAAAAATTACTATCAATATGTATAATAAATGCACTTATTGTTTAAAGGTTTTACAGTGATAGCGCAACGTTCTGTAACCCTATATCTCACCAAACTTCAGTCAAAACAGACGATCACAAAATGAATGGTCAATCAGTTTGTTGATTATGCGTTCCAGAAGCAGACAAATATCGGCACAGGAAAACAAAAAATATGCAAATCTTGTTTTATGTGCAAATCTAGAACGCCATACCGTCAATTCGAAGAGTTCTTTCCTTTCCTGATCCATCGATGGAGACCTTAAAATGAATTCTTCCTCTTCTTTCTGTGTGATCCGCACCACAAAGTTTTGGAATGAACTTTTCACATCTTTTATGAGCGTTCATTTGACAACCTGCAAGAAAGAAGCTTAAGCTGAACAGATTATCCCATCCCATTACTTGGCAAGCGAAAGTAAAAACATATGATAAGTCGTGGAAAAAATCTCGTTTACATTAAGCTACCTCATTTTTTTTCTTATTTTTATGGAATAAACAATAAAAACCGACGTTTCTAAATTACCTTCGCATTCAATTCCCTGATGTATAAGGCCGTAAAGTAGCGAACCGCAGTGATCGCAGAACGTAGGACTTGTGTAGGTTTTAACTTTAAATTTGTGTGGTGATTCGGGATACTATGATAGAGAATAAATGATATAAGCTTAGCAAGTTTACAATTAGGCAAAACGCTCAAAGCTATTCGAGAATCTGAACTAATCACCAAAAAGGAAAATTCAAAACAAGCATGAAGTTCAGAATTTCAGATTGAAAAATAAAAACATCTTTCTCACTCCAGCATAGGTAACAGCTTCTGATCCTGGGCAAGCGAAGGAAACATATTCATGACAGCGTTTGTGGACCACAAAAGAACAAACTGCAAGATTTGAGAAAAATAAATAAAAACCTTTTGCCAGCTTTACAGACAATTTACAGCCACTTTTCCTTGGCAAAAGAGTAAGCTTATTATGTCCAAATTTCGATCTCCAAACACAGCTTCTTCAAAATCAGAAACCGCAATATAAGCTATACCTTGGCACTGAAATCCTTGTCTTCCAACAAATCCCCTGCAAAACCGACGAAAAATAAAAAGATACTGAATTATCCCGCGGACACAAAACACAACCATGATACAAGCATAACATAGGCCTTCCACAATAAAACACAGGGATGAAATAATACAAAGTAACACCCGTACAAAACACTTACCAAATAAAATCCTTGCAGTGACCGCAAAAAGTCGGTTGTTTTAGGAACCGAGCAATAAACTGGTGGTCTTTAACTGTCACGACATTTTTCTGCTTAAAAGCCCCTCTTCTGTTAATTCCCCGATTTATTCGTGCGCTACCTGTTTCCTTCCAATCCGCCATATTTAGCTCAAAACCATCTGCATCCTGCTTTGGTTCGCGCTCGGCTGACTGTGCTGACGTCACATATTCCTTCCTTATATGGGGAGTCTTCGAACCATGCAATTTTTGCTTGGGGAAAAATTACAAAATGTAACATTCTTTCAGAATGCAAAGAATATTCTGCTTATCTTAAAGCCCTGTGCAATATTTTTCTTATGAATGTTTGCATCGAGAGAATGAAAGACTAAAATATTAGAACTCTAAAGTGAATTCTAGCAAAAACTAAATACTATATAATTCATTTCGACGGCCGATACCAAACCGGCACTTTTCTCATTCTGGGCTAAAATCTAGACTTGGAAAGTGCCTCAAATTTGGGGGTAAAATCTGGACGTTAGTACTTCCATCTAGTTTCAGCCAGGATCAGTATCTCCTAAATGTTACAGCCCTAAAATTTACTTTGAGTGAGTCTATTCATAGAGTTCATTGAGGTGTATGAATAAATAAAACAAATGAATTCGCAGATGAATGCATGCAAGTAAGTTAAAGTAACTGATCACCTTTGGTAACGCCGCTCATGACTAAGAACCACAAAATAACTAGCGAAGATAACTTAGAAGGCAAAAAATGCTCGTAGTGAACAATTTATGTTTCGAGTAAATTGAGGAAGCTTTGGTTAGTAAACAGCTGTAGTAAATTGAAAAAACTTCCACTGCAGATGTCTTTTTGACTTTGAATGAATTTGGTTAAATTTTCAAGACACTCCACCAATTTTAAGCGAGAGCCTAGTGCTGTCGAACTGCCTCACCTAAGTGAGCGAAGGTTAAAATTTTTTTAGTGAAAAGAGCCCGTGGGATGGGAAATAGGCGTGAGAATCTCTCTTTCTACATACGACCATGGTATACTAAAAAAAAATGTTGTAAATAGTATAACCAATAAAGCCGTTAGCCTGAGAAAACGTTTATTAAAGGAGAGTTCAAAGAGTATTTTCGTTACTTATTGAGCACTGTGGAAACAATTTTATATTTAATATAGTTTCACCTTCTTCGTTTTTTAGAAAAGTGTAAATGTCCAAATTTCACTCTTGCGTTTTTTCGTTAGTGAAAACCTCATCAACACTCATTTATGCGTGCCATTGAAAACTAAATCAAAGCACTCGGCAACTGATTGAATCACGTTTGCAAATCACTAGATCAGGATCTCAAATAGCTTCGATGAAATAACATTAAGGAGTGTGTTGAAGATACTACGAGACGGCGACAGCAACGAGAACGACTCCGCACGTGCATCACATTTATTTTTGTACATTTCTTTGCCGTAAATATTACGACGTGAAATTGCCTAATTTTACGTTTTATCGAGAACGTAAACAAAAGAGGACGAATTTCTCTCTCTCTCTCTTTTTGAACTTGGATATATTTTTGAGAAAGTCAACTCCTGGAGGGGTCTTCTACATAACTGACACCGAGTGATCGAGTTGGTAATCGGGCCGAAGTTTCAAAGAACGTATAAAGTCACTTTAAGTGAAGTTTTCAACTTCGTCACCATCAGGCTTCGTTTATCTATACTAAAACTCGGGTCAATCACTTAATAGGCCATTTTACAGTTGTGTGCTCATTGCCCTGGCCTTTGAATAGAGGCGAGGCTCGCGGTGACCTTGTTTTGTTACAAGCCTTCCTGCTTTTCAAGTGCAAATCGTGGTATTCTCATGCTAACAAGCCCGTGAACATGATCATTTACATATAAAAAACAAGACGGTTTGTAGCAAAACAAGGTCACCGCCATCCTCGCTTCTATTCAAAGGCCAGGGCACTGAGCACACAACTGTAAAGGCTAATGAGTAGATGTTATTGCTCTGGCTCGCTCATTAGAATTTAATAGGCTCCGTCTACACGTATCCGGATATTTTTGAAAACGGAGAGTTTTTTTTCTCCGTTTTCAAAGTAAAACCATCCTTAGCGCATCCTTAGCGAATCATTTTCGCCTGTCCACACGAAAATGCTAAAACGATGTTAAATACGATAGCATCCCTTTCAGAGCATAGGTCATCGCAACTGAAAACCTCCGTTTTCGTCCGTCCGCGCGTAAAAGAAAAGCCGGCGTTTCCTAATATCTCCACTCTGGAGAGCGTTTTTGAAAAATCCGTTTTAGGTGACCGTTTTCACCTGATACGTGTGGACAATAGGCCAAACAGGAGGAAAAAAATACCCGTTTTCAAACAAAAACTGATGCGTGTGGACGGGGCCTTTAATAGGTTCAATGCAATGCACAGAGTACATGTTATATTCTTTATATACCAACCTCTTACAGTTGGGCAAAGATGAATCAAGTGACATGGTCGCAATAAAGTGGGCCCCTCCGAAAATTTTGACTTCTATTACTAATAATTGTTGTAATAAATAAAACTATTCTCTACCGATCGAGTTTGAAAAGCAGCTCATTTAAAAACGACAAATTAGTCAACTGCTGTACGTTTAGTTACTTTAGTAGTTTGTTTGATGGATTTTTAACAACCATCTTGTAAATATCAATCAAGAGCTATTACTTCCCTCCTTAAAAGTACTAAGTCGACTTCATTTTCAAGTAAAAGAGAACGAATGAGGAACATTTCATCCATATTTTAACTAACGGGAGCGAAAAAATCCTTATCCGCTAGTTATGCACGCATCTTATTAAGTACGGTCGACTTCCGATAGTTCAAGCCGTCTAGGAAAATCGAAAAAAGTGCGAGTTATCGCGAGCTCGAGGTAAAATAACCGAATAAGGATATAGGAATTTGGTTGGGATGGGGCAGTAAGCAATGCAAATACCATGCAAACTAAGTTGCTTCAGGCCCCAGCAACAAGCGATATTATGAAATTGGGATTTGGAAAAAGAAATATCAATAAAAAAAAGCTAGATCACTATCTGACAGGGCTGCACGCTGTATCTGAACTGTTTTGAACTGAACTTAAAATTCGTAGATACTTAATTTGTTTTTTAGCCATCATAGCTTAAGAAGAAGCAAAAGGAAAACTGCCGTGAGCTTAAAAAGTATAAGAACACAAAGGATAAAGGAATGACAGAAATGTTTTAAGTAATGTTTCAGGCTGCAGTATTATACAGGTTTTCTTTTGCATGATTTGTCACGTTGAGTCTAATGGAAAAAAAATGGACCGGTTCGAGTTAAGAATTGGTTCATGCTTGGCGTGCGTATATCGAGATATGGATGCACGCGGGAAGTTTGGAGAGCACAAAAGATGCCTAAGAGTAGCGCCTCGAGCAACTCTAGCTTCTTGAGTTCTCTCTAAACTTCCCAAGTGTATCCATAACTCGATATGCGCACAGCTAAAAGCACGAGCCAATCCTTTTATAACATATCTGACAAAAATGCTTGCTTTTTGATTAACTGCAAAATTTCACAATCGTCTATAGTTTGAATGAAAAACTGAGAAACTAACAAAATTTGCTTATTTATTCGTTAACGATCAATGGAAACTAAGTAGAAACGGGGGTAAAAGGGTCTTAAGGTACACCTAAAGTTAAAATACTAACATGTTCGTAAGAAGTCGTGGAGTATGGTTTGGATTTGCTGAAAAGATGTTTATGTTTTGCTTGGCGAAATCCAGAAAACTTGTTTTTTAGCGAAGACGACTGTCATCCTTCTTTAAACTTATATTCATTTACGAACAATGGCTAGTCATTACGGCTTCTTGAGAAGACCTGGCAGCAGTTGTTTTTGTGAGTAATAAATTTATGTCTTCTTGTGTAATTTGTCTTGCAAGAGAAATTTTCCTGCTTCCGTTGGATTGTTAACCAAAGTGCAAAATTTTTCGCTTTGAGCTTACTTTATTATTAACTCGTTTTGTAAGGGATAAACAAACGTTAAAAACGGAGAACACTTCATACAAATTGGATATTTTCCGACACAGACCAATTTCTGGTCTTTTCCCACTTAAATGTCAGTCTTTACGGCAGACTTTTCAACGAATCATTTAGGCTCTATTAGTTGCGAAACATCCTCACCGCTTTTGCTGTTGGTTTGAGTAGCTAGAACGAAGTTAAATTCCAAAACAAATCTGGAACGTTTTTCATCATTGCCGTCGATTTTTGGGTACTTAGGAAAAGAGACGAAAAACACAGCTGAACTCGTCATCATAAAAAATATCTTTATTTACGCACGGGTGTGCGTAAATAAAGAAGTTATTCATAGCGGCTCATTAGGACTCATATCGGGCAAGCACGCGCGCTATGTTATAGTTCGGGTTTCATATGTGAAGTCGTGTAATGAACTCGCCGTCGAAGGTCCCTGTAACACCTCATGTTTTAAAATAGTTGATTCTCTTCTGCCCATGTTGAAACCGCTGAAACCGATCTTGTTTGTTGAGACTCCAAATGCGTATCGTGAATTCCCTCGAAGAAGCGCCCACGCTCTAATAAGTGCCCTCTTCCGAAAAAGTGTTCACCCCCCCAGGGCTCGCAAAGCGAAAAACTGATTTATTTCCAATTTTTGGCAAAGTATCAAACAAATCCATGTTAAATCAAATTTCGCTTCATTTAGACCTAATATTACTAATGGGATCTAATTGTAGGCTAATGAGATCCACCGATCAATATACTTTGATATAACTGGATGAATATATGAATTTCGGATATTCAAAATATGATTCATAAATTCAAATATTCGACACAGTCATGGACCTCCATCTTTCCCGGGTGGGAGAAAAAGGTGGGGATACCTTTTAAGATTGTTGCAATGGAAGAATTAAAATACAAATACTTAAACTAAGAAAGACTAAGATATCGAAGAGGCTAAACTGAAAGGCCATGACATAACACTCGTACACGGAACTCTTTGCAGATTTCGCTATACAGAACGGCTATAGGCCAGCGCACATTTTCCTACAGAGGGGCCTACACATGGAATAACTTGCATAATGAACTTAGGCAAAGTGCCTCATTGGCATCTTTCAAGCGCACCCTGAAAGACACACTATTGAGGCAGACATTTCCTTGATAAGCTCTAGAATTTAGTAGAATAC